TAAATAGGATATACTTATTAAGTGTAAATAAATAAAAGGTATTAATAAAAATTATTAAACAAAAACTCGAAAAAGGATATATACGGAAATTAGACTTATTGATAAAGAGTTTAATCTTTTTAATACTTAAGAAAAATAAAGATGGGATATTAAGATTAAACGATAATAGAAATATAATATATTAAGATATATATGATTATTAATATCTTAATTCTATTATTAAATAAAACAGCTATTTCTTATTTAATATTAATAATTTAATGGAAATAATAAAAAACGTAAAATGGTTTATAACGTTAAACCTTAAAAAAATATTTTATTTAATTTGGATAGTTAAAGGTAATAAATGGAAAATAGTAATATAAATCCTTTTTAGTTATTATAAATATCTGGTTATATTATTTGGATTTATAAATGCGTTAGTAATATTTTAAGGAATGATTGAAATTGTATTACGGAAATTTTTAGGAAAAACAGTTTTCGTTTATTTAAATGATATTTTAATCTTTTCTAAAACCTTTAATTAATACGAAAAACACGTGGATAAAGTGCTAGAAGCTTTAAATAAGGTTAATTTACTTATAAACTTAGAGAAAAGCAAATTTTATATGTAAAAGATTAATTATTTAAAATATACAATTATATTTAAATAAATTAAAATATAAGATTTAAAAATTATAATAGTATAAGATTAATTAACATTAGATAGTATTATTATTGTATAACAATTTTACAACTTTATTAATTATAGTAAATAATTAATAAAAGATTTTAGTAAAATTATAAATTTTATTATGGTTATTATATAAAGAAAAGAAAGAACTTTCCAATAGATGCTAAAAGTAAATAAAGTTTTTAAAGAAATATAAAAAGCTATTACCAGCAATTTAATAATGAGATTACCTAAGCTAGACCGGCCAAAACAAATTTATATAAATAGATTTAACGCAGCTATGGGCGCAATCTTAAAATAATTTAAAGATAATAAAATATAATATCCAGTAATATACTTATTTAAAACCTTTAAAGGAACTTAAATACGATATTAAACCTATAATAAAGAATTATTTATTATAGTTATAACATTTAAAGAATGGAGATATTAATTTAATGGAACTAAAGAACTAATTATAATATTATTTAATTACAATAACCTTAAAACGCTAATAATTACTTAGAAACTGAAATTAAAGGTTTAAAGATGGGTAAAGTACTTTAGCAATTTCAATTTTAAGATAGTTTATGTTATAAGAAAAGTAAATATATAAGTAAATGCGCTTAGCAAACTTAACGGCGTTAGTACAAAAGATATAATAAAGGAAAAAGTAGTATTTATATTAGACAAATAAGGAGCACTTATTTTATTAATATTATATCTTATAGAAAAAGATAATATTTGGATGATATGCATTTAAGAAGCATTATTAGCAGAAGAGTTACCCCCGGATATTAGAACAGGCAAAAGAGTAATTATTTATTTAAGTAAAGTATATATATTAAAGACCTTATAACATAAATTCGTTAAAGAATATTACGAATATTTATTATATAAATATCAAGGAATCTTTCGAATTATGTAATAAATTACGAGAGATTATAACTTCTTAAGCTTACCTAAAGTAGTTAAAGAAGTAATTAACGACTATAATATGTGCAATAAAATAAAAGCAGTTAAACATAAGCCATATGGGCTTACGCAACCTATAAAAATTCCGAATAAAGCTTGGAAAACTATTACATAAGATTTCATTATTAAATTACCGCCATTAAAAGAACTTATAATTAATATACCATATAATAGCATATGGGTAATAGTTAATAAATTAATTAAATATAGATATTTTATATTATATAAAGAGTTTAATACGGTTAAAGATTTAGTTTATGTATTTTTTAAGTACGTAATTAATAAATATGGATTATTAAAATGTATTATTTTAGATAAAGATAAATTATTTATATTTAAGTTTTGAATTAACTTAATAGTAAGAATAAGTATAAAATAGAAATTGTTAATAATATATTACTTATAATTAAACGGATAAATAAAGTATTTAAATTAGATATTAAAATAGTATTTTCGTACGTACATTAATAAAATATAAAATAATTAAGTAAAATTATTACTATAAATAGAAATTATATATAATAATTTTATAAATAAAAATATAAAAATATCCTTATTTAAGGTAAATATTAATTATAATTTTACTATTATAGAATTAATTAGTATAAAAGAAACATTTATCTTTAAGGTAAAGGCTATAACGGAACAAATTATTATTATGTAAAAGTATTTAATAAACGAGCTTAAATTCTTATAAATAAAAATAAAGAAATATAGTAATTAATATAAGATTAAAAGATTAATTTTTAAAAGAAAAGATAAAGTTTATTTATTATAATAAAATATTAAAATTAAAAGATTAAATAATAAATTAAATTATAAGAAATTTAAACTTTTTAAAATTGAAAAAGTTATATTAAAAATTAATTATAAATTATTATTATTAATAAAAATAAAGTTATATCTAATATTTTATATTTTTTTATTAAAAAAAGTATTTAAAAATGTGTTAATATAAATTACTTTAAACGTTAAAATTAATTAAAAATATAAAGTTGAAAAAGTATTAAACTTTAAATAATTTAAAAATTAAATTAAATATTTAATTAAATAAAAAAATTATTTATTAAAGGAAAATATTTGGGAATTAATTAAGTATTTTAAAAATATTTAAAAGTTTATAAAAATATTTTATTAAAAAAATCTTAATTGCTTATAAATAATAATAGATTTATCCTTAAGTTAAAACTATTTTAAAAAGCGGCGGCCCCGCCGGGGTCGTCCCCGGAAGAATTAAACGGTACGAATGGACCAACCTAATCAAAAACAGCCTAATCTTTATCCTCCTCTTTTTCTAAACGTTTAAGCTTAATTTCTTAACGTATAACTTTAATAACCTTAATCTTTAAAGTTTCTTTTTAAGTATAAAGTTAATTAAATTATTTAATATTTGTGGATATGTTATTTTAATATTAATAAATTTTATTAAAATAAGTTTTAATTAATAATTAATAATTTTTAATTTATTTATTTAATAAAAGTAATTCCTTTTTAACTTTATAACGCTTTTTCTATAAGTAAAAAAGTTTTAACAAAATATTATTTAAAGAATTTATTTTTATTACGTTATAATCCGAACAATGGTTATTTTTAATATAATAATAATAAATAAAGAAATCTTTAATTAAAAAATAAAAGGTTTTACTAGTACAAAAATAATAGGAATATGGAAGATTATGAAAATTAAATAACTTAATGAAAATAGCATAAGCTTTATAAGCAGCTTTTTAATTAAGTTAATAATAGGTTTTGGAAATCGCTTTCAATATACGTCCTAATATTATAAAGAAAGTTAATTTTATTAAGTCAAAATAAAATGAGAGGATAAAAAAAAGAATTTATTAGGATCTTTAAGGATAAAAAGACTTAGAAGGAAGGAAATGGTGTTACGAACTAACAGACAACGAAGCCATATTTAATATAAAAGTAAAAATATTAACTAATGCCTTTTCAGTTAAACTTCGGATAATTGGATCTTAAGATTCTTATAAATCTTATGGATCTTATGAGATCCTTTGGATCAATAAGATCCATAAGATCCATAATGCCCTTAAAAGAATATTAAGTAAAAAGGAAATTTATAAGATATTTAAAACTATTATATATTTAAATATTTATTTATATTTTTTTAATTATTAATCTAAATCTTATATCTAACTTATATAAAAAAAAGGACTTTAAGCTTTCTTAATAAATATTTTTAATATTTTATTAACATTTAACCTATATTGCTACTATTAACCTAAAATCAAAACCCCTGTTATTACACTTTAACGGACCTAAGTGTAAGTTCGTTACAATATTAAACATTTTATTATAAAAAATTAAAATTAATTAAAAAGTTAAAATTAAAAATTAAATAAATATTAAAATTAATAAATATAATATAAATAAAATAAAATAAAAAAATAATTTTTATAAAAATAATACATATATATTTATTTTAATTATAAAATATTATAAATTAATATATTAATAAAATTATAATTAAAATATAAAAATAAAGTTATAATTAATAAATAATATAATTAAATATTAAATTAATAAATGCTATTAAAATTTAATAAAATAAAATAATATAATAAAAAAATATTTTATATATTTATTAAATATTTTCTTATATATTTAATTTATGTAAAAAAAAACTTTAAACTTTTTTAATATTTAATTTATATTATTATTATTTATTTAAAAATTAAAATTTATTAATATTATATTTTAATGTATTTAAATATAAATTCGTCATAAGTTTTTAAAAATAATTTTAACATTAAAAAATGCATTTAATAAAATATTTTTTTTATAATACACTTAATAAAAACACTTCAAACGTTACACACGGCCGAGTTGCTTAATCCGGACGAGCTGGGTTAATACAATATCCCGAACAAGTTCGAGCATCATATCGCTACAGTTTTCAAAAGTAGCTCCAAACGGAATGTATACGTATTTTCGAAAAAACTCTCGAAAGACAATTCTAACGCTAAAAGATGTATCTAATGAAACATTTCTTCCTCTGCAATGCACCCAATAAAAACGCTTAAAACGTTGCGCACGGCCGAGTTACTTGATTCGGACGAGCTGGGTCAATACAATATCCCGAACAAGTTCGGGCACAAGTTCGGGCACTTGCTTGCACAATCTCGGTATCATATCATATCACGACGCCGTCCCGCCAGTCCATATTACTTTATCTACCCGCAAAGTAATAACATCCGTACTCCGTACTTATACATGTATCCCTGATACCTACCTCCCCTTTTTTTGCAGACCTCACGACCAAGCCAGCTTAGATAGTTGTAAAGCTTTTTTTCACGTTTACGAAACTAAACCATTCGTTCCGTTGAATCAATTCCCTAGAATACGATGAATGAAATTGCCAGCCTGCTATGTTAGAATCAAATTGTTTGAACAGGTCTTTCCACTGAGCATAACGAAAATAGACAATTCATATTCGTAGCAAGACAACAGATAGAGGGGTATCAAATTGAAGGAGGGCAGCTACGCGGCCGAGCCGTAGCCAGAACCATTGCCGTTCGCACCACTTCCTCGCTTCGGACGGCCCGTAATATCTTGCCAGGTAGCGTTGAGGCGTCGCCCAGTAGTTGCCAGCAGGCCTTCTTCTTCGTCTGCCTCAGCCTCTTCGTCGATCTCGCTGAAATCAAGTCTTGGGGTGCGGAAGAGGCTCGTGAGGAATACAAGCAGAAAGACGCCGAGGAAGGCGAATTGCGCCCAGAAGTCAATGGCGCCGAACACGGGCCAGTTGAGTGTGATGCGGTTGAGGAATGTGGACATGACGGTCGGCGTGCATACAGACTGCGGCTCCGTCGACCACCGCCCGCGCGACGCGCTCCCAGCCCATTCCGAGCACGGCTTAACAGCCTCGGGGACATCCGTACAGTCGGGTCGTCCAAGAGGGTGTTTCGGAGGCAGGTCGCAGAAGGTTTGGGTACCATAGCTCGCGTATTGCGGTGCCACCATCATGACTACGGCATAATTGATGCCTAGCATGATAAGTGCCAGTATAACCGTCGCAATGAGTAAGGCCTGAGGCGATGTGCGACCCTTGCTGATCCGGAAAACGCGTACCCATAAGAACCGGATACCAATGACGGCCAGGCCCGACACGGAGCTACCGAAGAACAGCAGGATCAGGAGCACCATGAGCACGTAGTCTACGGGGAAAGCACGAGCAGTCTGTAAAAAGATCCAGTTGATGGGTTGGAAGACGTTGATGTGCGCCAGGATGTATCCGCAGCGTTCCTTGCAGACCGAGTTGGCGGCCTTGTCGATACCCGTGATTAGCATAGAGACCCAGATGAGTAACGCGAGCACCACAAGGAGCATGCCTCCGACGAGCTTGAGGGGCCTGAATACTGCACAAATCTTCGACCACGCCCTCACGATGAAACCCTTGCCCTCGCCCTGTGCTTCCGCAGCCAATCTCTCGCGCCGCACCAGGGTTCGCTCCTCGCGAACGAGAGCCTCCAGCTCGCGCCTGTCTTTAACCGGTATCCCGTCCGCACGGCCAGCATTGCGCATCTCCAGCTGCCTCTGGCGTTCCCTGTTCTGCTGCAGCTGGGACGCGGTGTTTTCGGAGAGCTCCGGCGCGGAGACGGAGGGGGCAGACTTGATGAAGGAGACGGGGAAAAGAGCCAGACCGGCGCCGGTATATGGGATGTAGAGAAGAGTCCCCAGCGTGACCAGCAAGCCGACGCCAAACGTCAGCGCTTTCTCTCCGTGGTTCTCATCGAGCAGCTTCTTGAAGAAGTCGAGATCGAGGTGTTTGCCGTCGTCGCGGGCGCCGGCAGCGGGCACGAAGAAGCCGACGAGGAATAAGATGACGACCAGGAGTATGAAGGCGATGGTGTACTTGAGGGCTCCCCATAGGCGCGAACCGAAGGTCTGGTTGCCTTCCTGCTCCTCGACCTCGTCGTACTCCTCGTACCAGAAGTACGCAAAGGGGATTACGAGGAGGCAGAGCAGAGCGTCGAAGCTGTAGAGGAAATAATAAACGATCTTAAGCGTAAGGAGGATATTGTTGACGCGTTGGGGGGAAGCCCAGTCCTTCTTGGCTCCGAGGGCCGTGGAGGTGGTGGAGGAGACGAGGGCGATGTCGACGGGAAGGAGGAAGACGGTCGCGAGAAGAGAGGTTAAGCTGACGATGGCGACGGTGGTAACGATCGCGGATCGTTCACGTGGGGTCTGCCATATAAATGTGGTGATACTAGCAGCGACTAGAGCTAATACGACTGCAACGACGTAAGTCACCCAGATTAGGGACGTCTGAACGTAACCTTGGGCAGCCATTTTTCGACGATGCTCGATGGTGCTCGACGGTGCAGAAACAGAACGAAGCTTTTTGTGTATAGTTACCTGTACCTAGTCTTAAAAAGCTGCTAACAAATAGATTGGAATTAGAATGGAAGGTAAAAATAAAGCATTGAAGAAAGGGAAGACAAACGCAGGTAAATTTACCCCGCGTTCCTAGGAGTTTTTAAGGGTTTGGAAATTGGAATGTCGACGTTGTTGATGCTTTAAGTAGAAACTTTACTCTCAAGCTTTCGTCGGAATGACGTACAGTAAAACCCTACCATAACGAATGGGAAAAAACAGCGAATCAGATTCGTTATGGTGTAAATTCGCTCTAGAGAGTAAAATGGAGCTAGTACCAAAAGGGTAAAGGGTAGTAGGTACGTACCTAACGAACTTAATAAGCTTGAAAAAGTTAAAAAGTCTAGCGAAATTAAGGATAATTTTTCCAAAAATAGCTTAGTGTTTATTTTAAAACGGTATAACATTACTTATTTTATAACGAATTTAGTGGTAACTAAGCATAAAATCTAACGAAATTCATTAATAAAAAATATTCGTTAAATTACATATAAAATTCAAGAAGCAGCTATATTAATTCGTTAAGATATAAATTCGCTATATATTAGATTCGTTATGGTACGGTTTTACTGTATTCCCTTTAGGTAAGTTTCGTTGCTCCTCCCTGTTTTTCTGCATAAAGGTTGTAATAATCTGCATAAGTGTCACATGACAACGATGTATATACTCCCACTCAGTGGATCTCAAGTATCGTAACCTTTACATAAAACAACCATTACTATGATTCTTCTTCTGACAATAAGGGTTGTGACAAGGGCTACATTATACCGTTTAATTAACACACCTTTTGACTTTTACATATGTTCAGACAATATCTCAATAAGCACAGTACCTATCGCTACGGATAGTTGCATATAATAGAGTATAACTATAGTCTGAGCACGCACCCAAACTCATCCTAGGTATCGAAGGCGATAGTTACATTTTATTAACTTTAATGCTTTTTGAATTACTCTATAAAATGAGTGTGGTACCCAGTGGTTCAGAAATCCATGTAAAAATGTTCTATGCTATTAATTCAAGTTCCTTTCCTAAAGTCCGTAGACTTTTCCCCTACTCCGTCGTGGTCAACATCTCATCTATTTCAGATGTACTGACAGACTTACACCAACCAGTTTTTCATCATATTATGCTGTTTCTTGCCAATTGGAAATGTCTGACAGCCTTATTCGACAGCGGTCTGGGGACCGTGTTAACCCACAATGTACATCCCTACTATTAAACCAGCCGCGCGACGTATTACTTGAGATACTGGATTACCTTCCACCCGCGGATGCTATATCCTTAGCCCTCACCTGCAAACCGGCATTCCATACACTTTTCGAGGTGGCAACAAAACACCTTGATCACCAGAATAAAAAAAAACCTTCTAATAAAGTTAGAAAGGGACCTTAGCGGAGAGTTTTTCTTTTGCCATAGATGTACGCAGTTACATCGATATTCGCAGTCTTGGGCACCCGGCCTTATAATGCAGAGCCGCCTGGGACCACCATGTAGGTCTAGGATCATAGGCTTGGGGGGTCTGTACATAGGTTTCCACCACGCTCGCCTTGTTATGAACGCGCATTTGTTTGGCCCTGGGCGAGGGCTCAACCTTGAAAAGCTCCAATTCAACTCGTTACGACTTGAAAACAGCTGGGTAACTAGTTCCGCCGCTCGAATCATCGACGGTCAACTGTTCCTGCGTCTCACGCACCAGCTTGTATTAAAACAGCTTAAAAGTGACAATTACCACCCCTTCCGACAACTGCGGCATAACCATTACATCTGTTGTCATTTTTCCACACATCAGCAATCACAACTTTCCTGGATTATGCCGGGCGCGCTACCACCTCGACACGTATATTTTTTACCTGCCATAATCGAGTATAGTCGTTCCAGACCCGCCCCGGAGACTTACGATGAAGTGTCCGGCTCTTGTGAAACTTGCCTGTCAGATTTTGCTGGAATTGTCAAATTGTACAAGTGTGACAATGGGCAAGAGCTGTTGGACGTTAAAATCGAGTCTTACCATCAACTTGGGGATTGCCGCTCACCGTCAGACTGGGAATGGGCCACGTTTTCCCCACGAGTTTCACCACGACCATTACCAGGATTTGTACGTTTACATTTCCTGGCCAATGACCATCCCATCGGCGCGGTCAAGAAGCGGTGGGATATGGCTGGTTCCTGTAGGGCTAGGCGCCGAACTATTTAGAAGGGTAGATCGTGACGATAATAGGAGCAACTAATATTCGATACCTACCTGGTAAAATAGCATACTTATAGCTCAGGTTGCCTGCTTCTTATGCTAGGGATATGTGGGGATACGGATGTTATGGAATTATTTTTATTATGATTGTTGTTGTTTCTATTGGGAGGGGACGGGAGGCTAGCTGTTATTTTAGTTCAAACTACCTAATATATAATATTTGCTAAGGGCATAATTGCATGTACTAGTGCTGTCTACGTAAACTCGACGACGCACCCCAAAGGGGTGCTGCGCTTTAATTAAGGAAACGGGCAAGATTAGGGATTCGATCCGAAATACTTCCGAACAAATGTAATTCCTACGCGTTTTGAAGTATTTCCCAACATTCATAAAATTTCATAAAATGTCATTATTCTTCTTCCGCTTTTAGCAGGTAACAGAGATCGGAATAACCTCTTACTGGTGCTTGAAGTCTGGTACGCTAGCTTAATTACTGCCCGATTTCCTAATTAAAGCGCAGCACCCCTATGGGGTGCGGCGTCGAGTTATACGTAGACAGCACTAGTAAATATTCTCGACTTCCCTTTACAGATGAATAGGGGTACGTATCACGTGACGCCCATCTCCTGGAACTTTTGTTCGACGAAATTGTATTGTTACGAGTTCAAGCTGTATTTTTCTGCCCCTTGGTGTCCATCGCAGCCCCGCTATTAAGCAACCATGTGTCGCTTACCTCGGCGTAATCAACCATACTCCTGAAACTCTTTTGCTTCTGGTTTGGTGGTACGTCACGTCCGGTACGTGGATGATTGGGGTTTTGCCAGGAGTTCGATAGGCCACGTCGGCCATTCAGGCTACTACTGGCTCCTAAAGTCGAGCGGAGGGCATTGAAGATACGCAACTCCAAGATGTGGTGACGCACGAAGCGGACAAATGCAGTCGCGGAGCATATTATGAGCGTCACATTCATTTGAATGAGACTGAGGAAGTTATTGGTAATGCCTTAGCATCTTTGTCTCTTTCCAAATGTAATACAATGGAAGGTAAACAGGACGCTTACCTGCATATCAGCACAACTGCAGTATTATATGTGCTATCATTGTTGTCACTCTGGACTGCCTCGACTCTGTAGACAAGTGACAAGATACTGGCGGCGATGGCCCTGGAGGGTATCAGCTAAGCATACAATTGAAGCAGGCATGTTTTTTCGACGTCGATTGTCTTACAGTAGCGCTATAAAGAATATAGCCGAGACCTGCAACTTTTTCTTCTTGGAGAGGTTTAGCTTAGAGATAATAGGCAATGGCAGTATGAAGATGTAGATGTCGATCAAAGTGTCTAATGCGGCCCCTGCAATCGACAACTGGAACATCCAAAAAGTAATGGTGCCATTAGCATCGCCGGATTGATCTCCGATTCCCACAGCATAGCTATATGTCAAGACTCCCAAGCATCCCACCGTGATTACAATACTAATAACCATACCTATCCATATAGCTATACTCATCGGTCGCGAGACAATAAAGAGCTGATGGAATAATAGTAGAGTGGCTGCTCTGGCGGGGAATATACTGAATGTTACAAGCATCTCCAATATATATGTTATCTGGGGGTTTAGGTATACACATGCATTAGTACCTGGTCTCATGGGCATTTGTTAAGAAATAACTACTCACCTTCCTGTACTGATCATCGATCCAGCATAAAGGTAGATTCCATATGTGCCGGAAGTATTTGGCGTCTGGAGATGGGAAGATGAACAATCCATTGAGTAGGAACGCATGATATGATATTGCATACACATAACCATCAAAACCACTGTGATAACATTCGATATAACGGCGATAAATACAAAAACTGGCAGACATTTATTGGTATCCAGATGAGCTTGTGCGTAGGTATATGATGGATAACTCACAATCGCCCATTGTCAACTTCCGAATATTGACGTAGAGTCTTCCAAGGCCAAATATGACCGCAATCGTCGCCAGTATAACACTCAGGGAAATCGTCAGGGATTTCAGGTCACTGCTGGTAAGGTCGGATGATTGCCCCGGGGGAGGATTACCGGTCGGCAATTGGCAGAGATCTGTCCCAGGCGGTAAGGCATCCAACGGTGAACCCATTTTCAATTTGATATAAAAGGCAAGGATGAGTTAGGTTCCTAAGGCAGCAACGTGCATGGATTCGAAGTAAACGGTTAGGTAATTAAGGGGTTTGGATCGAACTGGAACTCGAAATGCGACACTTAGCGAATATATATCAGACCTCTTACAAGAGCCTTCTATACGCTCCATCACTTTCTAGATTGATGTTGCAAGCATGGAACCCTACGTTATGTATTTTTATTTTTATTTTTTTTTAAAAAAAATCAGCCCCATGAGCATCCAGATCATGCCCCTCCAATAAATCAGGTATCCTTAAATAGCAGCCCCCAATGGAGTATCATATTGCGAGTTACAACGGGATGGGGGGTAGCTTTTGACCTATCAATGGAGGTTCAACGGATAGGATCTTCAAATGTGCGGCTGCAACAAGCGAACGAGTTTTGATGGCCAAGACCACCATAGAATCCTACTACGACTCATAGACGTCTTTTTTGACACAATGTCACTCGATGTGTTGTAGGGATGAATCCTACCTAGGTAGACAGCAGAAAGGTTGTAGGCTTTACACTCATAGGAGGTAATCAACTAGGAGTAATTGATCTTTTCAATTACGTACTGGCTGCAATACCCTATACTCTACCTACCAGGTAGATACATACCTGACGGTAATTATACTAGGGGTAGGCATATGATAGTTGGCTTACTTTGTACGGGACACTAGCCAACGATGCTTTCCATCATAATGACCTAGGTACCTAGCTACCTAGGTAATGGGCGACTTGCTTATAACTTATCAAGTATTGCCAAGCTCTTTCCTCCAATAGAGTCACCAAATTCATCGGGCTTACTTGGAGGTTACGGCCATTACATGGTATATACACGTTAGAGGCAATGGCCTAAACAAGGCTAAGAAGATATCAAAGAAATAGATGCCCCTTATTTAGAGAAAATACCACATACAATCACCAGAAATATCGAGAATGCTAAGACCACTATAATTATCCTGCTACCAGTCTTACATTGTTGTATTGACAGCCCTTGAACGCTCCCAGTTACCAACACTAGCCCAGCCCTCACTAACACCCAAATCTTACGTCGTTCAATCTCTCCCTACTTTCAGGTATATATAGTAATATTCTCACTATCATATTTAGTGAGAGACAAAGGTGTGCCCTTATGAGGACCGGTCCGACGTGCTAGATGCTTTGGCAAAGTTTCAGACAGATCCTAAGAAGGACCCCCATGCGTAATTGAACATCAAGTTTAATGTGACTAAACGACTCTTGGAGTTGTTATTGGCCTCACATACCTCGAGCCTGGGAAAGACCCTGGGGCATTCGCCCCTTTTCTCCGGCTTGACAAAAGATGGACCCCATCGCTTGATACGACTGGCCTTAGAACAATTCATAGCTTAATCAGCAAATATCCCATTCCTTCGGTCCCACGGTATATGCAAGCTTGCTTATAGGAATAATTTGAATTGAATGAGGACTAACAATAACTTCAGAATCGAATGGACCACAACAAGTTTCCAGCCTAGTCGGAGAATCTAATGAGATATTCACCAGATCTTCATGAACGCAGCAAGCATGGATCAGGATGTTCTCAGACGATATGGCGAGGAAAATGTAAAAAGGCTGAGACATGTGCAGCAGAAATATGACAAGGGCGCGGTATTTCAACGACTAAGACCGGGCGGGTTTGAGATACCTCGCCCATGATAAAGTTTCAGTTACCTTTAGGTACTTACAATGATGGAAAATATCGAGCAAAGCCGACAGCCCTATTAAAGAATTGACAAGTGTGTGTGTATTGTCTATGTAAAAGAAAAGATTTTTATTTTTTTTATTATTTTTTTTTTACAAACAATCACTCAACACTGAAGAAGAGCAGAAGGAGCCACGTTCGTGGCTCATGTGTGGCACACTCACAAGAATCATCTCCAGAGATGATCCACGGCCGAGCTTCAAGTCATTTCGTAAAACTATCTTGAGTGCAGAAAAGTCCTTGAAGATCGTCGTCAAAACAAGCTCGTCCCGCATCCTCAGGATTCCTATATCTACCGACATGAGTTACATATCGGTGTGCTTAGCATCCTTGGCAGGCCGGGCTGGACAAGAGATTTCGCTTGGCAATTTGCATTGTCGTGAATCCTGCCAATGCGGCACCCGGCATACAAGGTACATACAATACCACCTTTGGAGGTAGGCACTTGCTCTCTAAGAAGGCATGGTCTCATGTTCAAAAAAAAAAAAAAAAAAAAAGGAAAGTTTCCATGTCAAGTTGTATGGGCATTGTTTATTATTGTAATATGTGACACAGGTATTCAGCTGGTTTATATCGACTTCCTAGCACCATTCTTTTAACTGTTATTAATCTCAATAACCGGCCCGGAATACACTTTCCGCGCCCACACGGCGTAGTATACCACGGACCAGATAAGCGTCGCTCCAACCATCAAAGCACTCATGTTCATACTTTCGGCCGTGGGGTTGACGTGAGTAGGCCAGAAGCTGAAGAACAACATGACCAGGAGGAATGCGCAGCCAAATGCGTTGACGATAGTTCCGAATGGCTCCGGGATCTTCATAGGTCCCCACGACAGGTTCTCGTGGTTCGTGTTGGTCAATGCCCTGTTTTCCCGGTTGTACGGACGGATACCGCCTGTCAATCGGCGCCAGAGGAGAAGACCGTTTCCGATAAGGTACGCGCCGTCCAAACCGTTCACAGTCAAGGAAACGATGTCGTTGAACGCTACCGAGGACCCTAGGGTGATGAGGGCGAGGAGGTAAGAGATGATCGTGGTGAGAACAATTGCAATTACCGGAATAGACGTCTTAGGCTCGACCTAGGAATTCACGTCAGTCTTGCAATGAGTTTGATCGATACCAATGAGGACACCTACCTTGCTAATATAGAACCAACCCGGTAAGCCCCTATCTCGAGCGAAAGACCAAGTCATTCGGGAAGCCGTAGCCATCAGAGAGACCATCGCAAAGAGGTTCAAGACTACAAGGATCGAGGCCATGGTTTGGGCGCCCTTTTGAGACCCCACACCCTGTTGGAATATCTCCATAAAGGGGTATTTAGTGGGCGAGTTGAGAGCCGCATCAATGTCGCCAATGCAGAATAGTAAAGCAAGTAGACTGCCAAACCCTAGAACACCGTTCAGGAGAACCGTGAAAATCATTGCTCGTGGGACGATCACGGACGCGTTCTGAATCTCTTCGGACATCTATAGAAAATCATTAGCGGGTCTGAATTAGGAGGGGATTTCTCTATAAGTGTGCTTACGTGCACAGCACCATCAGCGCCTATCTCTTATTAGCCATGTCATATCTCAGCAGCAAATGAGGTGCGGTAAGAGGTAGGTACATACCAAGAAAGTTGAACACAGCAGCTATCATCCCAAGCATGAAAGAAAGGCCTTGCGTCGGCCACCCTCCTCCGTTCGAGAACTGGGTGAAAACCTCTTCGGCGCTTTTATGCGGGCTCAGATAGACCAGCGGCACGAGGATCGCGAAGAAACCGAGGATGTGAAGGATCAGGACGAGACCTTCCACCTTCGGCAGGGCGCTGCTCACGATCGTGTTGACGAATACCGCCCACGCGACGGACGCGTACAGCAGCAGGAGTTTCTGCCATGGTAGCGGGACGTACTCCGGATTCCCCATCACGGCGACACCTTGGATCAATCCGGCGGCAAGATAGCCCAGACTCGCGACGGCGGCTTGCCACCCGATGACCGTCAACCAGCCTTGTATAAATTCTTAGCCCGAGCCCAAGCCTTTCGGGGAAACAAGAACGTAGGAGGTAGCTATCGAGACGTACCGATGAAGTAACTCATGAACTTGCGCCAATTGTTCGGCGCTAACATGTACACCCAATGGTACTGGCCTCCTGAAGTCGGCGCCCTGTACGTGAAAGTGATGTTAGCTTTTTTGCGCCCCTTGCTATGGGAAGGGGCCGGGACAGCGCGCTGCTCACTCACATGGATGCTAGCTCCCCCATCGTTGCGAAGACACAGAGGGTGCCGATCCAAACGATTATAAACCCATATATAGACCCTGCAGAACCGCCATTCTCGTACGCTTGAAGGAAAAGCCTATAGTTGCATATTGTCAATTTTTGGTATATATATAAAAAACAAGTATGCGCACGGTGAGGGAGGAAAAAAACGTACACCAGCTCTCCCTCCCAGGTGTTCATAACCGTGCAGCTGAAACCGAGAATGGACATGAGGGCAAAATTGCGCTATTATAAGGCAATGTGTTAGTCCCGCTCTCCAGTAGATATTAACAATAGATAGATCGATATCACTCGTTACCTTGAGTACGGGGACTTTGCCGAGGCGAGTAAGAGTCTCATTGTCGCGATCGATAATCGACTTCTTCCCTCCTCCCGTCGTTTCCGTCGGCTCGATATTGAGCTCGGTAGACATCGCCTTATTGTCGTCGCGCTTCGTCGACTTGAGCTCGTAGTCGTTCGACATCTTAACTTAGGGGGCGCTATTGCTTCCTTCACGTCCTACCCGGAGGGCGAGAAGGCTTCGCGGTGGCTCTGAGTTCTTTGCGATTTACGTCCAATGGCAAGAATTAGAGAGCATGGTAATCTACAGCGAGTGGGTAGTAGTATGTAGGAGTAGGAGTAGGAGTAGTAGCAAGTAATAGTAGGATATAATCCAGAAAGATCTACGAGCTTGAGGAGAAGCGAGCCTACATGCATACATATTTCTGTTAGTGGACGGTTTCAGCCCCGAGCTGAAACCGAGGGATTGAAATTATTGAAGCCTTCGAGCAGGGTGCACCCATTACCAGCATGCTTCCAACGTCCTGTTCTAGAATATTTTCGCGAAGTCGGGGGGCCGACGTACCTACATATCACGCAACGCACTCACCCTTTGGTAACGGGTGAAAAGCCAGTGTTTCTCTCTTCAAACAACGCGGATGAGCAAGGGGGGAGGGTTGCGAGATAAGGGATACAACGTCGTTTTTTGAGCAACCTGCCTGCCTGCTAGATTGGTTAAGCTGGTCAAGTAGCGATACATTCGGCCATTAGCCGGAAATACTCCCCGTCGTGGCCCCAGACGAGCTACCAATGTTGATGACCGTGCATTGCATGGAAGGATTTCTTTAGGCATGCTAATCTATTCGACGAACCACAGCCCAAGGACGGCACGCAATACATAGTACACCGCATCCTATCTTAGGTACCTATCATAGGTAATCATATACCTAGCTCGACGTAAACGGGAATGATTTACTCTAGCATATAACTGAGAGACATATTTCTCTCTCGTACTATTTGAGGCATAGGTCGTTAATTCTTTCCAGCTACGGACATCTAAATAACCAGTTATAATTGCACTGAAGAAAATCTTTCATTTGTACAACGGTCCAGTGGCAAATATATATAGAATGTAGTATAGAGGTAGTTTAGGTATAATAAACCGTGAACCTCGCCGCACACAGGCATCGGCATTGACATGGGAATTAAGCCACTTACCGCGGCGGATTTGGCGGGATGTCCCGCCGCTACTGCAGAACAAGAAAACAAAAAAGAAAAAAAAAGGCATTATCATAAAGAAAGACATTACTGCGCAAAGTATCTACGGATTTGTAACCCCTAATATGAAATAACTACTCGGCAGGCGGGGTCGGTGAACTCGTAACTCCCCAGCTCTTGACTTGCTTGATAAGCTTTGTTTGGCTAGAGCGGCTGCTAGCATCCCATTCTGGCGGATTATGTGCTGTCCCAACGGTAACGGAAGTAATTACCTCAGCGTTGGCCATTCCGAGGTTTCCCAGCTCGTGCGACGCAGAATTTGTAGATTTCGATGCGCCGGAGCCGTCTTGTTTCCGCCAGTATCCGTACGATGACTTCCCCGTGGCATTCCCGCGACGACGGAGATCATCGCTTCGGATCATTCCGGATTCCAGACTGTCGAGAAATGGCTTGAGATATGGAGCGCTAGCAGTCATGATACCGAGGTTTTGAGCCAGTGTCATCGCGACACCAATAAGCCAGTATGCGAATGTAGCGTCTTGGTGGTTCGATACCTTTTGCGACTCTATCATCTGCCAAATAAGTGCAGCAATAGTCCTAGAGCATTAGGTATGCATTAGTATACAGGTAGCTTAGGTCGAGGTAGTTATGAACCGCCACTCCGTCGGAGACTTACAAGATTCGAGTCGCAAAACATGATATGACCGCAATCTTGCGCTTTAGATGGGTCTGTAACTTCCACACGACTACGAATGGCAACCATATTAGACAGAAATCAAGTACGATGTCGACGGTGTTGATATAATTCCACATCGCGTTTTGATTTATGCAATTGTCTCCAAGAATTCTCCAGGTCCCCGGCGTATCGCATTGGAATATCAACATCAACACCGAGGACGACGCCCAAGCGAGGGTGGCTACGGTAAGGATCAAGGTCAGAATTCTGTGAAAATCGATGGGCGATATCACTCTTATGAAAAAGATGACGGAGAGTTTAGAGAAGGCCTGGCTCGCCACGAAAAGGACATTCGCGGCATAATAAGACTGGCTAGATTGTTAGCGATTGTAATTGCCAATCTGACATGCGGACGGGCACAGCGGACCTTTTGAAAGAATATGATGTTGTCGTCAGACAGAATATTTTGGTGTCGCCCCAACCCATTTCCAACCGCGATAGACGCCGCTATCGTCTGCGCAATACTAAACACCTATCAAAATTAGAACGCCGTATTAATCAAATGCGATATTGCCAGAGGCGGCTTACAAGCGACACAACAATCATAGTGTCGTCCACATGGAACGACTTGGAGACTCCCCATTTCGTCACGAGCCTAGTGCAAACCAGGAGAAAGCTGCAAATGCCAAGAAACCATGATACCACGTTAACCACCGACCCGTGGTTGTCGGGACTGTCGTGCAGGGAGACGTTTGTGTCGGAGGAGTTCATCGAGCCGTGATCATGGTTTTCCAATGTCGTCTTTCACCTGCTCGACACTAGTAATACTACCATACGGCGGTGGGACCAGATTAGAAAAGAATATATCAGAAAAAAAAATTGGCCGAGGTAGCTATGACTGATATTCGGTGGGCTGGGCGTTGTAATTAACTTGGCGATCTGCCAAGTGAGCGCTGTGCAGGGCGTTGCTACAGAAGGATTCAGGCGATTCCAAAGATGGCGAGCGACCCAAATAGCCTGCCAAATAGTCTGCTAACGCGAGCTGCGGCGTCAGCTCCCGTACCAGAAGCAGATCATATTAGACCTAGGTAGGTAGCTGACATTTCAGAACTACCTATAATACTGGTGGCTTATGTGTGTACGGCTCTATTACAAGAAGAAGGTCCAATCCCGGGAGCAGAGGGGGGGGAAGGACAAAAAGTGTTGCATTGAACACACGTTTTTTTCAATATGCACGCGTGAACAAAATATTACGAGAGGAAGGTTGACTGTTACCTTGTCGTCTTGGCTGCTACCGAAACACAAGCTGAGGGCGCCCGTATAGGCTGCGCTGGGTGCTAAGCATTGTGCTAAGCATTGAACCAAGCATTGAGGATACAACGCTTACCGACTTCTATTTCCCACTGTAATGAGATAATGGTTACCATGTGCCCATGTAGGTACCTCAAGATGTAACCATTCATTAGCCATTCACAACTTTGGACGCAGGTGCTAAGCTTCCCTACTGGTCACATTTGGACCATAACGCTTGACCATTCAACCCATCTCCAAATTCAATTGGACAGCCCGGTCTTAAATCTGTCCGGGTACCTGTACATACATCGCAAACGGAATTACTTGGATACACGTGATAGTATCCTACATCGGATCAACCGTCATTGTGCTCGTTGGAAGGGAGATACACGAGAGATAGCTAGGCTTTGTTCCGAACGTTTGATCTTCAGCTTCAACTAATCCTATCTTTGGTTCTTCGCTCCAAGTCTTCTTGTTGCTTTTCGTTCGCAATGTCTTTGAAGCTCCACGAACTCACCAACGATGAGGACTTCAAGGCGGTAAACGCCGTAGCGCACGAAGCCTACGATAACCCCTTCAATGGCGTCTGGCAACTCACCAAAGGTACCTCGCCGGAGGAAGCTTGTGCCCGCCAATTGGTCTGGCATAAGATGCAGCCTGGTAGTCATTGGGTTTATGCTACCGACGAGGGTACTGGCGAAGTGATCGGTGGCACGCGGTATATCATTTACGAGACAAATCCATACGCCGTAGAACAGCTTCCGCGCAAGGCTTCCTGGTTGCCAGAAGGTCCCCTAAGACAAGTCGGAGATCATCTCCTCGCTTCCTTAGGAAAACATCGCCCAGCCCTTATGAATAAGCCGCACATACGTAGGTCTCACTTTACCCCTCTTAGCTTCGTGCGCCACTTACCAGTCAGAAATACCATATACAGTCGTATCGCTATGTTTTGTGCATTCGGCACACAGGAAGCGGGGAGCCGCAAACTTAATGTTGGAATGGGTGGCTCGAAAAGCGGATGAGCTTGGCCTAGAATCTTTTGTTGAATCTACGGAGATGGCTCGTCGCGCATACGAAAAACAAGGGTACTACATTATCGGCGAATTTAATCTTGACGCGCAGGAGGAGAATCCCAGTAAAGAATTCACGGCGGAGAGAGAAAGGCTCGGGTGTCCGATCCATGGGTTCATTATGAAGCGAGATCCGAGCAGCGCAAGGGATGTAAAATCTACCCAATAGATACAGTTTATACTATGTAAAATATTAGGTCAAGGTACCTATTACCTACATGGATAAACTGGATCCATGTTATGAGGCGCGTCAGCAACTCCCCCAACATCTCGCACATTGAAGGGTCTTGGGAAAATCAAACTACGGAGAATGACCAATCAGAACCCGAGCCGGGTTTAGTGTATACCCCTTTCGGAATGCGACATGACGCATCAGCCAATCAGAGTTCCGCATCGTAAATAAGCAGCCTATCTACTATGTAGAGCCATCAAACATTCTAAAAGCTTACCCTAGGTACCTAGGTATCTATCTACTTGTTAAAGGATACCCTGGTTCGTTTGTTTGAAGATCATTCATTCAACTTCTTTTTTTTTTTTAAAAAAAAAAAACTCGGGTGGCAAGTAAAAGATCGTGAAGACCTTAGGTACCTGTCTTAGCGTTTTGAAACCTCGTTCCGGAGCATCGGGCTCAGTTAGTTTCAGCCATACAATGCTTAGCACCTGGAAGTTCAGTTTCTTATACAATGACCAAAGCCAGAAACTCTACTATATACTTGAATTATAATTTTTAATTCAGTAATAAGACTAGAGTCGCCATGAAGTCCACGGGCTAAAGTAAATGCCTTTGGCGCTGTTTTCAGAGGGGACGAAACGAACAAAAGCGCCATGTAAGGGAGGTTGCGGGGGTCTACGCGGGGTGCTGGAAAGCTGTAAATTCCCGCTGGTTTTGAAGCTTACAGCACAAATATAGAATATTGGGTTATGTCTTCTCGAACTCTACGCTCCAGTTGAGAAGTCTTGCAGTAAATATAACAATTTTTAAATATTCACTTGGAAGCCACTTTAGGTACCTGTTATTAAAAAGGAATAGATTAAGCTACCTCCTAGAAGGTTAGGTACCTTTTAGGTATATACGGTATTTTTGATTTCATCAATCTAACCTTGAAAGTCGTCCCCTTGTATTATTGGCTTTGTCCAAGGTTAGAAATCCTTCATCATCAACAACAGTTTCTCCTACTGAAACTCGACACTCAATCTTTCCTCTTGAGCATATTGATACCTAGGGTACCTACCTAACTTAATGCCAACTTCACTCATTTTATAATGGCCGAATCCAGCGACATATCCCCTGACAATCTTAAATCAACCAATTTCATAGAGGCATCTGACGAAATAGAAAAGGCCCCCTGCCCGCCAATTTTGGCTCGGCCGATGGATAAGGATCGAATAGAATCAGAAACAGCTGTGCAAGGGGGCCTTGTTGACTTTGGCGATGAGACAGATTCATCCAATCCCCAAAATTGGTCCCCGAAGCTCAAATGGACCTTGATTGCTCTGGGCTCCTTGTTGGATTTCACAGTGCGAGTCTTTTCCCGATCTCTGTGCTTTTTTTTCTGCGCTCTATTTTTCTGACATGCATTCATTTCTAAAGATCTCTGGCGACGATCATCTGCGCGCCCGTCGCGCCCCGGATCATGGCCGACTTCAACGAGACGGATGACTTCTACATAACTTTCATCGTCTCCGTCTGGGAGCTCGGCGAGATCTTCGGCCCGCTCATCGTCGCTCCGCTCTCCGAGCTCTACGGCCGGTTGTATATTTACCATGCCGGCAACGTCTTCTGCATCATCTTCTCGATGGCCTGCGCCCTGAGCACTAACATCCAGATGCTGGTAGCGTTCCGCTTCCTCAACGGCCTGGCGAACGTATCCCAGACGCTCAACCCCAGCATCGTCGGCGATCTATTTCGGGTTGAGCAGCGAGGAAGCGCGATGTCCATGGTAGGTCTTGCGACGATGCTAGGCCCCGTCGTCGGTCCTATCATAGGCGGTTATCTCGGCGACGCGATGGGGTGGCGGTGGTGCTTCTGGCTCATCATGATCCTGTCCGGCTTCCTCGAGATATGGTTTCTGTTCTTCTTGCGCGAGACCTATTCCGTGCAGATCCTCAAGAAGAAAGCAGAGCGGCTCCGCAAGGAGACCAATAACCCTAACATCAGGTCCAAGTACGAAACAGACCATACGGCGTCGCAGCTGTTCAAAAATGCTTGCGTACGGCCGATAGTGATGCTTTTCACATCCCCCGTTGTGTTCCTGTTGTCGCTATATGTTGCCGTGGTTTACGGATACTTCTACCTGGTCACGACAACCATCACCACTGTCTTTGAATCCACCTATCACTTCTCGACAAGCGTAGTTGGTCTTAGTTTCCTAGGAATTGGTAAGTGAACTTGGAACTACGTCGCTTTAACTATCCGCTAACTTCTCGGGTGTCAGGCATCGGTTGCGTGCTTGGCGTTTTTTTTTGTCGAGCGACCCTCGATATCTGGGTTCGCCGACAGGCTAAATCCGGACAAGCACGCCCCGAACAGCGTCTCCCGCCCGTGATATTCAGCGGGTTAGTTTTCCCCGTCGGCCTGTTTATGTACGGATGGACGGCCGAAGTTCATACGCATTTCTTGGCGCCAATCATCGCTACCGGGATCATGGGCGTGGCACTCGTTTCCACGACAATCCCGGTGCGAAGCTACCTCGTTGACGCATTCGGTATATACGCCGCAAGCGCAATTGCCGGGTGCGGCGTGTTGAGAAACCTTGGCGCAACATTTTTGCCGCTCGCAGGGCCACCGTTGTATCAGAGATTAGGTCTTGGCTGGGGTAATTCGGTGATGGGCTTTATTTCGCTAGCCTTTATACCCGTCCCATTACTCTTGATGAGATACGGTCAAGCACTAAGATCTAGGGATAAACGGAATTACGAAGCGTAGGAGAGACCATGATATTATTATGACTTTAGTTCAAGCTTTGGATATTTGAAAAAGTGCCTCGATATAGACAGGATCTCTTAGTTTAGTGACAGGTTTGTTAATACCACGAACTGCTATTGAAGATCAGGTATATTTGAGGTATCTAATATACATTTATCCGCCATATAAGTCTGCTTATGGGTTTCGAAAGCCTGCCTATAAGAGACTTAGCATCTAATATACTGCGGTAAATCAAGTCGAAAATCCCATTGCAATGGTTACTTCTAAGAGTCTTCAAACAGACAAGACAGCAAGCTCCAACATAGTCTAACAAAGGTTTGGTTTAACCATAGCATACCTTTCTATGTGCCGGCGCTATTCAATGTCAGGTAGCACATATCGTACATCAATTTCGATAAAAGGTGTCAGAGCATTCCTACAAGGCCTCTAACTGGGCTTCTAGCATGCAGTAAGAGTGGCGTCTGCGGATTACTACGGTGCTGACCTCCTCCCACAGTCAAAATGATTACCGATGTTGCGTTGCATCGCGCCTCTCTGTGGCACGGCCCGGAAGGATCGCGCACAGACATGGATTACATGTACGTACAATACATAGCTCTTCGAGAGGAGCATAGGCTATCACCACTACTTACTTTTTTTGCATAGACCATATGTGTTTTAACTTGCCTCCTGTAACGTCGGCAATTTAATATTTAAACCTGTTGTTAAGATGATTGGACTATTTACACGAGAGAAGATACCACCATACCGCTTCTTGTTACTCGATTAAGCTTATTTGTTTAACCTAGATCTTACTGTATTATTAAGCCTCGGTTCCATTGGGTCAATCAAGAAAAAAAAGAAGATCCCTAACTAGGACAACGATTTGGATTCGTCTTTTAGGAGAACGAACGCGATAGAAAAGAATGATACATCCTACAACATCCCACAATCATGAGAGAAAGTCTTTCCACTCCGACCTGAATGATCGGTGGTATCTCCTCGGTGTTTCCTCGTTGGATGAGTGGCACCTACTGTGGATGCCACAACTAAGAGACAACAACGTATTTCAAGAACTTTAACTACCTGAGATAAAGTTGGTGTAGATACCGAAGAGGTGTTATTCTTCGATGATGTCTTAGACAATATGCCGTACTACCCAACTCAGACGTAGAGCTTAACAGGCTTCGACAAAAGTCCTATGATCGTGCCACTCATGGGTCAGATAGACTGTAATAAGCAATTGTGCCAACAATAAATTTTAGGTAGGTACACTTTTAGTCCAGAACTTTGTTCCCTCACGGCTGAGGTCGCACGGCAGGTTACCATCACAAACTGCGTAGGTATTCAAGTATATGAAATTTATCAACTTTGGAGCAACTTCAAAGTTAGTTACCTGCCATTAGCTTGTTTGAAAGAAGTCTCGAGAAGCGTTCAAACGCCTTGGTTAAATTAATTTAGTGAACATATTCCAGTTAACAACCCCTAACTATATCCAGGCATGCTTATGCTTGCTTAACCCCAATCAACCCAGCTGAACTTCTTCTCCTCAGTCGGCTTCCAGTCCGTTCCCTTTCCGAAATACTTCCGCGCCTTTTCCCACTCGGGGGTGCCCTCCTGGCAGAACCGAAATCTCGGAAGCTGGCTGGGCTGATTATCCTCGAACGTGCCATTTCCGTACCGGTAGCAGCTCGGATAAGTCTGCGTCCACTTCTCCAGGGCGTCCCAGTTGCGACATTTGTGCGTCTGGTATACCGCCGAATTGTGAGGTGTCGAGACATTGGTGGCGCGGAGCGTGTCGTCTGCCTGGCACTTGATATCTGCAAGTAGCTGGTCAAGGCAGTGGACTACGTGCCCGTTCGATATCGACGGTAGGTTCCCCATCCGGTAGTCCCTGAAAGCCCGGTAAACTTGCTTCTGCGATAAATCTTAGCATGTGATTGGTCGGAAAGATCTGGGTAACCCATACGATGCAATGCAGGCTGTGGTAAGCGTTCACAAAGTAGAGGGATTTACTGGAATCCCAGGGAAACGTCGCCGCTTCGTCTAAGCCTTTCTCTGCCGCCCATGACTTAGGTACCGCGACAACACCCGGATCGAAATCTAGGCTATCCCAAAGGCGATCCCGCACTTCATCGTTGGGGTCGGCGTAAGCGCCTTTCTGATTCCAGAACACATCTATTTCTCCTTCTTTCAGTCCAGCTAGAGTAAGATGTGAGTAAGGGTTCTAAAGTGCTCAAGGCAGGTATCAAGCATACCATATTTCGTTCGATATGTCGTAGACTCGCTCTGGGTGGTATGTGACAATAGCACCTTGTAGAGGCTGATCTGTAAGATGTTTAAGGAGAGTAAGAGGGAAACGAGGATTATCAGAACTATATTCAACCGCTGAAGCCGTTTGTTATTTCTTTCTTCTTTTGCGGAATGTGAGATTCTGAGGCCTCGGATGTCTTCGCCTATCTCTTCGCCCATTAAGGGCTTATACTCGTGTTTTTCGGACATTGGAGTTAGAAGAGCACTGGCCTGGACAGTGTTTTTGTTCGATATACCAAACCACGACGAATTCAAGAGAGTGGAGGAGAGTTTTGAACGTGGAGAAAGGGCGACAGAAATGTGTAAAGTCGGTTAGTCCTCTCATGCGAGTATAGACGTGAAGAATCGCCCAATTCAATGGCTATGGATGATCATTCCGTATAAGGCATCCAGGGTGCCATCGGCACTGGACTTGCATAAGGCGGGATCCAGATCTTCGAGGTGTTGAGGAATCACATGGTAGCACAGATATGCGCCGTCGTCACATTAGAAAACAAAATACATAATAATCTCCAACCATAATCCAAGAAAAGGCTCTATCTGTCTACTGAAGATTCCTTTCGATGTGACGGCGGGATTTTCCTCGTAGCGCCTTAGTGTTGCATAAACACGTCTATTCGCCCGAATTCGTCGCAGCCAATAGCTCGATCCAGATGAGAGACGCCCGTGGTTAGAGGAGAAGTTGGCCCGCCTTCGTGGGGACAGCCACATATCACCCTACTTTTGTCCTTTTGGGTCCTACTTTGCGAGATTCTTCAGCATATATTGGCATCCTCCCAAACCAACGGTAGGCCAAGAACTCCAGGGCCACGGATATAGAGACAAGCTTCCACTATAAAGTCATCATCCTAACATAACTTGATTATCATCTTTTCGCCTACACATTGTGTTCGACATCAATATGCTTCTGAGCAAGCCTTTCTTGTTGGCATTTGCCATCATATCAACTGCTACAGCGCTTCCGCGCAGTAAGTAAAACACCTAGCATCTGGGAGAGCAGCGGTCATATTCAACGTACGGAACTAACTCTTCTATAGAAGCGGCCATAGCTGAGGGTTCTCTGTCTACCAGAGGGGAGATGATAGTAAACGAGCCCCCAGTTATTGCAAGGCGAGAAGAAAACATTTTCGACGAGCCGCCTTCCATTGCTAGGCGACATGAAGACGTCGTTAATGAACCTCCATCCATCGCCAAGAGGGAAGATATTGTCAACGAGCCTCCGAGCATAGCTAAGAAGGACGACGTGGTCAACGAACCCCCAAGCATTGCTTAACGGGACATTGTGGCCGGAAGCTCGGTTTAATTCGACAGGTGGGATCTGATAAGGAGGACATGGATATGAATTCTATTTATTGGTACTAAGGTTATGTCTGCCTGAGGTGTTTGCGTTGGGATAGCATATAGAAATGAATGGAAATGAAAACAAGCTATCTCCATGCATGCATGATATCCAATAATAAAATCAAGCTCTATGTGAATTTGGTTCGCTCTGTAAATATAAGCTTTTACATGTTTCCGCTTAAGCCGCGTGGCCACACAGATAATCAGATCCAATATCCTCTCTGATAAACCCGCTCGCGATGGAACCTAAACTACCTAGGTATTTGGGCTTTATAAGGGGTTCAGTCCAGTTCGATGTATACGTATGTTATCTGCTTTTGGTTCAAAGGGTCCGATCATTTCCTTCCAAGAGGATGAAAAGGATAGGAAGGAACGCCTTCAGTTGAGTTGTTCTCCTTTTTATACTGACACGTGGTCCCAACAGGATGGGAGGATCATCCTTTTGCTTGACTAGATTTTAAATGTGAATTGCGACAAGGAGGTGGGCCAAACGAGATAGTTATACACACCGCTACTGGTTAGCAGGGGCACTAGAGCTTACATAGTAACGTATGCTGAAAGATGCATCGTCCCTAATATGGTCAAGCGTGAACCAGATTCGAAGAAACCTCTCGAGCGCCTGTAAATGCTACCTTACTAGTGAGCGGCGAGTAGTATAAGCTAGAACATTGCTCTCAGATGCAGATTCAACATACTATAATGCCATATTTAAGGCAAAATACCACATGTACGATGGTTGCAATAACCCCTCCGAATTAAGTGTCTACCGCACCAAGCTAGGACTAAGATTGGACTACTACAGAGACTCCTTCAGAATAGGCGGTTTCGACTCTGCGTGGAATCTACTATAACTAGCACACCTTAAGCCCGGGTCCAATATTAACTTGCTGAAGTTAGAAGTAGTCTCTAAGCCCGGAGACACATATACTATTAACAGGTACCTATTCTCTAGGTACATATAATGTTTCCCTCCACGCTCGGTTGATCGCCGTCATCAGTCTTAATACCAGACAGAAGCGAGCACCTTAAGACCCTGGGGGTAAAATCGATCGGGAATCTTAGCGCTATCCCTCTCCTTAAACGTACTATAAAATCGTTTGAGATTCATCAGTTCCGGACCCGCCAGCACATCAACTCCATACAGTTCCTTGACGAACTGCAGAAGCGAACACAGGACGCAGTCTGCGATGGTAACCCTCTCAGCATCAAGAGGATCGCCTCCTCTAAACCGGCCTTCGTAATACGCCTCGAAAAGTCTCCTGTTTCTCTCCACAAAGCCCATAGCCAGGCTTGCCGCAACATGATTCGCAGGCTCCATTGGTTGGAAGAGCTTGCTGCCTTTACGACAAGCAAATCCGAACATGGATGCAGCCTCCTCTGTTAGCGCCAGAATCTCTCTTGTTGTTGCCCCCTCGCGCGCATCGCTACCTCGCATATATCCTCGAAGTAGTCCAGAACGCGACGGATTGCTTGATGGAAGTTCCATCTGGCAAGGCTAAAATCGGTACGGTACCCTTTGGCTTTCCCGGAGCTATCATCTCAACAGTAGGAGATATGGTCGCCGGTATAATTTTGATGTGTTGGGAATTAAGGAGCCCCTTTTCGTGAAGATAGATGAGTACGCGGCGAGGATAAATACCCCATGTAAGGACAAAAAGTTCTAGATACGCCATTTCTTTCTTCTGACGTTCAATGCTCGATAGTGTTATATAACTAGATTCTGTACTTCCTTGTAGTCATGTTCCATAAAGTTTTTCTTTTTTTTAAAAAAAAAAGAAAATTTACATCTCTGCTGACCCTTGCTTGGGCCAAAATGCCCGGAAAGTTTCCGAGAGAAGTTTCCGCAAAACACTACCTACCCGGTACCTAGGTAGGTATAAATAAACGCTCAGTCATTTCTATAAACCTTGTTAGCAGTTAAGATGTTCCCGGCACTATACCAAAGACAAAATAGCAGTTTCTAGGCAGCTGAATGCAGTTGGTTCTTGATTCTTCATTCGCGGTTACTATATACCGGAATAGCATCGCTCGACGACATAGCGGGTTCTTATGGGCATGCTAACGGAAATAATATGACGAGTATATACACAATAAAAAAAATCCCACTAACAGGGACGGAATAGGTATGGCCTTAAAAGGGGTGCCTCCTACTATTCATTGGAAGCGGAGAACCTCGGCATAGCTCCGCTCCGTTGGAGTCATCTCGGCTACGGCACCGAGTCCGAGGTCGGATGAAGCTACCTATCTTCCGAATAAGTCAATGCACGGGGTTGGCATACTCGACACCTTAACTTATCTTGGCTACCTGTTATCATCATCACACATTTAATCGTTCTGAATTACCTAGCAATTGACTGATTTCCCACCCTATAACCCTTATTATTATCAACGTACCTACTTGAGGTAACATGGCTGAAACTTCAACAACTCAACCTCCCGCCGACGATAAGATCCTAGTCGAAGCTTCCGAGGCGCGCAAGTTCGTCGAGAACATCCTCGAAGGCAACGGCGTACCAAAGCCCAACGCCGCCATCGTAGCGCGGTGTCTCGTAGCGGCGGACCTGCGGGGCGTCGACACGCATGGCATCAACCGGATCCCGTCGTACATGGCGCGCGTGCGCAGCGGGGTGCTAGACGCGGCCGCGTCCCCGGACGTCGCCAAGGTCACCCCGGCGGTCGCGCGGGTCGACGGGCGCAACGGCTTCGGGTTCCTGGCGGCGGAGGCCGGGATGCGCGCGGCGTGCGAGATGGCGCGCGAGCTCGGCGTCGGGATGGCCGGCGTCCGGCGCTCGAACCACTTCGGCATGAGCGCCTGGGTTGTCCAGCAGGCGATCGACGCCGGCATGATTAGCCTCGTGTTCACCAACTCGAGCCCCGCGCTCCCCGCGTTCGGCGGCCGCAGCAAGCTCCTGGGCGTGTCGCCCATCGCGTGCGGCGCCCCCGGCGGCAATCCGGGGAAGCCGTTTATCCTGGACATGGCGCCGTCGGTGGCGGCGCGGGGCAAGATTTACAAGGCGAAGAGGAGAGGCGAGAAGATACCCCTAGATTGGGCTCTGGATGCGGAAGGGAGACCGACGGATGATCCGGCTGCGGCTTTGGAGGGGGTTATGCTGCCCATGGGAGGGCCTAAAGGGTCGGCGCTGGCGATCATGATGGATGTGTTCTCAGGGGTACTATCAGGTGAGAACTCTCCCACAACCAAAGCTACGTGATGTCGGTCTCTTCTAATCCTAGGTATGTAATACACACAGGCTCTGCATTCGCAGGCGGAGTTACCGGCCCGTACGACCCCAGCAAAGCATCGGATGTCGGCCATTTCCTAGTGGCTATCAAGCCGGACCTATTTATGAGCCTCGACGAGTTCCGGGAGCGCATGGACATTTTGTATCAACGCGTCGTGGGCTCGGATAAGGCCGCTGGGGTCGAGCGTATATACTTCCCGGGAGAGATCGAGCAGCTGACGCAGGAGCAGAGGGAAAAGACAGGAATTCCGTTCGTGCAGGCCGAAATTGATGCGTTGAATGAGGAGGCGAAGAAAGTCGGAAAGCCTCTTCTCGTTGTTAAGGGTCAGTGAAGAGAGTACTAGATGGATGACAAGACGTGGTATTCCAATTACTTATATGTATGTCGTTTTAATCCAAGCCAAAACATAATATATGCGAAGTAGTCTTAGGTAAGGTTAGGTACCTGTCATCCCCTGCCCTAGGGTGAAAAAATATACCATCACGCCGGCCCCTCAGCACGCAAAAAGTCGAAATCCGCCCCCTGATCTGCCTGATTAACTGACCTCATATACAAGCCTCTATACCCTCTCATCTTCTCCCTCGCCTTCCACGGGTATTTCGACAAACCATCCCCCTCCTCCTCCTTCTCCTCCTTCTCCATCTCTTCCCGCCTAGCCTCCCTCCTCCTCTCAATCTCCTCGTCGCTAATCTCCACCTGCAAAAGCCTCCTCTCGACATCGCACGTAACCACGTCCCCGTCCCTCACGATCCCCAGCACGGACCCCGGGCTCGCCGCCTCCGGCGCCACGTGCAGGACGACGGTGCCCCCCGCCGTCCCGCTCATCCGCCCGTCCGACACCCGCAGCATGTCCGCGACCCCGCGCGCCGCCAGCGCCCGCGGTATCGGCACCAGCCCGGCCTCCGGCATCCCCGGGTGGCCCACAGGCCCGATGTTCTGCAGCACGAGCACGCTGTCGGGCGTCGCCGCCAGCTCCTCGCCGTCGATGCGCGCCGCCAGGTCCGCCGCCCCCGCGAAGACTACCGCCGGTCCCGAGTGCTTCAGCAGCCGCCGATCCTTGGACGCGCTCGCCTTCAGGACGGCGCCTCCCGGCGCGAGGTTCCCGCGCAGCACGACGAGCGACGAGGCCGGGTAGAGAGGAGCGTCGAAGGGCTGGATGCAGCGGAGGGCTTGCGGCACCGGCATGGCGCGCTCGCTATCTAGCGCTTCTCCGAGAGTCTTCCCGGAGATTGTCAGCGCGTCGAGGTGTAAGATCGGCCTGAGTTCCCGCAGCAGCGCGGCCATGCCGCCCGAGTTGTGGAAATCGGTCATGTAATTGGAGCCGCTAGGTTTTAGGTCGACGAGGAGAGGAGTGCGGCACCCGATCTCGTCGAAGGTATCGAGAGTGATTGTTCCCGCAACGGCGGGATGCCGGTTGATGATGGCCATTAGATGCACTACGGCATTGGTCGATCCGCCGATCGCCTGCAGCACAGTGATGGCGTTGATAAATGATTCACGCGTTAACAGGGACTGGGGTTTCAACTTGTCGCCGGCAGAGATAACCCTCACGGCGTTGGCACCGGTTTCCTCGGCGATTCGAAGACGAGCTGATGACACGGCTGGTGCTGTTGCCCCTTTAAATGGCATGAGGCCGAGTGCTACCAGGATACATGCCACTAGAGTCTTCAAGTTAATCAGTTGCCATTTAGGTTCGCTATGGGGTTGGATATAATAGTATCTTATCTTGTAATAGCGAGTGAAGCAGATAGCGAAAATGAGTAAATAACGACTCTGAGAAACAATTCTTACTCGTGCTCGCCGTGCCCATAACTCCGCAAGTACCAGCCTATATTTTAATCTTCAGCAAATCCCCAATACATACCTAAGGTACCTAATATCTCCCGGGAAAAGAGGTAGGGTTCCTTTGAAAGAACTTACCGTTGGCGCGAGCTCTTCATTCAGCGCCGCAATGTCTTCGATATCAGTAACGCCAGCACGGAAGTTCGCCCAATTATTCCGGCAGTCGGTGCACGCCCCGATCCGCACTCCCTTATGGCTACCCGGCATCATCGGCCCCGTGACGAGGTGTAGGATCGGCTTGTTCGCCGATATCCCACCCATGAGCTGCGCCGGGGTCGTCTTGTCGCATCCTATTTATTATGCGGTTCAGCATTATAAGAGATATATATATAGTAAGAGGTAGCTACCACGCACCGCCAATCAGCACCACCGCATCAACCGGCTGCGCCCTAATCATCTCCTCGGTGTCCATGCTCATCAGGTTCCTAAGGAACATGCTGGACGGCGCCGCGAACGACTCGTGGAGGCTTATGGTGGGGAAATCTACCGCGAGCCCCCCCGCGAGGTGCACGCCGCGCCGCACGGCGTCCAGCAGCTGCGGCGCGTTGGCGTGGCACGGGTTGAACCCGGACGACGTGTTGGCGATCCCGACGATCGGCCGCGACAGCGCGTCCTCCGAGTACCCCAGCGCCTTGATGAACACCTTCCGCAGGAACAGCGAGAAGTGCGCGTCCCCGTACGACGTCAGCCCCTGCCGCAAACCCCGCCGCGAGTCCATCGCCCGCGAGAGGTCGTAGTCCTTGTTGAGCTGCGCTTCCGCCTCGGCGGCCCCCGCTTCGGACTTGATGTTGTCGTTTGGCGCGCTCGATGACATTGTTCATAGGAATCGAAGGGCCAAAAGGAAATATTCGTAAACGAAATATGTATAAGTTGGAATCTGAATCCAATCCAATAACAGGTAGGGTAACTTGTATATACTACTACCACTAACACTACTATCTTCCCCCTCCCCCTCCTCTCCCTCCAGCAGGTACACTAATATGCGGGACCATGGACCTTGGAGAATCCCGTTAAATGCTACCAAGAACTGCGGGGGGACCACTAGGTTGCATCACGACATATTCTACGAAGCTTACCTAAAGGGCAACCAAGACGATTTAATACAAAATGACACCGACAGAAACAGAAAATCTCCTTAAAGACAGCAAGAATAACAAATGTGAGCATGAGAGACATTAAAATTCATTGAGCAATCATCCCTGTTGGGTCACCTTTTCCCTAGTCTACATGCAAATACGCCGCCAACCAACCGACGGTGGTTGTTTTTTTCGTGAGGGGAAGGGATATAGTGGGTAATAGGATCATGGTAAGTGCAAGACCATCCTGGAAGACTTTTTGTGTTTTCCCTCGTGTCTCGCTATGCCGAATGAACCATCAAGTCCTATTTTTCCCCCTCTGGATACCAATGTCAATCCAGCGCAGATGAGCATCAAAAACACCTATGGGAGACTCTAGGGACCCTAGCCAGCCGCCCATCTATAATCCATGACCTAATTCGCCAAATAATGAGAGACTCCTTTATCGGGAGGACATAGCCTTGGTCACAAGCCTCTTAAGGGCAAGCTCCTTCTTCTTCAGATCATCAGCGCTAGACTCCTCAATCTCAAGCTGAGCCATAGCGTCGCTGAGAGACTGCTCGATCTTATCCTTCTGGCCACGCTTGAACTTGAGGGACATAGTAGGGTCGGAGATGATCTCCTCGACGCGGCTGATGTACGACTCGAGTTGCTGCTTAGCCTCGAATCGCTTGCTGAAGGCCTCATCGCTGTTCTTGAACTTCTCGGCATCTGTAAAATAGGAAGTTTAGTTTAATTTTGCTTTGACGACTCAAGTAACACAGGAGTATAACTTACCGTTGATCATGCTCTCGATCTCAGTCGAAGAGAGCTTACCAACCGAGTTGGAGATGGTGATGTTGGCACTGCGACCAGAGGTCTTCTCGGTAGCAGTAACCTTCAGGATACCGTTAACGTCAACCTCAAAGACGACCTCCAGAACGGCCTCTCCAGCACGCATGGGGGGGATAGGAGCCAGAGTGAACTCTCCGAGGGAAGTGTTGTCTTCACAGTTGACACGTTCACCCTGGTAGACGGGGAACTGCACGGTCTGTTGGTTGTCGGCAACAGTGGTGAAAGTTCGCTTCTTGATCGTGGGGACGGTTTGACCACGGGTAACGACAGGAGCGAAGATGTTACCCTCCATGGCAACACCAAGGGACAGAGGAACGACATCCAGAAGGAGGAGGTCGGAGGTATCGGCAGAAGTTGCCTTGCCAGAGAGGATACCGGCCTGGACGGCGGCACCGTAGGCAACGGCCTCGTCGGGGTTGATGCTCTTCTCGAGCTTCTTGCCATCGAAGAAGTCGCTGAGGAGCTTCTGGATCTTGGGGATACGGGTAGAGCCACCAACAAGCACAATCTCGTCAACAGCGCTCTTCTCAACACCAGAATCCTTGAGGACCTGGGCAACAGGCTCCAAGGTGCCGTTGAAAGCCTTGGCGTTCAGGTCTTCGAAACGAGCACGGGTGATCTGGAGGAAGAAATCCTCGCCATCGAAAAGCGAGTCAATCTCGATGGTAGTTTGGGCACCGTTGGACAGGGTTCGCTTGGCACGCTCACAAGCAGTCCGGAGTCTTCGGAGAGCTCGCGGGTCACCAGAGATGTCCTTCTTGGTCTTGCGCTGGAACTCCTTCTTGCAGTGCTCGAGCAGGTTGGTATCGAAATCTTGTCCACCAAGATGGGTATCACCAGCAGTAGCCTTGACAGTGAAAACACCACCTTGGATGTTAAGGAGAGACACATCGAAAGTACCACCACCAAGATCGTAGATAAGGACGTTACGCTCCTTGTTGGACTTGTTGGAACCCAGGCCGTATGCGATAGCAGCGGCAGTAGGTTCGTTGATGATACGGAGCACGTTCAGTCCCGAAATGGAACCGGCATCCTTGGTGGCCTGACGTTGGTTGTCGTTGAAGTAGGCAGGGACAGTGACGACGGCCTTCTCAACCTTCTTTCCGAGCTTGACCTCGGCAATCTCCTTCATCTGTAAAAAATTTGTTAGTTTATGGCTCAGCAAGATATGCATGGCAGTGTTGGATAATTACCTTGGTGAGAACCATGGCAGAGATCTCCTGAGGGGAGAAAGTCTTGGTCTCTCCCAGGTACTCAACCTGGACAACAGGGTTGGTACCCTGCTCGACGACCTTGAAAGGCCATGATTCAATATCCTTCTTGACGATAGGGTCGTTGAAAGGTCGGCCAATCAGACGCCTGTCGCAAAAAAAAAAAAAAAAAAAAAAAAGAGATTAGCTTTACGGTCCCGCGGTAGAAAGAGAAATTCTAGGACTCGGGGTCAAAGGTCAAAACATACTTGACATCGAAAATGGTGTTTCGCGGGTTCATAGCAGCCTGGTTCTTGGCGGCTTCACCAATTAAACGCTCCTTCTCGTTGAAGGAGACGTAAGAAGGGGTAGTAAAGCTACCCTGCTCGTTGGCAATGATTTCGACATTGTTGCCCTCGTAGACAGCGACGCAGGAGTAGGTCGTACCTGTTATTCACACCAAGGTGATATATGTTAGCCGGTTGCCCATCACAACATGAAAATTTCCCAACGGGTCGCAATGCGCCAGGATGCGGGGTGAAATGTGAAGCGTGAAGTGGGATGTCAGAGAAAACATCGTATAGAATAACAACTCACCCAAATCAATGCCGATGGCACCATCGTAGACTTCTTCCGCCATTGTGAAGGTTCTTTTCAACTGAACAAGTTCACAGATACACTTGGTGATGCGGGAGAAATTGTTCGGGGACGATGGACCAGAAGGTATGGGAGGGAATGAATGTATGGAGGGGGGATTCCACGAATTTTTATGCGGGCGGTGAAAATAATTCCAATTCTCAATTTTTTTTCTTTTCCCCCCCATCCCACCTTTGCCGCCGGAACTAATATAATTCCGGTTTAGCTTCTTAGGGTACGTACTTGGAGGAATGGTTAAAGTTCAGGGTCCAGCCTTTTGGGTTGGTAGAATCCTGCATTATTACTGGACTGCCTAACTTATCTCCACCCCACCAAAAAAGGGTCCTCAAATAAGTTTTTTTTTCTTTCTTTTTTTTTGCCTTGAGCCAGAAAAAAAAAAAAAAAATATTGGTTTCAGCGCACATTCAACAATTTTCAACACTACCTCCTACTTAGGTAGCTCCACTGCCTAGTCGACGATACCTACCTACCTAATTTACCCAAGGTACCTCCTAAACTTGTATATAATTACCTAGGTACCCTCAGGTAAAACTTTTATCAATTTGTAGTAACTCATCAATTTGTAAGAATGGGATTGATTCTTATATCGAGGTAGCTTAAGTTGTTAATGCAACGCAACGCAATTAACTGGGGAATCAACCCCGTAATGCCCTCGGAGGAGCTCCTAGCAAAACTTCCACCGTAACGAATCTCTCTACAACATATAAATACCTAGGTATGTACCTGACTTGTCCCATTCGACAAAATGTACCTGGGTAATCGGATCCCATACCTTCAAGTTCCATCTCCATACAGTGCAACTCCTAAGGTCAACCGCAGAGACGCAAACTAATAAATCCATATAAGACAACATCATACCTAGCTAATTTGTGTTGGTTATTTATACTGTCACTTGAAAAGCCTGCCATCAGTGTCTGAGCACGTTTAAGTGCACCACGAACTTCTCCATTTCCATGGTTAACCCATTCGGTGCCTTCTGGCCTTTCGGAAGGGCTGCCACTAAAGACACTTCGATTCGGTTGAGACCGAACTGTAGAGTAACGTCGAAAACCAATTCACCTGGCTTGTTAGGCTGAATTTGGGGAGGGTATAAGCGCGCACCATTGTGTATCACATTCAACTTCCATTCACGCTGCTCAGCCTCCAAAAAGGATGCCACCTCTGGCTTAAGTCGGAGACGATAGTAGCTGGTGGGAGCATTCAGAACCAATTCCTGCTGGGTTTCAGTTGGACTAGCCGGAATGGTGATTAACATTCGATTCTCAATCTGAAGCTCAGGATGAGACATGATGACGAGACTGGGCATAATAGCTTCAGATTGTTCTGCGGTTTGATCAGTAAATATCCAAGTATACCTTAGGTAGGTAGCAGTCAAGGAGAAAAAAAAGAAGAAAAAAAAAAAACTCTTACTGATTGGACGCGGCCGATACTTCTGAGCTTCGAGGATTTCAGCAGCTGATAACTTTGGAGCTGGTGGCGGCGTAGGAATGTCACCATTTGGCACAACGTTAGGCAGAGTGTTTGGCAGGGCGTTTGGTACAGCATTTGACGCAGGCGGTATCACCGGTGGTGCAAAATGCTGATGAGTTGTAAACGCCGGTGACGGTCGAACGGCGTCCTCAGATTTCGTTAGCGCTGCGGCCGACGGACTAGGAGGGCCTGCAGACGCTGACATGCTTCTGGCCTTCTCAAGTTGACTTAAGCTGACTGGAGTTGCTGTCGAACCACCAAACGGGTTTCTACTAACGGGTGTGCCATTGCGGGTGACCTCTTCTTCTCCAGATTGGCCTGTCGCCGGGGCTGGCGATCCCGTGGCACTGTTTTTACCGCCAACATGGATAGTAATCTTCTTAGGATGTACGGGAGTCTCTGAGTTGGGTGGCATCTTTAACTTAATCTTCGGCTGTGGCTGAGGCGGCTCTGGAACATGCAGCTTAGCTTCTTTCAATTGCTCTTGAAATAGTTTCTGCAACAGTTAGTCAGTGAAATTAGCCATATAGGATAAAAACACTTACCTCAAGCTCCTGGGCCATGAGTGAGATCTCGCTTCCATCTTCGTTGTAATGGTAGGCATTCTTCCAGATTAAGCTGGCCTGATCCTCAAAAGCAAGCCAGCTCTTGAAATCTGTCACGTATGTTGCCCCTCCTCTACCATGCTGACCTCGGACTTGTTTCTGCAGAGCCTTGAGCGATAGAGGCTCCTTGATGATCTCGTAATAGTCTTTAAGCGATCGAGGCGGCAAGTAAATGAACGGCTCGAAGTACGGATATTCGCCACTCCAGGGGTTGTTAGTTGACTGTAGTTTGACGATGTAAAGGATAGACCTACGTATCATCTTTCTTTCGGAGTAATTCCTCTACAATCTTTTCCTGCGCTTGCTGAAACGTCAAGCCCTTGTACGGTACACCTTCATAGTGAGTATCGGCTTTGCCTGGCGTCGGTCCACGATTTGCAATTTTTCGAGCGTGTGCAACAGGATTCTTAGGCGGTCGGCCGGGTCGTCGTCGTTTTCGGACTGCCGGGCTTGGTTCGCCGCCATCTTCTCCATCTTCGTCCTCTTCATCCTCGTTGTCCTCGTCAGCTTCCTCATCCTCGTCATCAATTCCATCAATTTCGTCTTCTTCCTCACCATCCTCACCTTCAGCTTCGTTATTCTCAGCTTCTTCATCCTCTTCTTCTTGATCTTCATCTTCTTGACCTGCTTCATCCGCATCGGTTTCCCGGCTGGCTTGTACATTCTCTACGCTAGCCTCCTTTTCTTTGTCTCCCTCGTCCTCGGCATCTTCATCTCCTTCGTCTCCTCCCCCTTCTCCTTCTTCCTCTTCGTCTCCTTCTGCTTCTCCTTCCTCTCCTTCATCTTCTTCATCTTCTCCTCCTTCTTCTTCATCTTCTGCTTCATCTTCTGCCTCTCCTTCTTCTCCTCCATTATCTTCTTCTCCTTCATTATCTTCGGGCTCGGGCGTCGGGGGTAGTGGAGTAGCAACAGCCGTATAGCTGCCAGTCTTATACGCAGGGTTGTGCTTCGTCATCAAGTTGCTAACAGCTTTACGTACTCGTTCGGCATCGCCAAAAGTTGTCGAATTGCGCTCGCTGACCTCTTTCGAATTTTGAACCATACGCTTGAGGTCACCCTCTAGAGCAGATAGATTGGTATATTCGCCCTTTTTCAGCTTTTGCTCGATCGATTCAAGGGAAAGGGGGAGCCGTATTTTCTTGTAGTATTCTGGGTCCTTGCTTCGAGAAGGTAGTTTCTCGAAATAAGGAGAAACTGGACGGCCACTATAACAGATAAAGAGTCAATTATTTTGTTTGCGAGTTGCATTTTCCCTTGATAGGAAAGACGTAGGGGAAAGAGTAAAAGGGGAACAAAAGGGGTGTGAAGGGGGGGTACATCGCATGCAAACAATAATAGAAAAGACCTGCACATACTTTTTGTCGGTAGTAGCTCTGATTGATTCTAAAATGCTTAATCCGTACGCGGTAGTTGATTCAGTAGTCTCGCCATTCGAAAGGTCACCGAATTCCTAGATTAGCAACAAAATTAGAAATAAATAAATAAGTAAGTAAGTAAATAAGGGGGTATAAGGGAAAATAGGGGGGGAATAGGGGGACAGGATGCCTAATGCTGGAAAATTTGGAGGGTTGATGTTGTGAGCATGCGGATGGACAGGGTGTTGTTTAGAGGACAAGGCGTTGCATCTGAATAGCTGTTTTCGTAGCTTTTGTAGCTTTTGTAGCTTTTGTCATAAACCACCCCCGCCTTCTTCCTCTAGCTTCAACTTCTATCTCTCAAAATAGTCCACACAATAGGCTCACATCGCATCGCATGGCAGCGCATCGCATCACATCGCGGCTGCAATGCACGACCAATGTAAGTAAGCAAGGCAGCCGTGTTGCGGCGAGGCTTACGCGCAATGCTGTGGAATGTAAATAGCGATTCGGAGCAGATGACGCACCTCAACTAGTTTGCGACGCTTAGCAGCTCGGTCATTAGGATCATTTGCCGAGGATTCGATGCCATTTGCACCGGTAGCCTTTCTCTTATTTTCCATTGCTGCGGTAGAAAAAAGATGGCAGACGCATCTGGAAGCGGACCGAGGCGTCACGGCTTAATAGCCTGCTGTATTGCGAAACCAATGGAGAAAGTCAATAAACTTTTAGCTCCTGAGATAATGGGGTTGCAGGGCCTTTGACGCGATGCGATGGTGGTGATGATTTGTGGATTGTCCGACGCGGATTGTTGGTACCGCTACTAACGTAAGACGGGATAAGGGATGGGAACCTTTTTCGATCCTCTTCGGCTACCTTTTTTTAGTCAATTAAATCGTCGAATTTGTCGAATTAGTCAAATTGATCGAATTAACTTAAGCAGACAAGCATCTCTACATTAAAAAAAAGAAAAAGATACGCCAAGAAGAATGGAGGATTGCCGCAATGCAAATAGTTGATATGCTAACTTATGTCAAGTCTTCCTGCGAAAGGCGTCGATGCACACAACGATATTATGGGGAAAGCTTTCTTGCGCAAAAAAAAGGTTGGTTGAAGGTAACGGGGCCACGAGCTGCCAGCTGGCTGGCTTTTGTTATCACGCGACCTTGCCGGCCTTGCCAGTTCGGTCAGTCGGCAAGTCCAGCCCACTTAGCAGGCTAGGTACAAAGTTACCTAATGTAGGTACATAGCACCTGGGAAGCAACCAAAAAAGAAGCCTGGACCCAATCTCTCCTTCCTCTATTACCTCTAGCCGCACGGGCCTAAATATGTCATACCAGGTCGCTAGGTAGGTACCTAGTTGTTCATTCTCAGTCTCCGCAGTTCTGTCAGTGTCGTCCTGCCAAGCCCCCCCTGCCCCTCAGATAAGCTACGGATTTGCTACACAATGTGGCTTATCCTCTACCAAAAAGCCCCCACTTCAAGCACTGTTTACTTCCACCCTGCGCAACCAAAATTTAGGGACCGCAACTTTGACCTTTTAAGAATCGCGCTCTTATCCTCCCAAAATACTTAATAAGCCTACAACCTTCAACCTTCAAGTCGCAACTTCTTTTTCTTTTACGTTTAGGCTACTTTAAAGTTTGCCTGCAAGCCTTCAAAACAATCTACTGTTTGATAAGTCTGTTTCACCTGCGCGCAAAGCCTTACATAATTATTAGAGCACCCATTATCCGTTCCGACAAGCAACAAGCAACCAGAAGCATCTTTTGCTTTTCCTTCTTCCTCACGCGACAGCATAGATTTTTTTCGCCGGTCGACACCTAGTCTCGCGTTCCTTCTTCCTTTCTTCCCAATACGAAGAACCGTCTGAAGTCTGCGCAAGCTCGCGTATTTAATAAGCTGCACGATTGGAAGAAAGCTATCACTTCTTACCTCTACCCTCTACCCTCTACCATAGGAACTTCATCACTTCGTTAGCCACAATGCCGATGGACATTGATATCACTCGTCGCAACAAGACGCCTCGCCCCCTTACCGACGACGAGCGCGCGCGCCTCGAAGAATACATCGACTCGATCCACTACTCTGCTCGGTATGGCTTCACAAGACAATCTAGCGATGCGAAGGGGTTCCATAGTAATTTACTAACAAAAGGGAATAGCTATTCGGACAGCGAATACGAATACCGTCACGTCCAATTGCCGAAAGCCATGTTGAAGGCCATCCCCAAGGACTACCATGACCCGTCTAAAGGCACACTGAAGCTTCTATGGGAAGATGAGTGGCGCGCGATCGGTATTACTCAGGTAGGTCGCCATATGCCATTGATTATAGAAGTAGTCAAGTAAGCTAATAAGGTGTGAAAATCTATAGAGTCTAGGATGGGAGCATTACGAAGTCCATGAACCAGAGCCGCACATCCTGCTTTTCAAGTAAGATCTTCAACCCAAGTTCTAGCCGGCCGAAGAATACTAACCTTGCCAAGGCGACCTCTCAATTATCAAGCTCCTCAGTGATTTTACCAGCAACGCAAAAAAAACTAGAAAAAAAAAAAAAAAAGAAAAACAAAGTGAACGCTGACCTCTCACCGCTTGGGAAAATCGACTATCGTTGTAAACTACTCTTGGTGCGCCCGTCCACTGCATAGCGACATCTGCATTTGTTAGGGGATAATACTTCGCGACGATTTATGGCCGTTCTTAATCAAATCCAACTCTATTCACTCATCTGATTTGGAGCTCGACCCCACCTCGGCGCAAATGGGGCTGTTCTTCCCCGTGGACGGCGTTTATAACAGTAATAAGGTCAAATCATACGGCAGTTCTCGGCGTGGAATACATACGGATGATAATGGTGGTTATTGGTATCTACTCGGAACACGAAGGGAATCTGAGCAGCTCGGTTGTGAAGATAACGGATACTCTAGAATAATAAGGGACTAACCTAGATTCTCTACGAGCCCGCGCTCTGTTCCTATCGGGATATGAATAGCCACACATTGGTCAATTACCTTTGGGTTATTAGAGATCCATAGGGACTAAATGAATAGAGAGAGAGTATCATGACATTTGAAAAGTATTGGGAATTGTGATTTAATTAAAACAAACTGTTGAAGCATACGGCATAAAAAATGCTACCTAGATCTTGGACCTGTCAACTTTATTTACCCTTGATGACTTTGGATATTTTAGCTGCACTTAATATATTGAACATACGACTAATGCTTGCCGAGCCAATAAGTTTGGCATGTATGGTGGTAAATCACGTACGAATATTGAAGTGACAAGCTATCTCAGAGGACATCGAAAATGACGATGTTAGGTAAATGCCCCTGTATGAGTAATGTACTTACGTACTGCGGTGTGCCGAGATGCAAACCAATAAATGTCATCACTCCACTCCGCTCTCTCTTCTGTGCAACCAGGTACGAGGTATCGGCAGGTTACAGACGACGAGTGGAAGCTTCCGGGCTACCGTTTCTAGAACGTCCTTTAATAGATTAGCACATGCAAGGCCGCTTAGGTACACGCTATATGCTACATGTAGGTAAGTATCCAATACATATATGTACTTAAGGTATCAGTACGTAAATGAATTATCATTGCTGAGGGGATGCAAGCTGGCAACATTCCATTATCCGTACCTAACCTAAGGTAAAAAAAGAAAAAGTAAATACGGAATGTTTACAGACCACCATCGTATGACATGTAAAAGTGAACACGTTGACAGGTTTATTGATGAAATATACTTGGCTATAATAAATATATTGAGTCTTGATTTCCCACCTAATACCTCTTGAAGTTTGAACAGCGAGAAATAAAAAGGTTTTAAAAAGATTCAAAAAGGTTAGGTGGCTCTAACTTTACATCATTTACTTACCTAGGTACTATCTGTACTTTATACATCTGATATACCTTAGGTACATAATAATATGTACATATCCCTAGTCGCTACTGGAATTTAACCGCTGCAGCGTATCAGAGCTGCTCTCCTCCAAGTTCCGTTCCTTACAACCTTTATACTACCTACATCATACGTATCCTTTATTTATTTTTATTAATTTAAAACCGAAAGGGGAAGAAAGACCCCAGGCCTTGTCCTGTCTTCTCCTCACACCTCACAATCTAATAATAATTAGGGTGTCCGACCATCCCACCACCTATATACCCGGCACCAGTCCGCCGCTATGAAGTCCGCCAAACTCTTTTACCTATCACTATTTGCGCTTTGGGGGACACCTGGGCAATGTAAGAGCAGAGACGCTCCAGATGATTCATGCGCAGTATGTCGCCTTCGTTGAGAAACGTAGCTACCTATCTATGTCTCGCCGCCGGTTCACTGGCGGCGACGACATCGCAATACCAATTACTTATGTCTAACGAAAATGAAACCGTCCAGATCTCACCCCGCGCCATCGTATCAGATGCTTGTGCTTCTTTTTCCACACTCGAGAAACTCAACCGCAAAGTCAAGCCGGCCTTAGACGAGCTAACTAAAGACACCGACTTCTTCTCCCATTATCGCCTAAACCTATTCCATAAGAAATGTCCCTTCTGGAACGACGAGAATGGCATGTGTGGCAATATAGCCTGTGCCGTGAACACCATAGATAACGAGGAAGACATACCCAAGATATGGAGGGCAAGCGAACTCAGCAAGCTGGAGGGGCCGTCGGCAAAGCATCCCGGGAAGAAGATCCAAAAAGAACGGCCAAAGAAGCCACTACAAGGTCTATTGGGAGAGAACGTGGGCGAGAGCTGTGTAGTAGAGTATGACGATGAATGCGACGAACGAGACTACTGCGTACCAGAAGACGAAAGCGGGAGCGGCAAAGGCGACTACGTCAGTTTGGTCCACAATCCTGAGCGTTTTACTGGGTACGCCGGCGAAGGCGCTAAGATGGTATGGGATGCCATCTACAGGGAGAACTGCTTCCAAAGGTCTTCTTTCCCGCAATCCGCCTCCCTTGGGATCAGCCCTGTGGCTAAGGGACCTGCCGCACAAGATTTCCGCAACGTCCTCCAAGATGCAGAACGGCAGCAGATACTGCAAAAACACCAACAAAACCCGAGCATTAGCTTCGCGCAGACCGGATTAGAGAATGGGGGAGAGTGTCTCGAGAAGCGCGTCTTCTACCGTGTCGTCTCTGGTATGCACGCAAGTATCAGTACACATCTTTGTTGGGATTTCCTAAACCAGACAACCGGCGAGTGGCAGCCCAATCTTGGATGCTACAAGGCTCGGTTGCACAACTACCCCGAACGGATTTCCAACTTGTATTTTAACTATGCTCTTGTCACCCGTGCTGTCGCCAAGATAGGCCCGCACTTACAAAACTACACGTTCTGCACTGGTGACGAGGACCAGGACGCAGCTACGAAATCCAAGGTTCTCGCTGTAACTCAGAGCGCAGCCTCGGTACCTCAGATTTTCGACGAGGGCCTCATGTTTAAGAACGGTGAGGGTCCGTCTTTAAAGGAGGATTTCAAGAATCGATTCCGGAACGTCAGCCGCGTGATGGACTGCGTGGGTTGCGACAAGTGCAGGCTTTGGGGCAAGTTGCAGACGGCAGGGTACGGCGCGGCGTTGAAAATCCTATTCGAGTTCGATAACGACAGCGAGGATATCCCGGAGTTAAAGCGAACCGAACTCGTGGCACTCTTTAACACCTACGCCAGATTGAGCAGCTCTATGAATGCTCTTGTTGGATTCAGGGCCATGGTCGAGGGTGAGGAGAAAGCCACTCAGGGAATACCCGACCGGGCCAAGAAGCCGCACGCGGTAGGTATTTCAAAGAGCACGCCCGAAGCAACATCGGCAGAGGCGGATCTAGAAGAGGAGTGGGATAAGGAAGAGGACGACGTACCACCAAAAAGAGAACGTCGCAAACCAGAAACCGTCAGCGAAATGTTCGATGAAGAATTTTCCAAGGTATTCAAGGCATTTAAGATCGTAATGAAGTCTTGGATAACCTTTCCGAGGACGCTGTAAGTTAAAGAGACACATCTACTATTTCCCCACTGCTGGAATGCTAACATGCGTGTGATAGATTCTATATCGTGATCTCGGAGTTATCACGCCTCTGGGAGTTCTACGTCGGCTTGCCCGTCTCGCCCCGTACCTGGGGGTTTGAACGGCCTAGCCTCGACGAGTTGTAGAATATATACTTTTGTATATTGGAGGATTCACATTAAGGATACCTACCTAACCTAACCTAATGCATAGTGCATAAGGTCAGGCTCACCAGGCGATTTTGTGTAGTGCGCCTAACGTTACTGGCGATAGCATTCCAGATAGCATGCATGCATCCATTGGAGGAGTTTTGGGCGTTTTGTCTTGTGGATAAGGACGGTATACTAGACCGCAGAAAATAAGACGGGTTTTTGTCATCATGTGTAGCATTTCAATCCTTATTGACGTTCGTGAAGGTAAAATGTTATATGTATGTTACATTACTTATTAACCTAGTAGATACATTCACCTCCTTATTATCCCATTGTCCTACTAAAAAAAAGAAAAAAAAAAGCTTAGCAGCCTATCTCTACTCTTCCATGTCTTCCCTGTGCGTAACTAGATTCTACTAAACAACTGGGACTTCGGCATTACATTACCATGACATGACATACAATAGTCATTCGTTCATCCATTCATTTCTCTCAGCCCAAGCATACGCCACCATTCACTCACCTCACCCACCCACACCACCACCCCTCTTCCCGCGCACCGGCAGCTCGACAAACGTGACGGCGTTCCCGATCTTGGCCTTGACGCCGCGCACGGGGACCCGCATGGCGAGTACCTCGGCGCGCGGGCCGGCGGCGGCGGCGAACACGCGCTGCGTGCGCTGCGCGACGTCCGGCGTGGGCGGGGCGAAGGTCCATGCTAGGGAGATGTGGAAGGCGTCGCCGGTGCTGCTGCTACTACTGCTGTTGTTGGTGTTGGTGTTGCTGGAGAAGGCGTAGAGAGGCGGTTGGTCGTGTTCTTGCACCAGGGCGTTGCATCGTTGGAGGAGGGCGGAAAGTTCGCGGTTATGTTGCTGCTGCTGGTGGGTTGGAGGTGGGTTATTGGAGGTAGGTGCATGTTTAGATACCTCCTTTGGACTACTTTCTCCCCCTCCCCCTCCCCCTTTCCCTTTTCCTTTCCTTTTCTTGGTTTCCCCTCCACCTGGCGCAGGAGCAGAAGCCGAAGCCGAAGCAGAATCAGAATCAGCAGTTCCCACCCTAAGCACCAGGAACGAGCGCTCGGACTCGCTCGTGCGGTGCCACTCCAAGCCGCGCGGCGCGAGGTCGAACGGCGCGACGCCGCTGCTCCCGATCCGCGCGACCAGCTGCTCCAGGAAGCGGTCCTTCTCCGCGGTGCTCAGCACGACGGGCCGCGACAGGCTGATGTGCAGCGGCTGCGGAGCGCCCAGGTCCGACGTCAGGAAGGACGTGACGTCTACAGACAGGGGAGTCAGCGCTGTCTGGAGATCCGAGAGCAGTGTGGACAGGATGGTGCGCTGCGAGGCCGTGGGGTGCCCTGGGGTTCTGTCAGCAGCGAGCGTCTGGTGTTGGTGTATGGTTTGGTTTGGAAGACTTACACTCGATGTACAAGTGGCTCGGCCAACTGCCGGCTCGGTGGGGATTCACGCGCTTCCGGCCCTGGTGCAGCGCGGGATCGTCCGATGTGCTTACCCGCACGGTGGACGCGTATAAGTCATGGAAAGAATCAGGGAGAGGCGGGAGTGTAATGGAATCCGTTGATGGCTTTTCGTGAGATTTCTTTTGCCTTTTTGCTGTCAGCAGTAGTAGTGCTGCTGCACTTGCCGACACCGTTTCCCCAGCTCCAGAGTCCGAGTCGGAAGAATAATCTACTAACGCCATTTATATGCTTATAAGCAAGCTGTAGGTATCGCAAGTATTAGTTATTATAACATGTCTTTATTCTTATTATAGCTATTCTTATTATTATGTTTTTGTTGCGGGAGAAGAGAGAAATGTTATCGAGAACGCGTATGGCTGTGAAACTTCGATAGATGCAACCAACGGATATCTGATATATATTTTGATATATCGGGTGGCCCTCGATATTAGACCCTGCTTTGGTGTTACTCGACCCGCATTAGCGCCGCGGCCTGCAGGGCTGAAAGGAAGCATTAGATACCTCTTACATGTATGCAGGTAGCCAGGGTATCCCATAACTCTTAAACATGTCTTTATTCTATAACCCCACCTCATTGATATGGAATACTTGTAAGCGTACACTTACTCCAAAACGCAACAAATTACCTAAATACCTAATGCTACGTAAAAAGCTTTTATATCATTCTCAGCAATAAAACATAGTAGTATTCCTGATTTACCAAACCATATGTAGTTGTTATATCTGTTGCATGTAATCTCTTTTCGGATGATAACCCCTTCTATACTCGAGGTCATCATGGACAGCAGTGTGGAACTCGAGGTGGCAAATACTCGTAGTGTTCGTGATGGACAGTATAGATGTGGCACAAGATGTTTCTATCCATAATCTAGTGCTAAGAACGCTGGGTTATAACTTACTTGGATTAGCAAAAGAATATGCCTACTTATAAGATTGGAAAGAAATTGGAGTGTTTAAGTTAAAGGGTGTTTAATAGGAGATAAGAGCAAGGTAAACAGTCTTGAGGTCAAGGGACTAGCCTAGTAAAGTAGCAATAGAAAACTTGTTTATTTAGGGCTAGAGATGTTAACAGGTACTCAACTGAAGTAGATAAACTATAGGTAGGTAGATAACCTTAGAGACCCTTCCCTTGAGAGTGTGTTAGTACTTCAATGGTATCTACTAACTCTATGTCACTTGCTCTTATTAGGCATTCTCTTCTCATTTTAACACCATAGTATTACACTGCTATACCCGTGCTATACCATTTTGATATGCTATTTATACCGCTAATCATCATCGCCGACCGTTTGCGGTGTCACTTTGGAGCTACCCCTGTCATCTACGTCATGTCTTACGCTAGCATCGGTTAGTGGGACGGGCAGGGGTATGCTCCCATGCAAGAACGAGAGACAAGCTTTAGCTACCCAGGTACACTTTGGATGTACCGGGTCGGCTCTTACCGTTACATCATAATCATGGGTTGAACGCGTGTGTTGCAGGAAGTTGCGGGAGCAGGACTTTCTGAGTTGGCAGTCAGGGCAATTACCTATTAACTAATCTTTCCAAAATATGTAATAGACCAGTTACCTGATTTTTGGTTCCCAGTTTGGACCTAAACCTTACCAACAATTTACTACTACACCAAGAGCCGCACCCAAACCACCTTCACAACCTTCTCACGCAGAAGCTACTTCAAAAGATTAATATTAAACTCGAGTCTCTTAAGAAGGAAAACCTAGTCAAAGATTACAACTCTCCTGCCTCGCCTTCAAACAACCTTATCTCATAGAAAGAGACCCCAAGTCCAAAGCTTAAGCCAAAGTTACGACGACCATTCATTGTTGAAAGGCTAAAGCTTCGCATCGAAACTACCTTTTCACGAATTCTCATTAATTAAAAAACCAAAAAAAGAAAAAAATGTCTGAACGCCCTTTAGACGCCATCAAGCGGGCCACGAAGGCCGCCGATCGTGCTCCTCATCTTCGCAAGAAGAACCGCACGAGTGCCGACATAGTTGACGCCCTAGACACAACCGGCTTCGGCGGCATCTATCACCACGACGGCCCCTATGACGCCACGCTTGCCGCCCGAAACAGAGATAAGAGATACGCTCCCATAGAGGCTGTCAAGTACGGCAATATGGAAGCTCTCAAGGCCACGCCCCGAGAGAATGTCATCGATTCCTTGGAACGTCACGTCCCATTGCAAGGCACAGCCACAATCCCGCCTGGAGGGCTGGACTACAGCGGCCACGTCATGCAGTACGAAGAAGGCCCCGATCTCATGCGGGAAGAGGATGCTCCCGGTGGTCCGTACAAGCGGTGGGATCACATTGTAAGTCTCTAACCTACCTAAAAAACCTACCTAACCTCCTACTATTACCTTCGATTACGGCGATGCTAACCATAGACGCACACGTAATTAGAAGTACCACCCCAACGACCTAAAGGGCAAGGGCGAACCATCCTACACCGTCCAGGAAGACCTCAAGCGCCAGAAGCATCTACAACGCAAATCCCTCAACCGCCGGACCGATGGCGCCTTTGAGATGCAACCCACTACAACTGGTCGCAGCACCGCCGTTGCTGGTAAATCGGGTGGCGTCGCTGCCGTCCGGCCGCGTAGCGCCAGCCTGGAACCTACTGCGGGTCCGTCCGGCAGTAGTCCTAGGGGAAAGCGCCTTGGTGACGGCATCAAGAGACGCATCGGTAGCATTCGGCGAAAGCATGACGACGTCTAGATGCTTCCGTCCTATGTGGGGGCGGGGTGCTCTTGCCGTCGCCGATATCTCACATACTGGCCGTTCGATGGGATTACCCAAAAAGGGTTTTTCTCTTTCTTTTGTCATTATTATCTTGAGGCGTTAGGGTGATATAGAGACAGGATTGCACCGCGACGGACTAGGAATTATCGTGCTCATGTGTGGTTTATTAAGGAGTCCAGATTCTGAAAGTTTTATTGGTGCAGATTGCGGGTGGAACAGACCCGAAGGGCAGGATAGATAGGTATGGCGAGGTCGGGATAGTTACCTACCTCCTGAGTACTGGGTCGGATTTATAAATCTGGGATGCTACGGGGGAAAATATAAGAAAGGCTGTGCCCATATTTCACTGGTACATGGTATTTAAGCCTCAGGGGATATGAACGGTGGATTAGGTTTGGCTTGGTTTAATTTCTCTTCAATTTTTTCTCATGCGTAGCAAGGCCAACGATATCTAATGATTATGAGTTTGGTAGAGATGCATAGCATGGATTAGGATGAGGTCTTACTGGTATAGTGAGAACCTGATTCAAAAGAAAGAGTCGATAGAAGAGGGTCCAAAAAGCTATTCTTTATGCCAATGAAGAAATATAACATCACCTCACGGACAAGCAAGTAATTTATCAGTCACCTAAACAACAAGCACATACTTTAATTCCGCATCAGGGGTTAAAATTCATCGTCCTCTGCCCTACTCATATCGAAAAATGCAAAGCGGATCGATTCTAAGCCAACTTAATTAATAGCCATACATTATCGTAAGATAGAACCGCCACACCGCCTCGAACTTCCGCAAAGGTTGTCTAGGTATCTAACCTAAGGTACCTAACTAAGGTTAAATAGGATATAGGTATGTACCTAAAGTAGGTAGTATCACACGACCAATAAGTACCTAACCTAGGTTCCCTAGTTATACCTACTTGAGTACCCTAAGAGGTACCTACGTAGGTAAGTAAGATTACCTCTCAAAGATATCCCAATCCGTTTGCGCCCAAAACCTCCCTCAAGACATCCCTCACCTCGTCGACGCCGGCGAACCCGACGCGTCCCGCGATCTCGGAGCGGCGGCCGGCGGGGAGCTCGTTCCAGCGGGCGAGCAGGGCGCCGTCGACGACGTTGCGGCCCATGCCCGCGTCGACGCCGGGGGGCAGTCGGCCGACCACGCCCGTGGAGGCGGGGGCGCGGTAGTCCTTGGGGTTGAGGCCGGCGTAGTGCGGCAGGGAGGAGAGGACTTGTCCCGTTAGGAAGGATAGGCGACGGTACTGGGGCTCGGAGAGGGGCGCGAGGGTTGCTAGGGCGCCGGTGGGGGAGGCGAGGAGGAGGATGGAGGGGGGTGGTGCTGGGGAGGAGGAAGAAGGGTCGTTGTTGTAATTGTTGGCCGAGGTACTGTTGACGTGTTGGGAGAGGTAGTCCGAGTCGGGCGGGAGGGTACGGGGGAGGAGCATGCTGCGCGTAGGAGGATTTGCGCCGGCGGAGAACGTGGTTCGGTGAAGGAGGAGGTGGCCTTGTAGAGACTTTGGATCTGTTTCTTCCTGTTAGCGTTTTTGTTTACGACACGGTTAAAAGGATACGAGGGGACGGCCTACGATCGGGATCAAACTGGAGGATGTGAATACCACCATCTGAATCGCAGGCCACTATCAGAAGCTCATCCCCATCGGGTAGGAAGTCTACCGTCAAGACTTCCAGCTTAGTGGAGCTTTTACCAAAGAGAACCATTTTATAAGGCTCCTCCGTATATCCCGTAAACCAGACCCCCTTGACAGCATCAGCCATAAGGCAGAGACCAGTTCCTTTGAGCTCGCGAACTGCGGTTACGTAGCAGCTCATATCCATGAACGCAACGGGTAGAAGTGTGCCGTCCTCCTTCAGACCACGCACCATGCACTTCTGCCCTTGCGCAACAAGCATCAAGCCTTGCGTTCCTATTTCAGAGATAGCTGTGACAGCACCCCTAGGGATGTCCTCGTTGGCTACAAATTTTAGCTTCTTGTTGGTTTCGGGCTTTCCTGGCTCTGGAATAACCGTGACCACATCATAAACAAGAACTCTGCCTCTTATGGGGAGATCTTCTCCGCGGGACACGGCCGTTCCGATGGCAATAAGATGTTTTCGCTCATTAGTCGCCTCGGAGACTTCGAGATTGAGTGTTTCAATACACATTATCATCTCACATGGGTCCATCTCGATAGTATCAATGACGGTCCAGCTGCTAGGGTTTATTAGCTTGACCTGACCTCGCTCTACCACAGGTTTAAATGTGAGGTCTTTCTCATGCTGCCATTCTTTATGGTAGTCATCCTCTTTCGGCAGTTCAAACGGTTCTAAACTATCGCAACCAACAACGAAGGTGCCTGATGGAGGGTGGTAGGAGATGGAGTGTACATCAGCTTCTAAAGGTATTTTCTTGAGAGACATGCCTATCTCGGCGTAAGTGTTGTTGTGAGTTGGGATCTGACAAACACGTGCGATACCCTTCGAGTCTGCGTAGATGAAGCCACGCTCACAGCCCTCGGTATGAAACGGACTCATTCCTCGAACACCATCGCCATGTAGTCTCAGAACCTTGGGTAAGGTCTTTGATGATTTGAGAATAAAACTCGGAGAGCTACCAGGGAGGAAAATAGTTTTATATCCGGCAATGTTTTCACATCGTCTCATCGGCGGTGGTTTTCGCATTTCATCATCTTCATCGTCTACCGGCACAACCGGATCTTCTGCTATGACTGGGTTGGGTAATTTTTGAAAGTGAAGTGTCGCAGAAAGCTCCTGCGTAGTAGTCGAAGGTGTACGGAAGGGTTGATATATCGTCACGTCGTCGTTATCATGACGAACCTAGGCACACATAATAAGCAATGCGTAACAAGCTTTAGGGAACTATAGTTAACTTACAATCAAGTACGGGCTCGAGGAAGTCATGTCTCCAAGGTCAGCCACCAATATCTCCTTGATAATTTCCTTGGCAGTTCCTCGTCTAGCAGCATAATTTGCTGATAGAAGAGGCGGTACAAAGGGTAAGCCTTCTGCAACATATACGGGCTTGGAGAGATCAGGCAATGCATAAGCCTATAAATATTAGCAAAGATATCGAGAATATCCGCAGAGCACTTACATGCAGAGCGCCAGCCTTGCTAAGCAGGAACATTATAATATTTTCGCCAGATTTCGCGCCTTTATCGGTCTGACCTTCGGAGAATACGCCGGATTTGTCTTCGTATAAACAACCAGTTGCCCATTTAGTCGAAGTGAGCGCCGTATCTTCCTTTTCAAGCTCTTCGAGTTCCAAGTTCTTATCTATCTTTGCAATAAATGCGCTCGCATCGTCTCGAACCAGTAGTAGGAAAGGATCGGCTATGCTGGCAAAATCAACCCTCGGTTCCGCACCTGTCTCTTCATCGAGCATTGGCAGAATCTGGGTAAGTCCAAAGCCTGGTCCCGTATTAGTACCTAGATACTTAATTGAGGGTAGGAGATAGCCCTACCTCCGTCATAGCAGTGGACGGCAGTCTTAAGAACTTGAATAATCCTCCTATGATTGCCCATGGTACCGGCTTCGATGGTAAAGCCAGCTGCTGGTTCAAACTCCGTTCCAGTCAACGCCTCAAATCCAGCACCTGTTAAAGCATACACGTCTGAGGTCTCATATCCATCCAAATCTACCTTAGGAACAATCATGAAACGGTCGTATTGGGCAGAGGTCTCATATTCTGCGCCAATCGACGTAATTCCCTTATCACCTTGCAACGACTTTGGTATTGGCTTCTGTGCAGCCATGGTCCAAAATCCTCTTGCTTCTGGGAACTCGAAACGTCCAATAACTTTCGGTTGTATTTCTCGATTGATTATAGCAAGTGAGCCGGCACTGCCTCGGCCGCAGGCGCAAACAAAGCTGAGATCGCTAGTCACACCAACTTGGTTCTTCTGCTCTTCCCCATCAGACGGCATTGCCTGTCCAAGTGTGAAATCGTTAATAGGCGCGATGCTGATAAGGCGATCGTGTATACGGAAGACGAGTTCCCCGGACTTGCCGCCTGGGGTGTTAGTAGAATATGAGGGTTGGGCAGCCGACGCGGTATCTTCACCATATAAATCATCGTCGTCTTCTAAGTCCTCCATATCTTCGTCATCCAAGTCGAGGTCTATAGAGGGATCTTGTATACGAGATTTCCTCTTTCCAGTCTGCGCCTGCTTACGTGTCCAACCGATAACCAACGAGTCGGCGCCATCGCTACCCGCAAATAGAGAGGTCTTGTTCAGTTTGCTCAAAGTCGTAACACCGGTTGGTATGATAGTACCGCCATTCTCCGGTGCGATTAATCGAAGGCTTAGTCCCGACACTATCCTACCGTCGACTCTAAACGTAATGATCACCATTCGGCCATCGTTGAGGATCATCAAGAACTCTCCGTTTTCTGCGGATAAGACCTCGATTTCACATCCTTCGAGCTTTAAGCCGAGCTCGGTTTGATCAACCAAACTAAAAGAAGTAGTGTGCTTTGCAAACGGGTTGACACCCACACCATGTGACTTTCCAGACTGGTCGATATGTATGAGTTCATTGGTACCTACTAAGAGAGCGCCACCAACTGGAACAGGAAGCGCGATGACCCGGAATAAATCTTGTGGGAGGCCTGTCACTGATAGAATAGTGGTGGAAGCCTTTTGCTGGATATCCAAGGTGAATACCATGTACGACAACTGGTCTTTTCGGCCTAGAACCGATGATGGGGACACAGTTGAAGACAATATACCAAACGTTGGTTCTCTATATTCGTGAAGAAAGGCAAGGTGCACAGGGTGGATTAGGCTAGGATCAAGATTTGGCAGTCGAAGGACAAATGAGGTTGAATACGGTGTCTCTTCATTGCTGCTAGTTCCATTTAGTAGCGTAGTGGAAGGCTCTTTCACCGGCCGCGGTCCATCCAAGTCTTCATCCCAGTCCTCCATATCTATACCTTCTTCCTGAATCTTGAATTGGATGATAGCAAGGCTCCGCGCCCCGAACTTCAGAGCAGCACATCGACTACTCGGGTCCGCTGCTAGAAAATTGACATAGTGGCTCAGAGGTGCGGCCCACGGGCTGCCTTGGAGGTCTTCTTGTTCATAGTAATGTATTGAGGTGGTGTTTATCGAATTCTTCTCTGGATCCCACTCGACCATACTAAGCTTCGCATCCTTGAATGCCAACAACAGTGCTTCTCCACCCGACGCACTCGTTTCCGTCTTGATGCGCGCAAGGCCTATGATGGTCCCAGCCAGAGGGAATTCGGCAACGAGCACCAATTTCGTATAATTCGAACGGTCAGACCTGAGCAGAACGGAGTCACCGCCGAGGAAGGAGGCTTCAAGGCCATCATCGTCATTAATTCGGGCATCGTAATGGTCCGTTGGTCTCGAGGATTGCAATTGGCCGTTTTGGGCTTTATCAAGTTCAGCAGATACCGACTTGGTCGCGAAGATCTGAAGTAGAGAAGCTCTTGCGACAACAAGATTATTACTCTGCGCCGTGATGAATGGAAGGCATAAAGAATGTGTGACAGCCGTAGGCGGCGTCAGCTCCGTATAACACTGCATCTTCGACCCTTTTTCCTCATTTCAGACGCGTCTTTAAAAAGAGGTGACGTCGGCAGGGCGCAAAACGTTGGAAAATTGGCGACAATGAAGAATGATGAAAGGGAAAGTTGGAAGCTTCAAGCGCGCTACAAGGCCTAAGCTAGGTACCTAGGTACGGTCGTAAGTACACGACGTGCAGCTACCAGCTAGGTTAGTGATAAGATAGTACATTATGCTGTATATGCATATATACGTGAGCTCAGTCCGGTTGCTTCAGGTTGCTTACCTAACTTTATTTATTCGTATCTTGCATAACATTACGTAGTGTTTTAACCGTGCGCCTCTTCTCACTTAGCAGATAAGGTACAACATCGCTACGTTCACAGTGAACCTTCACCTCATAGGTCAATCACTTCACTTTGAAATTTATACCTTAGGTACCACCTATTGTTAGCATCGTTAGCAACTTCAGAAAGACCTCTACTTCATTCATATTGAATCTTTAATAACTACCACAAATTATAAGCTAATTCAAGATATCCTTTTTTTTTATTCTTAATAACATCTTCTCACCCCTTGTTGCATCGTCCCATTTGATGGATCACTGAAGACCAGAACAACCTTCAATCAGCTAACAGCCGGCCCTTACAATAATCTCATAAACAGTGAAGAGGCAACGGATATGTCTCGCTGTTGATATCGAAAATAAATTCCATACCGTAGTAAGAGGCTCCTCCTGAGTTGAACGGTATAGTCCGGTCATCCTTCGAAGATATCCCCTTATCCCCTTATTTTGACAAACGCCAAATATCGACGTCATCTACACGACATTCTTCACCATATTCAGCTTCAAAAGTGATTGAAGCAATGGCGGTAGAGAACCAAACTTTTCGTTTTCTCGACCTCCCGCCTGAGTTGAGGGATGCTATTCTCTCCCACCTTCTCGTTTCAGACTTCCCCATTATACTTCATAACACAACTCTCTTCGCTCCATCGGCATTAGTCTCCGGTTCTGCATATTTCCTGGACGTGTTCCTAGTTAATATGCAAATGTATCGAGAGGCATCTGCCATCTTCTACTCTCAAAACCGATTCACGCTGAACGCGCAAAGTCACCGACTACCCGTCCATCTCACCAGCCGGGGAGGATTTCTCAGCGAAGAGGGACAGGATGCCCGGAGACGAGTGCGAAACTTAACCCTCCATCTCACCCGGGTAGGTGGAGAGTTCGAGCGTGTCTTGGGACCCGCTCTCTCCGATATGGTTCTTAGCGGAAGCTTGCGAGAGCTTACGCTGCGCATGGGACCACCCAGTTGGCGTGGGGCAAACAGGATGCCCGACCCTGACATGGTGCAACGACCCCCTTTTCAAGCATTACTGAGGTTGCTAGCAGACCCCTATTTGGAAAAAGTCGAGCTGTTAGCCTGGAAGGTTCACCTTACCGTCTTCTGTCCATTTCACCGAAAGGCAACTTTGCCGATGAAGACTGAGATTAGGATGGAAATTAAACCGGACACCGAGTCGATAGATGATCAAGGGCTCGCCATTCTGAGGAATGGTCCCGATTGGGTTTCACTGGATTGGAGAGCTATGGTCGAGATGTATGGCGTTGGTCAGCAGATCGTGAGAGTTGGAGAACGAACCTATTGAGATGGCATCTAGTTGGAGTAAATGAATGCAAATCTCTTCCGCGTTAAGTGATAACATGTTTCTAAAGTCGGTGCTCTAACCTCTTATTGAGTTCCAACCGTGGAGTCACTAGGTAGCCAATAGACACTGGGTCAAGTTAAAGCGGTTTGCTTGTTCAACACCGTTGAATTACGATAGCTTAGGTATCTATTCGCATCAACCATAACATATATATAAGCTCATTTACACTATATTATACAGCTTAGCTAGTATCTGACCATCAGAGCTCAGCCCCTATCAAGTCTCGAGCTTCATTCTCAGTCACCCGTGGACGGGCAATGCGTATCACCATGACTATCTAACCTTAGGTAGGTATTGCCTATCAAGGCTTCGGACTTTCTATAACCTAAATCGTCAACGGAACGTGGCCCGTAAAATAGCGCACAACTGTATATTTCAAATTTGCCAAGCAGATTCGGCGCAGATAAAGGATGCAGCCAAGCTCGCCAAGCTATCGTCTAGTGTCGGTACTCCCTTTGGTAGAAGCTAGAGCAAAGGCCCTGTCGATCACCCGCGCTCAGTATCTGTGAAACCTCATCCTAGCCCTGCCCCGGCACGCCACCGTGCCATGTCTCATCTACTGCAGGACCTAGATGCTGACGGCTTCTCCTATGTGTCAGCTTTTGGGCACTCGGCCTGGCCAGATACATAAGTACCTCAGGCTGGCATGTCAGGACTGAGGGGATGACAAAAACAAACAGTTGATCGTAACGGAGCCTACCTCGTCAACCATCAAGATTTATTCTGAATCCAGGTCCTCAAATTCCCGGACTAGGTGAAGACAAATCGAGGCAAGTTACACAGACCAAAAGCAAAGTTTGTATGACTTGCACGAGCCCGTCTTGTGCGCTCTTGGTGTTCTTGGTATTCTTGGTAACTCTTGGTATCCAACTTGGCGTATTGCTTCCTCGAGCGGTGTATCGCGGGACTCCGCCCCGCCGAGAGAAAGCCTCCTGCCGCCAGCCTTTCTTGCCGCTGCGGTACATAGTATTTCTATCGGCAAGCCAGCCGTACATTAGATAGGAGGTATGTACCTCATATGAGCGGTAGGCATTCCTGATCCGTACCAAGATGTACTTTTTTTGGTGGCTCTCGCATCGCCCGTCGTGAGGACACGTAACACAACTGTCTACCTAAGCATCTCAAACAGAATCTCTGATTACAACAATACGGGCCTTTTAGCTATCGTAATGCTAGGCGGCGTTTGCGTAATCCAAGGTGTTTTTAAATACGTGTAATCGAAAAAGGGGGGTGTGGTGGGGGTATTAAGCCATCCCCATGGCACATTAGCATAACTTAAGAAATGTCACTTCTTGATGTTATTAGTAGATAACAGACATCGACATGTAGATCAGGCATCAAAGGTACCCATCCTGCTAGGTACCTAGATTCCATACATGTAGGTGGTACCTTAGGTACCGGTGACGATTCAGCTTTATTAATGATTACGAGTACAAAATAAAATAAAATAAATGCTTATCAGTAGTGTGCTTTTATTAGATTTGGGGTCTGGGGAATGCCTGCCAATAACGATTTATTAATAATCAGGACATCTACGTCATGTTCTTCCGCGCTATAGGCAAGTACCTAACCAGGTAGGTAGGGTAAGAGTTACCACAGCCTTGGGATTTCATTTCTTTGCCGGATTTGGCGACTTATCTCCATCTCTACATACCTAGTAGAAGCTAACGGTGGTCACACGAGCGCGGGTTTAAGCTTCTATAGGTCGTCTGATGACATACCTTACCTTAGGTTGGGTACCTATTTTACCTATTACTATTGTCCTTTCTTTCATCATAGGTATCTCGTGCGACAAGATCGAAGACCTACAAATCCCACAACCTTGACTCGAAACAAAGTAAAAAAAAAAAACAAAGTGAAGGGTTGGGATCGTCACGTTCCCATTCGCTAAGCTGACAAGCTGATTAAGTTCATGTTACCCTACGCTGCACTCATCTTACATCAATTCATATAAATCCCGCAGGGTCTCAACGAACAGATAGATGAGTGAGTTAGATCCCCCTCGGCCTCGCGCTACGCAGGCGTGTGGCCGGACTTAAGGTGGTTATCCGTATATAGTAATTCCATATATGTCATAGGTGGTGAGGCACAATATAAAGCCGCCCATTATGTGCCCATGGTCAAAGAACTGGATGGATATCGAAGGCAAATCGGAAAGGTAACAGTAACAACGACGAATAGATGTAAGGGACCTAACAATACCTATATGAGCTAGACTATCACGTCTTCCAAAAATTACGTAGGAACGGTTCAATCAATCAATCTATGCATTCGTAAGACAATGTCGCAACCCAGACAGGTCTCGACGCGCATCTCGCCCTCGAATTGCATCACCCGCACCCACGCCCTTACTCTCTCCTCGTCGCATTGATGGCGCACGTGCGAAGAATAATTATAAGAAGTTAAGACCTATCCAAGCCGCTCGCTGGCTCGGTAGGCAAGCCGAGGGGGAAACGTGCAACATAAGCAGCACTGATGGTAGGTGGGCGAAGTGACTTGAGGCTCGATTGGACGGATAGAGAGGAAAAGCAGAAGAAAAGGGTGGGGAGAGGCACAATCTATAATTGCATCAAGCCCCCTCGGATTGGACTTTATTTGTCACATTTCCCCTTCGCTTCTGCGAAAACTATCGTCATTGAAACCTAGAAGTGAGGTAATGGTGTAGAGTTATTGAAGTGGGGTGGCGAAGCGCGTCGACGCGGGGGATGTAAAAGAGAAAGATAAAAGAAAAAGAAAAAGAAAAAGAAAAAGAAAAAGAAAAAGAAAAAGAAAAAGAAAAAGAAAAGAGAGGATGGGCAAAGCGGAAAAGAGGGGGGATGAGGCGAGCAACACCAAGACCGTGGATAAGGTAGCGAGAGCGGGATATAGATGTATAGACCAAGCCGGCATTAATTGCACATGTGTACAATACACTATTATACTACCTAACTATTTTATGTACTACCTATGCTGCTACCATGGTAAGAACATAATATGTGCAGTAGTATTTGCATTAGCGCGTGGACTTGTGTCGTAGCTAAGTGAGTAGTGAGTAGCTGTATGAACGAGTAATAAGTGCATTGCATAGGGACTGCCTGATTGATAAGCTCGCTTGCACGTAGCTTTTGCGCATAGTACTATACTGTATTTATCGTTTATGGTCGTTTCGAAAGTCGGTAAAGTTCCAAGTTGTTATATATCTCAGCCTCTTATGACGATCGGGGACATGCTTTACTACACCGTGTACATCCCATTTATCCATACAACTTATATCAAAAACGGTATTATAAATTATATCATTACACACTATTATGGTATTACCTTATCCACCAAGGCCCTCCGCATAACATGCGGTATACTGGTAACAGTAAGAATAGAAACGAAAGTTTACTATGATAACTTGTTGAAACATTTCGCCCCGTTTCTTCGGCCTTCCGGAAACACAAAGAAACCAGAGACGTCGCAAAGAGGCGCTCGGTAATCTTGGCAGCTTCGGGATATTAGATTATTTTAGATTGCAGATTGCAGATTCGGTTTCGAAGCTTAAAGCATTGTCTATCTTGTCTATACCTTACCTATCAGAATCAAGTCCACACTTATAGGTACTACCTACTCCTGAGTCCTGAGCGAACCTATCCGGCTCTTTTATGTCCGAGCTTCTTTCTCAGCCAAGCAAAGCCAAGATAGCCACCCAGCCACCATCTCATGCCCAGGCTGCCAGGGTTTGAAGCTTACCTAGGTACTTATCTCGGGCCTAAACTAGGATTGGTAATCTCGAAGCTGGCTGGCTGGCTTGGTCAAAAAGGCATTCATTATCAGATCGACGGTGGGGTTTCTAGTCAGTGCTTTAGCGGGTAAGGGGTCCGTCAAGATACGGTATGAGATCGACAAAGATCAACTCCGTATGCCGTCCCCTAAAATGCTACTCATACTACATACTACCTGACTACATTAGGTAGTATGGAACACACTTACATAGTACGCTGCTAATAATACCTATGACATATTGCCTTGGCCCACGGATCCGTACCTTAGCTTACCCACCTAATAAGTGTAAGTGTATCTCTCTCCCACCCTTCCCCCTCTGCCCCTTCACCCTCCCCTTCGCAAATCCCGCCTTGGTTTTCGCTTTGCCGTGGCGTTTGTAAATTATCTTGTTAGTAAGGGGGAAAAGGAAGATCAGTGACCTGAGAATGCGGTCATCGTCGGGTATAGAAATGGGTGCTTGCGTTCTATGACTAGGTTCAATACATAGTGCCTACACCACATGATTTTCTAATTTTCTTTTTTTAAGTTTGTCTAGACTCTTAGAAGCCTTTTGAGCTTATTTCGAAAAGCAAGGGATGCACGCGGGCAAGGAAGCTTGGGTCAAGCTTTAACCAATCAAAGGTTCGCTAAGATTCTGTGGAGAAGCCAAAAAAAAAAATACTACCTAGCCTATGGTATATACGATAGGGAAAAATGGCCGACTTAATCCTCTTACTACTTGTGGATGTTGTATGCGGCCTTCGCCCCAAATCCCGCTATTCTATACAAAGCTAAAGCTAAGAACACGTCAACGGGGGTAAGGGGGCAATGTATGATTAGCTACATTAGGTACCTAACCTACCTAGTACCTACCTACGATGTGACTGATACCTCGGACATGCTCTAGCTAGCACTAGCGCACATGGCTTTCAAGTCCCCTGACTGGCTTAGTATGATACGTATTCGCGCAAATGGAAGTACGTACCTAGGTAGTATGCAGTAGGTTGGTAAAGGAAGCTAGATTTTCGGACATATGATGTTGTTTCCGACATGTGAAAAAAGTCAAAAAGAAAAAAAAATAAACCGTTTTATTTGGGGGTTTCAAAAATTTGCCATTCATAGGTATTAAGCACCAACTGCATACAAACAGTAATGCAAGCTATAAAGGTACCTAGGTACATAATGTATATAGGATGAGGTAGGCATCAATTTGCCGCAGATAACCGCCAAGATCTTCTTTTCTCAGATATTTGCAACCACCAGCAAGGTTTAGGTAGTTGTTTTTTAAGTGTGTGCCGTACCCGTTCGTAACACAACAGGTGTTATGCACTCCAGGAACTAAATTCTATCCAATCCATCCATGTTGATCCTTAACCCATCCCCATCCCCAATCCCCATCCGTCGGAATTCCCTATCCCACAGAACGCCAGCGAAGGAAAACAGAAGAGAAATCAAAACGGGCCAGACGCAACCCTCCTTAATACACCCCGCTCCCGTAGATTGTGCATGCTATGTGTAGATCGTAATGTTGTTTTTGGTTCATGTCGTAAACCTAAGCCATGATGTCGCAATCCGCGACTTTTCTCTAATTTGCGCGGGCAGAGGGGGGGAAAAAACCGAAAAAGATAAGTGATTTTTTTTTTACTCGTCGACAGCGACCTCATGGTAGTCCTCCTGCTGCTCGCCGTAGTGGACGGGGCCCAGCTTCAAGAAGCGCAGGCTGTTTGTGCTGGTGCTGCTGGCGCTGCTCTGGCTGGAGCTGCGGCGGGTGTGGGTGGCGGGCTTGATGCTCTCAGCGGTGGGGTAGGAAGCAGAGGTTGTGGGAACCAGAGATAGGAACATCTGAGGCTGGCTGTCGCGGACACGCTGGGCCATGGTCTGAGTGCCGGTGTTCTGGGCGCCGGTGTTCTGAGTGCTGGAAGACATCTCGATGGTTGTTATTGTTATTGTTGTTGCTGGTGTTGGTAGATTTTATGAAAGTAGTTGTGTTAAGATGGAAGATCCGGCTTGTCCGTAAGTGATATATATATGCTCAGCAAATATATAATTTATTTAAGTCGGTGATGACGATAGAGCTAGGTTTTGAGTAACTGGTGGGGGAAATGGTATTTCCTTTGAGATTCTGGCTTTGTTTGAGAGCTGTTAGTCTGTCTTGAAGAGAGAAAGAACAATTGTGTGAGATGGAGAGAGAGAGAGACAGAGAGATCGGGAGCCCTTGGGAGCATGGCATGCGTCCTTTATAGACCGTGGCCACCCCTTAGAAGAGGTAGGTACATACCTACATAGTAAGTTAGATAGGCAGAGCATTAACCGTAGTCCAACGATAGGTAAGTTCCAAGAGCTGCCAAGGTTTTGCAATTCCCCCCACACACGTTTATACAACCCAATGCCCAGACACATAACCCTCTGGTAGTCCGTAAACTATAATCTCTTGGTATGTCCGGGCGTTTTTAGTAATGAATCGCCAAGACTGGCCATAACTGTCCACTCAAGGTACCTAAACCTTTTATTATTTTTATATTTTCTTTTTCTTTTTCTTTCCCCCCCCCCCCTTATGCCGCAACGTGCCTACGGTTGGTTTCAGCAACGTCAGCACATCCCACTCCCACACCCTTGAAATCCTGAACATCGTACCCCGGTTAGACAAGAGTAATGTTGGCTGGGGTGACAGGCTGGCTAGTCCCTATCTTGCTCCTCCGTATTGCTGTGATTGGGCGCGGCCGGTCGTGTCCCGCGGACGTAAGGTGCGCACCTCCGCGCCATCAGCGCATAGTATGAGAGAAAACGCGCACGTAGCACGTGGGGTGCACAATTGGGCGACGAATTACCTAGGAAGTACCTAATCTAGTAGGTAGCCAAGCATTTTCATAAGGACGGTACCCAGGTAGGTAAGCCATAAAAGTAAAATATAAAAGAAAAATAAATATAGCCTTTTTGTTATCTTATATCCGAGGTCCAGAGGGGAAATGATCCGATTCCTATTGGAAACCAATACGGCTGGTACGCTGATACGCTGGTACGCCCTCGGTTCCACGCTGTTAGCGGGCGAGCGGGTGAGCAGGTGGCAAACGGCCGGTGGTGGTGTGCTCCGAGTCGTTCGAGCATCATCCTGAGGCTCAGATCTAGCCGACGACAATCTAATATTGACGAGAAAGGTGTGGAGAAGCGAGATGCGGCTCCTTTCGACTTTAAATCAACAGCAACTCACCCGGTCCCCCGGGGCATCACGGCGAGAGGGCACTGAGTTCGGGAGGTTAGGCAGACTGCGATTGGGCGGGCCAAGCCGCTAACGGGATTGTTCGGAGGAGGCCTCGAGAAGCCATCGCAGGGGATGGCCGGAGATATCGGGTTTCCCGAAGCGGGAGCTCAGGGACTCGTGAACGGCAACGGCAATTGCTATTGCTATTTCTACCTCATGACACATTTAAACAGTCGCTTCTATTATATCTGATTCCGAATTCCTACAGAATGGCTGCTTGAACCCCGGTGTTTACACACTGCAGGCTTTCATAGAATATAGATGACATACTCACATCACATCACATCAATACCAGGTAACTAATACTACGCTTATGCGCAATAAGAACGACACGAAATATAAGCTTGGTGAACATATTAATGATCATAATGATATAGACGTATGTCTTAATAATGGATGGTTGCCCTTTTTGAGTATCCGTTAAACAGCATATAGAATCTTAGCATTGGTTTACTGAATATTACGATAGTATTAACGAATAGTGAGCCAATCCCCCTTTACGGCCTGACATATAGCGTATAAAAGGTAGGTAGGTACCCGTGTAGTCTACGTAAATATCTCTTTCACACGAGATGTTCTAGCTATCATACGGACTCTAGCTTATTTATCACCCTCTCTGTATACCGAGTTAGGCTGTCACGTCGCAGAGCATGAGGTAGGTAAAACAACTTCGTTGTTCGTTGTTCCGCAAGGAACTCTAACTACAGTTGCTTTGAAGCCAAAGCTATATACAGATTAGCTCCTTTGTTCCGAGGACTCTCAAGTGAGACTCCTGATATAAGCTTTCGTATATGCATAATGGCCCTATTAAGCTTAGGTACGTTTGAAAATACTTAGGACTCTAATGACTATAGGCAGCGACTCTTTGCCCTATTTATATAAGTGGTTTAAGTATCTAACACGCGAGAAAGAAATCTAGTACCTCAAATATCCATGTGAGAAATACGTCGATCAAGTGGCTCGGATAATGTTGGATCTGCTTCGAAATATACCTCGCACGCGATAATAGTCTTTGCTTCATATTCCCCTCCAAGCTTCATGGTAATTATGGCAATGTTATCTCTTGAGTTTCACAAGTGCAAAGGGTCAGTCAGGTGCTTATATTGTATATTTAGACCCCAGACTCTCTACCAGTAAAAGGGGCAGTGCGACTTTATCGAAGCACACAAAGTCATTAATAGGCCAAACAAGACTCGGCTTCTTAAATAACTTAGGTACGAACATATATCCTAGACGTACCAACGGTGTAAAGGCATAGCATCATTCTTAACCATGGTGTTTCGAAGCTCAGAGAAGCTTTATATCACCCTCAAGCTTGAACTCACCTGTTTTCAACGCCTGGTGGTATCCGTTATATATAATGTACGTTACATCTCCTATAGTTTAGTAGAATAAGGGTACTGGGGAGCTAAACGCAGCCAACACTTGCTGCATTACCTAGGTACCTAGGTAGTGTATCCAATCTCTTTCTCTGATCAGCGGGGTTGCCGAAGTTTAGATAGTACCACGAGGTGGAACCAGAAGGTAAGGAAACATCATTCTAGTACCATTTTTCGCACATGTTTTACTTCTATTGTTTGTTTCGTAATGTTTGGCTCTAGTATAGGAACCATCCACACAGAGTCCATCCCAGCTATGGGATGAAAAAGCGTTATACTAGACACCCCAGACAAGTTAGAGATGTTTTTTTTTCCTTTTTTTTTTGAGGGGAGGGGGTTCTGTGGAACGGGGTGGAGAAGTTATCGAGATTGCATTACACAGGCTTGACTCGGGGGCAGTTTCTGAGCGAAACTACCTAAGTGCCTATTGATGCTTACATTGTAGAAGTTGAGTGTGATACCAGGTAATGTGTCAGAGACGTATAGGTCTAGCTGGGATATACTGACTGGAGTAAGAGTTTACTGGCTATATAGGGTAGAGGACCAGCCAGGCCTTATTAGTTCACCTCAATATACTGCATGTACAGCTCCAACACTCACTCTGTATACTATATCCTTCAAGGGCAATCTTTACCTGGCATAGTAAGTATCGTGGGCTTTGCTCATGAGCTTCAGCAATTTCTAAGTCTAATGATGCGAGGTCACGAGCGGATATGCCTTAGTTTCATCGATTTAAGTGTTAATAGTCGTAAAGGTAACCATAATGATGTTAGTTACGTTCAGGGGTCGTAACCAGCCAGGAGAAGGGGGTAATAGGGGTTAACATAGTAACTTCCTCATGCTAGTTGATATGTGTGGCAAATCTCCCCTTAGAGGAGCGAGGCAAGAGGTACTAAGAAAGATAGTGGCGCCGAGAGCAGCCATAGAATAACTTTCGCGGCAACGGGTCAACTTATATTTTCGACTCTCTATCTTTAGGACCTTACTAGATCTGCGCTACCGTTAATTTCATGTTCTCGGCAGTCTCGATACTAAGCTAGATATCTAGGTAGGTACCTAGGTAGGTGTTCTTCATATGTAACCATGTACTATCTTGGTGAAAAAGGCGTGTAGGTAGATTACTTGTCTTCAAGTGTATCGTCAAAGACCCAGGGTAGATCGTAAGCCGTTCGTACCTGGCTCGAGTTATCGACACCTAGCGTCACGGCTGCTATGAGTTCTTCGACCTCTATTCACCCCTTTTCTTCTCCCCTGAGTGTCGAGATAGTTGGTCTAGGAATCGGCCTGAGAAAAGATAGGGTTTATTACTAAAGTCAAGAAAGATTATGCTAGCGGCATTTCGTAGAGCTGAGCTAACTGAGGAAATATAAAGGGTGCTCGACCCGAGATCGATACTAAGGCATGGATGATTGGAGTGGTGGACTACTTCCCAGCTCACTGCAATCTTTAGATGTCGGGGTTAGGGGTTCTCTGATAGAGATCCCTAGATGACGCGAATATCTCTCACCTGATATGCCGTGATTACTTGCCTGTGACCCCTAGCTTTATCGCCCTAGCCTGCCCGGAACGGGGATCATTCGGGTAGAATAGGTAGGTAGGCGTGAAGCTCTGACATCTTGATAGCGTAAGGGGTGCGTGGGGTGCCATACTCCTTGGACGGTACCAGGCAATGAACTTGATTTGCCTCAGTTTGAAATGGAGTGGAGGTAGCTTCGGCCGTAGGTATTATTCAGGGGTGATCAAAAATAACCCCCAACGTCGGGTACCATGCTTGCCTATCACTCTACCCCCCATCCGTTGACCTGTTGACAAATCCTGTCGACATCAGCGTACGCCTTTCACAAACGCCATGCTATCATTAATACCGCAAATTAGGGGGGGCTACGCGTACCTCGGAGTTGTTAGCTTGGTTCCGGTTCATGGGTGACCGGTGTGATTCGCCGGATCAGCTTAAGGAGGTTAGACCGGAGAGAGAGGTAAGTTGGTAGCTTGTCACCTTTAAGGAATCTGCCAGGTGACATACATTATGTAGGTAGATGGCGTGTTCTTGGCCATGCAGGGCAACGAACAAGGACGTGACGACGAATTGGTGTTCACTCCTAAAGTAAGATGGATTTGCATCACATAGAGTTCTTTACGTACCAATCTTGGAGCTTTGGGGCTGTCATGGGTTGCTAGTTGTGTGAGGGTGGGAGCATCCGTAAAGGCGTAGGTGTATCTGAAGGAATAGTAGAGATGTTGGGGTGCTTGTCACGGTTAAGTGCTTATGCTTGCATATGAAGGGGTTAGGTGTGATCGAGATGATTTTATGAACCGAAGCTACACTTTACATATAACTAGTAACTAGGTACCTAGTCATAGGAGTGTTAAACCTCCGTCTTTGAGATAGTCCTTGTCACCGTGCTTCTTTCTCTTGGCATTCTGAAGCTTGTGTAAATCCAGTTGGCTCCGGCTTGACCCCTAGGTAGCAATCATCTATTAGGCATATCATCAAAATGGGCGCACATCGGGGACAAACTGGTATCCAACGCTTCGAAGCAGCGGTGGCGGGTCCAGTACTGTTAAGGTGGATGTGATGAGGATCAACTAACTGCATATAGGAGCATCAACCTTACGACGTGAAGCTGTAAGGTAATGATACTACGCTAGCTATTCATGGCTTTACCGTCGGTCTAAGTCTAATTTGGGTATCATCAGGTCCTAGTGCTCCTGGCGACTTCTTCTTTTGGATGGAGAACTTGTAAGCAAGACGTTATGGATATGTGAAAGGATCGGTCCGAGACCGGTATCAAGGTGATGATGGGCCCAATTTGTGTTAGAAAGAGAATGTAGGTTGGTGGCTAAAGTAACTAAACGAACTTTTGAAGTTATATCTCGGGATTCCTGACGCCACGGGTGACTTGCGCGAGCCGAATTCACACCCCTTTGACTCCACACCGATACCAAAGGGCTCCCAGAGATCCCATGAGGAATACATCCCTTACTGTCCGCCAGCAATAGAGTTAGTTGGAAGCCCGCATATTCACTACCCATGTTACATGTTCGAAAACAGACATAATGTCTTGCGCCGAGGGGCCAAGGGAGTAGGTAGTCTACCAACAATTCCAGGTAAGCTTAACGACACTACGCTTCGAAAAGTAGTAAAACAACCTAAGTTAGGTTAATCTCTCTTCGTATTTTGATCATTTGAGCTTATGATCAACACGTAGAAGGACGTGACCGTATTATCGGCGATGGTGATGACGGTGATAACTTGACCCGACACTCTGGCACGCTACGAGCAGGCGCTTATTTCTGTCAACAGAACAAATCGATTGGCTAGCTTTCCGCGCACAGCCGCCGAGAGCCTGGTTTTTCGACCCCGCCATGAATAGGAAATGTAATTAAAAAAACGTGTAGGTGTCGTGTAATATTTACGACGAGCAGTCTGGGGCGGCTCTTCGGTGTTACACTTATATAAGCGCGTCTAGTGTAAGCGCACGGGTGAAATCAGGGATTTCACTGCCTCCTCTTCAACTGTCAGCTCGAGCTGTATATGGGCAAGGCTTCTTTAGGACTCATATCGTGTCTTCAATAATTTCTGATCTTGCCTGTATGCATAATTAGCTTATAATCCATGACGCTCTTAACCAGGTAGGACATTAGTAGGATATTATAGTTTTGGAAATTACCCGCGATACCCTCTCGTAAACCATTGGATTCTAGGCGCGTAAGTTTACGGTCGTCGTTGGCCGGTTGTGAAGATATGAGGTAGGTATTTATCACCTAGTTGTCAGATTAGTAGTTTTTATTTAGTCTGTTTAGTACCTTACCTACCTTTATGTTAGGTTTGAAATCAATCTGTATGTAGGTCATGTTCAAGGTTTTACTATGTACATCATTGTTTCTTCTCATTTTTCGGTATGGAGGGCCGAGGCCACGGTCGCAGGTCTTCAACACTACAGAAAACTCAGCGCATTGGCAATGCGGCCAGATTTTCGGCAGTGACGTGAGCTATCATTCGAGGCCGTCTGGAGATTAAAGGGTTACTTGACTCAAGGTTTCTGTAAGTCAAACAAGAGCGTGCCATGGCATTGGAGGCGAGGTATGGGGTGAAATCGACTAGGAGAGGTTCATCTCTTGGCCGCAGCTCTGCAAGGCAACTGGGATGGAGTCTTAGATGAGGGATGGCCGCATAACTCGCGGGCCGTAAGGCTGTAATCTTACTATATGTTGGTTGGAACAAAAGTTACACCATCATCTACGCTAGACCTTTGAATTGTGCCTCACCCCCTATTTCTTGAACCGGGGCATCGTCGATATCGTAGAGTCTAAATCTTACCCGCTAGCGGACTTGATATTCGTAAGGTCCCACAACATCGACTGACGTATGTGGAATTAGGAATACCTTTACTTGTACTGTGACCAGGTGCTAGTAAGTGGGAAGCTGTAGAAGTTGACCAGTAGCATCCAGCTGGAATAAGACCGGCACCCGAGTAACACATCGGGTGGCAATAGCCATCACTAGAAAGCCTCGGGATAAGGAACATTCGGTTCATGGTTTAGCCAGGGGAGTGCACGAAATTGTACGTGCCGTAGATTCCCGCTCAACATGATGCTATCCCTTACTTTATGCAGGGCTCTTCTACATCTGGAGAGAAGTTAGAACACCTAGCGCAATGTTAGGCCATGTACCGTGAATCTGGCAGTATCAGTAGGTACGCACTTGTTCTGGAGAATGTCCGTTTTCTTTCTACAACAAGCCCGGCAGATTGAGCTAGCCGGCAGCCGGCCCGTTCCATTCGGCTAGTATAGTCACGGATCGGGATAAGGGACGATGTGAGTATTCCCATAGGTAATATACTTGTCACAGGTTGAAAGAATACATGTAGTTCTGATTCAAGCAGGTGACAATGGAAGTGTAAGTGGCACCCGCACATTCGCCCCTGAGGAAATTACCGACATGAATGCCAATGTGGTCTGTTCGCCTGGAGCGGCCATGTGGCAGTTGGGTCGAGAAGTCTTCTGGAACGAATTCTCTTGAATATGATTACCGTTCTTCTGCGAAGTCGGGCGAGAGAGAATGTTCTTTGCCTAGGACGTGGTGATGACTTGTATGCTGGATGGGGGCCGGGGATTGGGCAATTCAGTACCACGCATCGGGTAATTTTTTTTGTCCCTGACCCTTGATCTCCCGGCTTCTCCTGCAATCGACCTTTTTGGGTGCTACAAAGCGTGGGAAACCATTTGTTTGTATTATTTGCGGTGCAGGCATCATGCCCGGGTAGATGTGTTGGATAGCGTTTGTAGCGTTTGTAGCGTTGAAAAGGTTTGATAGACAACATTGCGATTTAAGCTTGGGGTTACAAGTTACGACTGAATGCGACTTGCTCTTTTTTCTAGGTTCTTAGGTACCTTAGGTAGGTACCTAATTGCCTAATTGCAGGTAGACTACATATCTAAACCTACCATAGTATGGTATTGTACCTGTTCGAAGGTGCATGGCTTAGCTAGGTAGGTACATGTAGTAAGGGTAGGTACCTAGCCAGGTGTTGTATGTACCTATATTAGGTACCTACATCTACTGTAGCGTACCAAATTCCCACGTTACATCTGTACTACCATGTACTGTACCTTAGAGGTAGGTAACTTCAATACCCTAGGTACCTAACCTCTTTCCTTAAGCCTCTCTGCCTCTTTTATTCCTTCCTTGCTATTTCGATGTTCTGAGAATGTCCAATGTTATCAAGGCAAGAGGTAAATAGGTAAGAGGTAATCATGTATGTATACGTACCGAAACTAAAAAAAAAACCTCCTTGCCCCCAGACTTTTCCGTTTTCCCCTCTCATTTATCTCACCTCTTACTTGTTATTTATTCTCATGTAAGTTAGGTCCCGTCAATAAAGCCACTCCGATTTTAAGTAGCACAAACATCACTTCTTTCACTCATGCCAGGGGTATCTATCTGGTGCCTCCTTCTTTGACACATGCCGCAGGCATGCTCGGTACCTACAGCTATGCACGTTGGTCCCAACGGGAAGGATTCAAAAAAAAAAAAAAAAAAAAAAAAAATACACCCGTCAATACAAATTATTATAATTGCCATCATATAAATTTTATTTTATTTTATTTATTTTTGTTATTTTTCCTCTCTTTTCCCTTTTCATCCTAGACGCATTTCCCACTCGACATCTAGAATCTCGCACTTTTTCCCTCTCTCTCAACTAACTTGGCCCACTTGGATGGACCCTTGGAGTTAGTTCAGGGCAAGCAATCAAGACGGGAAAAGATGTACGAACCAAGTACGTAACTCCTTCACCCCAAATAACACCGCAAACATCGAGCTCTGCCTTTGTGGCGCTCCTGGGCTAGCCCTAACACCTCGAACACGCCTCGGGGGCTTTTCGACTAGCCAAGTGCTCTTACGGGATCCTTCGACAGAGGTGACCTTTACTAACTACTATTGTTGGATATTCATGGGTCGTCCGGCCCTTAGCGGCGATGTGGTAACACATGATAGTAGCTTAGTATAATGATGAGATCAACGCAGCCAACGGTTACAATCAAAGGAACAAGCAAACGCAATAGCCCCAGGATCATTCGCGTCTCCTGCCAGACGCCTATTACTATACATGCTAGGGCAGACGTCGTCCATCCCTAATTGCCTAATCGGATCGTCTGAGTGGTGAAGAAGCCCTTGGACAACCTTACGTTTGAACTCCCACACTCGCCTTTCCTACTGGCCCAGCTCGGACTCAGCTCATTTCATATTCCTCTCCACCAGTTTCTATTTTATCTGCTTTCTTGATCGGAACGCCGCAACACCCCTGCTCCGTCCACGGGTAGTTCGACCCTTAGTGCGGGACTGAGCCTTCGACCTGCGTCGTGAAGGCCCTAGAGAGAGATAGACCGGTACTTTACCAGATGACGTTCACGGCCCAATGGTTCGTTCCAAAGTTGACTCCAAACCCTACTTTTTGACCGATCCCGCGGATGCATCGATCGTTGCCGCAGAACCGCGCGTGTCGGCGGCTGCATCCAGAGTTCCAACTGCATAAACTTCATATTCCATTTTCTACTTTCCCCTACAAGCCCTTCGATTGTATAGATACCTTTTCTGTTGGCCATAGGTGGGTGACCTCCATCATGGTCCGGTGACAGCCGCTAGGTAATTTACACACACACACCTGTTACTCTAGTCGAAGAAGATATTCTATCCCCAACAACAGGGGATTCTGTCGAACTTCTGCGGCGGCGAAGACTTCGACGCAGTCTGCCAACCTGAAGCTACCAGGAGCGCTTAATCCGCTTACAGCTCAGATTAGCCGGCTTCTTGTGACAAACAAGGGATCTGACATATATCCATTTTACTCATCCGAAGGTATCTCACGAACCTTCTACGTCTATAAAATCCACCCTTCCGCCCACTACGATGCTCATATCCTGTCCTTCACCATTCCACACATCCTCCAGTCAACAGATCTCAAACAGCTCAAGTCAACACTTAGTAACAGCTTCTATCGTGCTATACTAGATATCCGCTTCATAACGCCACGGTCATTCCATTGGGAAAGCATCTGCTACAAGTCCAACGTATTGGTTCGTATATAAGAAGCGGCATAGTATCGACCCTTATTAACAGAAAAGCTACCAGAGACAATCACTACCATTCCATACTATCAAATCGTTTCATCATGTGCAAGATTTACATCGTCAAGTACACGTGCGGCTGCACCGAGAGGCGCGAGACACCTTGCGCCGAGTCGCCAAATACACTTGGGGCATGCAGCAAGGGAGTCAAAGAAGAACCCGACTATAACCCCGGACCATGCGATAAACATACTTAACGAAAGGTAGGCGTTCGGCTTATACTTGAGCCATAATTATTACCGTTTTTGCTAACTTTTCCTCTTCCCAGGCATGATGATTATGGTTGTCTCAGAAACACAAAAGTATATGAATGGTTAGGGGGCGTGAATGGTACCTAGGATGGAAGAGCGATTTGCGAGCGATCGCATAGATACCTGAATTGTCCTATTTTGTTTCCCGATGTTGTTCAAGATCTGGCCTGGTGTCAGCGTTTGACAGTGCCACAGTCCCTCGAAGTTGTGGCATAGTGGGATTTTCTTTTGTCAACTCCTCTCGTTTTCCTGTTTAGAGATTCTTTGCTTCGAAATCTACGATGTTATGGTGCGGGTTATTAGGGGCCAGGTTTGAAAGGCTATCGGGGTGTTCTATGTGTAGGATAATTTCGGGCAGCCCTTGGTCTCCTTTTAATTAATCACCTTTACTTATATCTAACTGTCTTCTCCGTCCGTCATGGCTTTTTTTTACTGCTACTACTACTGCTACTACTACCACTACCACCACCACTAACTACTCTTTTACGATAGTTGTCTGTCCACCGAAATTTGCATCGAATGGCATGACAGATGGTATATGGGAGATGGCAGAGACGGCTAGCGGCATGCGGTCCAGTTGCGGCCGTAAAACGTGACACAGCTCAACCGAACATACGGAATGGAAGTATGACGGCCAATTCCGCGGTCAGAAGCATCTACCCGAAGGCACAAGTAATCAATGCAGGGTTAGAGTATGTGTCAGTATATTTAGGGAAGCAGAACAGCCTTGTAATGTCGGTTGGGTCGTAATGCGCGGGATCATTTGGTAACCAACAAATGGTGTTGGCGGCCAGCCCGGAACAGCATGAAAGAAAAAAAATAATAAGTCTGAAAAAAGTGATGAGATGGCAAAGCTGACGTTGTGAAGGTAATACGCCTCATTGGAAGAATCCTACGGTGACTATGGGACTGGAATGTAGAAATTGCAAATAATGAAGGACTACTCGCATCTATCTTGTATCATGTGATTAATGAGATGCTAGGGAAGAAGACCAACTAACGGTTTAATATTCTTAATATTCTGTAAAAAGGTAAATGTTTGGTTGATGGGGGGTGGTTTTCTTCTAAGAAGTTGCTGCAAGCTAGAGGAGCTAGACGTAGGCGATTAGTCGCCTAATCCGAATTAGGCATGTATCGCAGCTCTGGTGCTTTGTCCCTTGCGTTACCTTATCTGGCGGCAGCGGCAGTTACGTACGAGATACTTGAGTACATAACCTTAGGTACATGCTTACAACTTCCAATTGGATGCGTGGAATAGGAAAGGTAAATTGAAAAAGATGAATGAATGCATTTAGGAACTTCCTTCTTCTTCATCTTCCTCGGTTAAAACTTTAAAACTCTCTAAAATTGCAGCAAGTAAGGTAGCTACTTCATGGTTTGATTAGTAGGGACTTAAAGCACTCTACCAAGCAGGAACGATAGGGGGGATCTCAGGTACAATACCATATATTACAGCTAAGTAGCTGGTACGTAATGAAGACGCTAGCTTAGCAGGTGGGTCCCAGTTTGAGAATTCTAGAAATGTAATTAAACGAGACTATCAGATCTCACTTTATCCCCATGTCGTTCACATCTCTCTCTTCTTTTTGGGGGGGAGGGTGGAATTGACTTGACTTGCATCCCCCACATAATCAACCACATCCATGATATACACCATATACACATATCAAAATGCGGTCTTGGCCCCCTGGTGCCCAAGAGTATGCCTTGATTAGGTACATGACACTAATAAATCTAGACTTGCCCCGCCTATTTCGGATAAGTTGTTCATACACTATCATTTGACTTGTGGGTCGAAATTGGAATGACCTTCGTTTATTGCGGTTCGTCAACCAATAACGACCCTACACGGGGATTGTCCCTACACGGGGGTTGTCGGATCGGTTGCATCGCGCCTTTCAACATGACTCCGCCCGCACGTATACAGACCGGGCCGACAGCCAGCTGCTGAGTTGGGGTTTAAAGCCATAATCATTTCACATTGGCCATCTGGCGATAGACTCAAAGTTTAGAGCCTACTACCTACCTACCTGGTACTGCCTACAGCCTACATATAGTTACTAGGTTAGGTAGTCACTAACTAACCCTCCCCTTTTACACGGTCTAAGCCGCACGCATTCTCAGATGTGCGTTGGCCCGTTGGGGCGGCCCGGTCCCGGACAGATACGACATCGGATTACACAACGTCTTTACGAGCTTTTAGTCTTGCCCGAGGCAACCTACTTCCCCTTATTTTTCCCTTCCCCCATCTTATCCCATACTACTCTGTCCCGTTACAAGCATTGTGCAACTCAAACGAGCCCTTGCTACCCCCTATGCAACCTGTCGTCGCTACCTATTCGATGACCTTCGATACCAGCCTCAGAGAATGATGGAAAGCTGCGTTTCGGGGCCCAATTGGGAGAATCCCTTTGCCGAATAGAGCGGACAATATCAAATCAACAGTTCACTACCTATCTACCTAGACGGCTTGTCTGCCTAGCCTGGTCCCTAGCCTAGTCAACAATGGATCAGACCGACAAATCACCAGTTGGCCAATAATGATGACTTTTGTCTCCTTGATTCCTTAGCAATACATGATGGATCACATGGATTACACAACTAAGTCGTGCAGCATACGAGTCGGTCGCACTCCTTTTTCGTTATCACCTTCGGGAACAATCGATAATGGCAGACTCAATAAGAGGTAGTTGTATTACGCTAGCAGAGCAAGGGATGCGATATGGTCCATGGAGAACTAGACAACTCAACAACCCACGTAGCAACAGTACGGGTACCTTAGGAGGTATTCATCACTAACACCTATATCGTTACCGTCATAGATCGGCTAGAACGGATTCCTTCCCGTTAAACCTGGTAGGTCATCCCGAACGAGAGTTGTCACCACCCCCGCATCATTCATCGCCTCATGCACGACCTTGCAGCTCTAATGTAAGTCAAATGCATGGCGGTTATGGCGTGTCGGCAGCCAATAAGATTGCCTAGAGCGATTAAAAGCCTTCCAAGGCGTTTACGACTGTGCTAACGCCAAAAAGCGAAAGGGGAAATGGGCTGCCTTCTTCGTCACTAACGTTAGTCCAAGAAAATTAGATTCTCGTCATATAGATCAAACAGACATTTGGCACCCCTGAGTCGTTTTGATTTGATAGACGATCGGACGACTTCTCAGGCTTGGGATTGGCTATACTACAGAATATGAAGTCACATTAGGCTTATCCTATAAGATTAACTCTGTCGAAATCTGTCCTGTCAGCCTTGTGTCAAAATTATAGGGTGCCCAACCCGAAGAGAAGTTTGCGGGTTTCAACTCTAATGGCCCACTGAAGCAGGACCAGGTCACCGGGGAACTTCTTTTCTCGTGCAAGCTGTGCAGGGATCAGCCGAGCAAGGGGAAGTTCCACAATCGCGCGAAGTGCCGCCCCCAACTCTGTTCGCCAATCTTAAAGTGGTTTTAACTTGTGGAGTCAGACGCGATGCGATCAGCGGTTGTCAGTCTCGTTGTTTCGCCTATCAGTAATACTATTACTACTAGCAACGCTACCAAGAAACCATATATCAAATAATCAGATTTCCCGGATTGCTATGTACGAAATAGCATGTGGAAACGTGCAGTAGGATAGCATTGTACAGGGGCATCGCCTCCGACTAACGATTTCGACATCAAAAGCTATTGTGTGCCTACGCTAACCTCTAGAGTACCTACCTACCTAGGTAGTATACCATAGTATCACCTTCGAGGGTTGCCAGTCGCAATATCCTAGCGCGCAATCTGGCTATGCTGCTGTGGTGAAGCGCAAATGCAGGTTGACATCACTCACCGAGGTAATTAGCTCGGCGCAATGTTAGACGAATATAACAGAATCTTGCTTCCTGTCATACAAGACCCATTGGACAACTCTTGTTTTGCTTGACTCCTTTCCGAGGTCGCACTCTAAACTCAGACAGGGTCTTCCTGACAACTCTTTACTTGACTAAAGCTTGGCGAATACCTACCCTCTTCACAAGTTGCAATGTTCTTGTTGATGTGTGTGCGCTAAGCTCGGGAGTTTCCTCGTCGCCAAAAGTCCTTTAGCCAATTATCGAAATTCTCGCAGTTAGCATTGATGCCAGCGTTGGGTTTCGTGGTTTCATTCGTGGATTGTGCCTTTATCGGGCTGCTGAGCCCGAGGTCTACCTATCGTACATTAAAAGAGGTACTCATGTTGGACTACAACAAGACTCTTCAACGTATTGGCTAATTTTTCCTATTCTACCGTCGCTATAGCCAACTAGCGTATGGAAATAGCCGTGTATGCGCCGACCTATGCATAATTAATCTAGTTGGTAAGATTACGAAAACACATTCTGGAGCCTTCATGAAAACACATCCGTACCAGGTAGCCATTTGCTCATTGTTATCGTACTCTTATTGTTCAACTAATCTACTCCAACCAACCTTGGAGGCCGATTTGAACTCAAAAATTAAAAGGTAATTTCGCTAACGATCTTATAGTTCTGAAACTAGATAACTACCAACTACTAAATCCTGAACTAAGATGTTAAAATTACCTGAATGCTGAAACTTGATTTTATGATAATAGGTAGCAAGCCGGGGTCTCTTCAAGGTTTCGTCATAATCACCGTCCGCCAGCATCCGGTCGATTATTTCCAGATGAGAGGTTGAGTTGTCACGAACGAAGCAAATAAGAGGATTCGCATATAGGGTAGTCCTAAAATACACAGCAATCCTATAGCAAATTTAGAGTGAGCAGATCGGGTCTCATCTCGAACTACCTCTTGGATTCAGATAAATTAGACTGGTAACGTTAAAGAATGACTTCATCTATAGTCGCATGAAGATCTGGTGTTTTATAGGCAAGAAGGATTTCGAAAGGAATATCTCATTTTATTCCCGATTCTCTCCTCGGTGTTAACGGATGTAACTTAGGTAGCTAACATATTATTTTTCGAGCAGTCAAATCTATATACACACTCCGAACGCCCGGTAAGAGTTCCGTGCGCCAAATCCTTCGGCACGTGTACTACCGCTGTTGCACAGGTCGATCGGCTTTGCCTATGTGTCGGCCGCACGGGACACGGACACGCATTGGTCGGTTGAATGAAATTGCCCATGATCGGCAGAAAAACAAACCCGAGTCACAACCACCGGACCGGGCCAATATCCTGCATAATTCGGGCACCGTTAATCATGTAAAACAACACGGCAACGGAAACAGTCCCTTGAATAATTGATGGTCGTGGTCAACTTTCAGCGCTCTCTTCTCAACCACTATGATCGACTTGGGCGATACCCAAGACGTGAGTAAAGGAAGGGAGAAGTAAGACTGGGCCGGACGTTGTGCCTGGCGGCCAACAGCCAAAAATTTTACTGCTAAGAAAAGAAGTCTTTTCGTATTGGTAAACTTGCTTACCTAGGTCACGAGGCCCTTTTCACTCCAAATGTCATTCACTGGTAAACTCACCTAAGTCGAGTTGGTTCTTAAGTTCTATAATTACACTAACGTAAACCACAAGTCAGCGGTCCAACACTATATATAACTTAAAACTAACAATTTTCAAAAATTCATAACTTTACGAATTTTACATATTAAAGTCCCAAATTTAAATATATTATATCTAACTATAATTCTACAGCATAGAAAAATTAAAGAAAATTTCAAGTTATTATTATATAAGTTATAATAAAATATAAATATTATGAAATTTTTATTTAGTTTTTTAATTTTAATTAATTTAATAAAATAATATAAAAATTATAAAAAATATTTTTATTATATTAATATAAATAATTATTGAAATTTTAAAACCGAATTTTAATAGGAATTTTTTTTTAAAGTGCACGGTTACGCACAGACGTATTTTGTATGTATTTTCCGTGGACCGCTGACTTGTGGTTTACGTTAACATAAAAGTTGAGATGACTTTTTTACATAGTAAAAGCTCGCCTAATCCCGGGTCGTGGGAATTACGGTATACCTAGCTGGGTACGTGAATGAGGAAAAATGCATTTATGCCTCGTTCCCCCCTAAGCCACCATGCATAGCCCGCCGTAAAATGGGTATACCTACATGTATGTAGGTAGGTAAGTTGCCGTTGGCGGGACTTGGACCCCAAGCCACCCTCATCTCAGCCCTACGGTCCCCGAGATTGCTCCAATCGTATCAATCTTATCGTGTTGGGAAAAGCTTTCCTACGATCGTCCCCGGACCCCAACTAGAATCTTACTCATCTTCGAAAGGGTCATACATGCCATGCATGGTCATTCTTATTGTTTTCTATTCACTGGAGGGGCGGAGGATTCCCATTGTACACGTGGTTCTATACATCGTCTACGTGAGGGTTAGCACACTTACGCGCCGGCCGCCACCACCACCACCACCACCACCACCACCTACTACCACTACTTTCTGACATGTTGACCTGAGAAACATCCAGCAGGTCAATCGAAACTTGAAACAAGGACTTATACAGACGCAACGCAGTTTTACTCTTCACCGCATCCCTTCATCTGCCGGACTTAATGAGACCTTTACGGCTCAGCTGTAGGTGAGAGGCAAAGCTACACGTTCAAACAATCAAGGACGCCCCCATCGAAACCAAGACATGATGACATGGAATCAGCATCGATCTTCAATGTAAGACTGAAGTACCGTGAATTCGCTGCTGCATAGAAGCCGAAGAGACTCTGAAACCGCCCCCATCTCCCGTTCTTCGTCGACTCTTAGTGACCTCCTATACGTAGGTACCTAACCTAACTTAATCTTACCTTATGTAAATTATCCTAGAAACCCGAACCAACATGCTGGGATCTCGGGATGCGACCAACTTTATTAGCATACCCATATACATGCAGGATGTATGCATGCGTTAAGCACGTATAGATTAGGTACCTTGCCTTAGGTTAGGTGCTTGCAAAGGATATCGTAATTAGCAATAGGCAATTGGTGGATTCGCGAATAGCCTAGTTCGTGTTTCCAACGGAAACTAGGCAGATGGTTAACCAGAAGCGATTCGCAGTTCTGCCATGGTGAATACTTCATCATTACAGTTACCAGTTTACATAGATCAATCTAGGTAGGCACCTGGTAGGTATCTTAATTATCAATATAGAGGCATTTGCATTCACTATGGGGGGGTATGATGCTCTTAACTGCCTTATCAACCTTATGTTGGGTACTTAACCACCAGCCAGAAACCGCCACACCTCGTTGGCTCTCCTTCTTCTCATTTCATCGCCGTCGTTTGTTCTTGTTCTTGTTCTTGTTCTTCTTCTTTCCCCTCCCTAAGACAGTCCTTAAAAAAACTAAACTTCGGAATCGAACCTCATACTATTTGGCGGAGAAGGAAAAGAAAAAAAAGAAGCTCAATCTGCCGCCCAAAATCATCTGCCGCTAAGTGATGGCGGACGAGAAGGAGAAAAAGAAGAAAACGAGGAGTAACACAGACTAAATCAAATAATGCCACTTTTTCCCCTCGTGCTACTTGTACAAAAAAACATAGACCTCGAAAGGGGGAAGAGGGAAACCACCCTTTTCTCACCCTGTGTCTAAGGACAACTTTTTTTTGGGATTGATTTCTTTGCGTTTTCATCATTTGGGAGAACCTTTTCTCTTTTCACTCTCTAGTCTTGCAAGGATGTCTGAGATTTCGGTTTGGACGCCCAGAAAGGGAAATTATCTTTCCTCTATGGATATGTTATGATGCATTAGAGCTCGTAGTATCATCTACCAGAGCCGCCAAAAAAAGAATAGAACCGGCGAACAAGAGAACCCCCTAAAATGCAGATGTATAAAGATACGCAAGACGCCTTGGGTGTATATTATGCTTTAGTGACTTAATCACCCTTGGGGGAGGTGGGAGAACTAGAAAATTGGTTAACCTTCATCACGGACCTAGGGGGGAAGATTGTTGACACGTACTACTTGGGGCTGGTGTTCCCGCCGGCGCCAGGAGTTCTAGGAGAATACTGAGGAGACTAGAAAAAGGTTAGCGTGGAATTGAGTCCAGAGGTGAGAGGTAAATGACTAACCGTAGGCGAGTATTTGGGACTCGTTGGAGACTGCTGCGCTCCTGGAGCTCTATGAAGCGGGCTCGTCGGAGAATAACCTGTCGGGGACGTGGGCGAATAATTTGGCGACACCGGAGAATAGCTAGGTGAAGTAGTACCCGCATGATGAGGAGACGTAGGGCTATAAGCCGGACTTGTCGGCGAGTAACTCGGTGACGTGGGCGAGTTCATATTAGGCGAAGATGGAGAGTAATGTCTCGGAGATGTTGGTGACGTAGGAGAGTAGACAGGTGATGTAGGACTGTAGTTCGGGCTCGACGGGCTTGCACCTCTGAACTGCGGTGAACTGGGAGAAAAGGATGGAGACGATGGACTGAAACGTGGTGAGCTATTGTATTGGCCTCCAATCATTGGTGATGCTGGCGAATAGCTACCGCTAGGTGAGCTTGGCGAGTAACCTCCAGCACCATAGCTGCTGAACGGAGAAGATGGAGAAGCACCACCGGAGAACGGACTCGTAGCTCCAGCGCTTCGTCCTCCATACGGGCTTGCACTTCCAAATCCTCCGTATTCCGTTCCGAAGCCCGAAGGCGAGTCGGACCCAGCCCCAACAATCGGTGAGAAATTACCCATGCCCATGGATGGAGACGCAAGGGATATCCCGTAACCAGAATCTGCCATTGGCGAACCTGTATCGTATGGGGTTGCAGCTCCTTCGACCGAACCTCCCTTGACCGTCATTCCAGGCATCAAACCCATCCTGGAGTTATCTGAAATGACAGTTTCAAGCATCTTGGGATCTAGGAAAACGTCAAGGTGGCCTGTGCCCATAGGAGCAAGTTGACCAAGCATAACGTTTTGCGAGATACCCCTGCAGTCATCAACTTCGCCCATGGCAGCAGCCTCCAATAAAATCTCGACGGTCTCCTCAAAGGAACACCTCATCAATGCGCCGGTATCCGCCCTATTAATGCCGTGACGGGTAACCGCAGCAATGCTGCCTCTGTACGTCATTACATCGACTAATAGAGAAAGATGTCGTTCGTTGACATATGAACCGTCAAATGCCAGCACTCGTCGCAATTCGTTGAGAAGGGCAAGTCGAGCAGCCTCGATACCGAAGACTTCAACGGTCTGCCATAGGTCGTTGGTAATAGTACGCTTGGCGTCCACTCCAGGAACCGCCAAAACCTCTCGCAGAGCTGTACCAGTGGTGTCGAGGTACCATTCTTCGCACAAGGGGTTATCTTTGGATTGGATCAGGGCACCGCTCTTGTCAATGGCAATCTTGGTTCCCTTGTTCAAGAAAGCACGTTCAATACCCTTGATTCCGCGGAGCGTAAGATTTTCTAGAAGATGCTCGCCCAGCCGCTTCAGCATCACATCGTCTTCGATACTCTTGTCAGGATCATCCTTATCTTCCGGCATTGGACGAATACGGATCACTTGTTGATCTGCGTTATTGTCACTGCAAATGACAGCCAAGTCGGTAGGGTATTCCTCTCTAAGGCGGATAGCCACATCCTCCACAGTGAGACCCTTGTCTAGCATCTTCTGCCGATCCAAGACGAAACGGAGCAGCCACCGGGACTGCTTTTCAACAGGAGGCTGGCTGTCATCGGGTAGCATGAAGTACGATGTTATAAAATCGTCATCTTGCTCGATCTGTGTCGACTCGATATCCGGATCATAGTAGATCTCAGTCATTGCCGTGACAGAGCGGAGGTTAGTGTGCTCAACCGCGCTACGAAGTTTCTTTGCATGGTCCTGGGAGGTGTTGCCATCGAGATAGACCATCATCGAAGGCGTCTTGATATTGCTAGCAACATTGAGAATTTCCTTGAGACGAGGCACACCCAGTGTGACGTTCTTTGAGGAAATACCCGTGAAGTGGAAGGTGTTCAGGGTCATCTGCGTTGCAGGCTCACCAATTGATTGCGCAGCTAACACACCAACCATCTCACCAGGATTTACCATTGCCCTAGACCATCGGTTTTCTAATTCGCCAATGACGTGACGGAAGGCCAATTTATCTAGGCGGTGGTGCACCGCAAGACGTTTGTATGCCAATCGCGAACGGAGCAACGCCTTGAATAGTCTTGTCGAGTTTTCATCAGCTTCTCTGGACACGTCATCAGACCCGCGAACCACAACCATTCGGGCCAACAAATCCCTCACAGCAGGAATGACGTCCTGTGGAGAAAGATTGCTTCGTCGCGCGTCGTCAACTTTGAGTAGCTTCTTGGATGATTCAATGAGACGGCCAGTGTTCAACGGAAGCTGGAATGATTCTTCGAGCTTCTCAGAACCCTTCTTCAAATCTCGAAGGTACTCGCGGTCTTTGCAGATGGCTTCCCACTCCATATCTAAAAGTTCCTGAACATGTGCATCGCCGATAAGGTCTTGCCCATATTCCAGAGCATCGAGCACACGCGGCTGAAGACCCTCCATGACGTCAATACGATATCGCTCCTCAAAATCGGCGTCCCTGATGACCCAGTGATCCATTGGCTGCTTCTCAATGTGCATAGCATCAAGACCATCTTCGCCGTAAATAAACTGAATAATGTCGCCAAGAGAATTACGAACTGTGCCATCGTATCGGGCAGAAACATCTTCTAGGGCCTTGACGAGACGACGCTGGATATAACCGGTCTCAGCGGTTTTCACAGCGGTATCAATAAGACCTTCACGACCAGCCATGGCGTGGAAGAAAAACTCCGAAGGGGTCAGACCACGTAGATACGAGTTTTCAACGAATCCACGGGCTTCTGGAGAGTAGTCGTCCTTGGTGAAGTGCGGCAAAGTTCGATATTTGAAACCGAAGGGGATACGCTTTCCTTCAACGATCTGTTGACCGACAAGGGCAGTCATTTGTGAGATGTTGATGGAAGAACCCTTCGAACCAGAACGGGCCATGACGACAGCGTTGTTGATATCCTTAAGACTGTTCTCAGTGGTGGTACCCGCCTTATCACGGGCGGAGTTGAGGGCCTTAGAAACCTTGCTTTCGAAAGTTTCTCGGACGTTCATACCAGGAAGAGCTTCGAGCTCATTTGCTGTTGCTTGCGCTGTCAACTGGGCGACCTCCGCCTTCGACTCATCGATATGAACCTGAACCTTCTCGATGGTTGCTTTATCAGGGATTGTGTCACCAATACCGATACTGTGGCCGTTATGCAAGAGCCAGTAGTTCACAACGCGCTGGCACCCGTTAAGAAAAGCCATCGCACCTTCAGGACCAAGCTCATTGTAACAAAGGTGAATAATGCCACCGCTAGAGGCACCGACATTCTTCTTAGTAAGTAGACCAAAGAGCAATTGTCCAGATTGGACAAGCAGTCCATCATCTACTAATGGGAGCCACGGGCCACTTTGGGGCTTGGTATAAAGACTGATCTCTTTCGGGATGATCATGCTGACAATCTGCTTTCCCGTCCAGCGCGGCCTCGGCCTGAGAATCGCAGGCTGGGGAATAACTCCATCCCAGTCAGGCACCCATAACATGGTATTATAGACCTCCTCTTTTGTCAAGAACACGTCTCGGCGGCACATCTTGTATACACCAGCCAATGTGTCCTGGACAATACCCATCAATGGACCATTACGCTGGGGTGAAACAATGTTGAGGGGCACCATGCAAAGCTCGCGAATCTCAGCCCGCGTTTCCTCAGTTTGTGGGACGTGCAGATTCATCTCATCACCATCGAAATCGGCGTTGTAAGGTGAAGTGACGGACAGATTAAGACGGAAAGTGGAATAAGGCATGACCTTGACTCTGTGACCCATCATCGACTCCTTGTGCAGGGATGGTTGACGATTGAATATGATATAATCACCGTCCTGAAGATGCCGCTCAACTTTCCAACCATATTCGAGATTAATTTGACCGGCACGCTTATGATGTCGAAGGTCAATTCGTGACCCATCTGTCCGGACAACGTACTTGGCGCCAGGATGCTCGTTAGGTCCGTTTTGGACAAGCTTGTGGAGGCGAGAGATGTTGTACGGCGTGACAGTCTCGGGATATGTCAGCGTTCGCGCAATACTCTTCGGAACGCCCACTTCATCAAGTGAAATATTCGCGTCGCCGGTAATAACAGTACGGGCCGAGAAATCGACACGCTTTCCCATCAAGTTACCACGCAACCGACCTTCCTTTCCCTTTAAACGTGCTCGGATAGACTTGACTGGACGACCGCTCTTCTGGAGAGCTTGAGGCTGACCAGCTATGTCATTATCCATCATAGTAGCAACATGGTACTGAAGGAGTTGTTGAAATTCTTCGAGGATATGAGCAGGTGCAGCTGTCTGAATTGCCTGGCGGACGTTGCCGTTGGCACGGATAATATCACCCAGCTTGTAGGTCAAGTCATCTTCATTTCGTAGGCCCTGGCCGGTACCGTCCATAGAAATACTAGGACGAACTGGAGGTGGTGGGACAGGCAACACGGTAAGAATCATGTTTTCAGGACGGGCATACTCTGTGTTCAAGCCCATGTCCCAACAGTCTTCGTCGGTGATACGCTTTAGGATATTAAGAACCTCTGTAGCTTTGAGTTCCTTCTTCTCGTTGGCCTTGACGCCATCTTCGTTCACCGTCTTTTGGTGGGACCACAGCTGAAGAGCTGTTTGTCGAATTGCAGGCTGGAGACTTCCGCAACCACCGTGGCCTTCTGCCCTTGGTCTGGTACCTGGCTCGTATTCTTTGTCCTCATCTTTAGGCGTCTCATTACTGCAAATTCTCTTGCCTTTGCAGACGACCCAAACGGCCTGGAAGCGTTTCTTGGGGTCTCGAATATTCACTGCAGCCTGGAATTCTGGGTTGCTCTAGGTAGTGTCAGCATCAATAAAATTCTGGTCAGCCAGGAAGTAAGAAGATACTAACTCTGTCCTCCAGAACTTTACTACAGTATGGGCAGACAATCTCTAGTATCTTCTTGACTTTCTTGATATAACCCGGGTGATATACGGCCGTTGCCAATTCGATGTGGCCAAAATGCCCATTGCATTCGGCCATAGGCTCTAAACAAGTGGCACATTTAAACTGGCGGTCTACCGAGCCAAGGCGGGGGTCGTTTAGACCATTCATACGTGGCTTTGTCCGGGTTTCATCCATAGTCTCCGGGTAAGTGATTGCCGCCACACTCGCACCTTTGATCTCCTCGGGCGAGAGAAGACTGAATTGAATCTCCTTAATCTCCTTGAGAGGCGCATCGGAATGCGCGAAATGAAGATTTGCCATCTTGACTGATTTGTTGATGGAGTCGTTGATGGATAAAAATTAATTTTTGAAATGGTTATTTGATGAAAAATTTTGATGATCGCGTTGAAAGAGTGGTCCCTAGTTGATGCGCGAGGTATGCAAAGGCGTAAGTCGAAATGAAGGTATGGTGAATAGAAGGGGAAAAAAAAATCAAGTGAGTTTATATTATTCCGTCGGATCGTGACTCGTAAGCGGGATGGCAATGTCGGCGTAACAGGTGAATTATTTTACGACGGACGACAAAAGGCGAGATAGTATTGCTTGTTAATACAGAAAAAAAAAAAAGGAATGGCGCTGGAGGGCCGTTTTCCAACCAGGCCAGAGGCCAAAGGCCCGAGGAACACGATTAAAACCGTTCCAGCGCGCGCGCAGGTCAAAAGGACACCGCGATGGTCGAAAAATCACCGTGCGAACGCGATGGCTAGTTTCGGACAGTCGCAGGAAGGGGTATCATGCGATATCCGGAGCGCGTCGTGATGTTTCGTCAATCGTAAGATTGTTGTTGTGGTTTGCGAGAGAAGCCTTTCTTGGAAGGAGTTGAGAGGACTAAGGAATAATGAGGCAGAAGCCCGCCACGGGTATGCGCTAAGCCAAATATGGAACAATGGGGCTTCGGAAGCAAATTTCTCCATGCGGCTGATGGAGTGGGCTTCACTGACTTACAATCAGTTAAGTACATATCTACAGGTATCTACATTAGGTACGTACCCACCTACCTCAGGTACAGGTAACACCGTTAGGTACATACATACCACTTGAGACTGGAATTGCCCTGTCCAATCCCATTACCTAGGGTACCTAACTACTTCCCCCACACAGAACCTTACGTTAATGTAATCGACGCCAGAGGCTTGGTGTAGCTTCAAAGTCACAGGTGGTAACTAACCTAAAACTTTAAAACGTTCAGGTACGTTTCGTCCATACTTAGAATTTTGTTGAAGTTTTGGTTGTGTCACAGTACCAGCAAGAAAAATCGCAAGTGCCGGATGAGTCAGCTGGTCAAACAACTGCCAACAAGTACATGCATTCCATCAAGGATCAGTGCAACGTATTCGCTTTATCATTTGTCAATGCTAACCTACAAGATTCATTGAATGAGGAAGCCTAGTTACTTGAAGCTATCATTCATTATCTTATTTCTTCCTACCCCTTGTACCTTTCGCAGCCGTTTTCTTGCCTCCAGCTGCTTTCTCTTCGTCCGGAGCTTCACCTTCGTGACCTTCGCCCAAGCTTCTTCGTCGTACCGTCCCCGTTGATACCGCCACGAACTCTTCCTCGCTATCGCTCTCGCCAAGGTTAAACAGCACAGGCATCCGAAATTCCTCACCCTCTACATCGTCGTGGTACCCCTTGCTCGGGTCTGAAGTCAACACGTCAATATCCTCGTCCTCCCTGTCTAGCCTGCGCTTATTGATTTCCTCTTGCGGATGGATATCGAATTCGTCCTCCCTCTCTATGTACTCCACGTTCTCCTCGACCTCGACGAAATCCGGTGCAAGGGCCGACCAGCGCTGCGGGGTAGTTACCGACCAGATATAGATACGGCCGGTTTCGAGTCCACAGGCTGCTAGTAGGGCTCTGTGCGGATGCCACTCGATTACCCCTTGTTCCTCCTTCGGCCCCTCTAGCATTCGCACTAAGCTACCGTGATTTCGCTCCCATATATATAGTTCGTGATTGTTATACGTAGATGCCGCCACATATTCTCCGGTAGCACTGAATGTGACATGATTCCAAGAAAGTCTGTTAACAACATCTTGGAACTTATGCTCCAATGGCATCTGTATTGTATCGGGATCAAGGTCCTCTGCTACCAGATTTGGCACATGGAAGGTCCTGATAATGCGGTCCTGCGAATTTACGAGTAATTCGCGGCCGGATCCTGTCAGCCGTAGTGTAGTCACTACCGAACTGCATATCTTTTCTGACCATATTATTTCGCGGGTAGTCGCGTCTATGATGTTGAGACGACCCTTGTTTGTACCCGCTAGAATATGGTCACCCGAGGCTGTCCACACAGTAACGGTCGTCATCTGTTTCGCGTCCTCTTTAGCCTGTTTCTCCTTTGTTGCTGCATCGGCATCGGTATTAGTTCGTTTCGGCGCCGAGGGGAGTGTGTGTTTGACATCGCTCGGGCTAGTCACGTCAACGATACAGGGGGCCTCGTCGAATACGGACGCAACGAATAGGTTGCTATAATATTTCTACGGTCAGCATAGATAGATACTAAACGTAAATGTAGGTAAATGTAGGACAATCCTCACTGATTCCAAGGGTGTAAATCTGCCGTGTAGATGGGTGCTCGAAACCGAACCTCTCGATATCTCGTACCATCTTGAAGATCCCAAAGAACAGCTCTCCAACCTTGGCAAGCCGAGAGCAAATAGCGCCCACATCTGGACCAACTAAGGGAAGTAATTGCCGCTCTATGACCTCTTAACTTCCGTGCCACGCCCATCGTCTCGAGATCCCAAACGACTACGGTGCCATCGACGCGACCCGAGGCCAAATAGTCGCCTCTGCGATTGAAGCGAAGACATGTCGTATGACCGGACCGGATCGTATTCGTAATGTTCTCAGGATAGTCCTGGAGCAGGTAGTCGTCGGAAAGCAGTAGATTCATATCGGCGGGTGGTTCATATTTTGTAGCTCGAGGAAAGATGTTGGTTTGTGTTAATAATAAAAAAGTGTTGGCTGTATACGTGTCGAGGGACACACATGAAACCGCAAAACAATTGTTAAAGGGACATTTCAATTTAACGTTTTGGTTACATGTGATACTTTTTACTTTTTTACTGTTCACTTTTCACATGCTGCTTCACCTTCGTAGCCTTGCAGTTCGTGGACGGGATTAGGTTAGGTACCTGTTTGCAAGGGTCTTGACAGGTCCTTACATTAGATACCTTAGGTACCTCGTAAGGTAGTACGGATGTCCCCACTGAATTTCCACTCTGAGACAATCCTAGCAGCGGCAGATCGATCATCAAGCAACATTAAACTAAACTACTAGTACCAAGGTACTTTTTTTTTATTGGCATTGTTGGTACCTTGTGTACAATATTCTTCCAGCATCTAAACGTAAAGCATTTATTATATATTCACAATAAAATAGGCATATATACTACGACCCCCTAGAATGGCTAACTCAAGGCAAGTTTTTTTTTTTTTTTCCTTCTATACCCTTAACCTTGGTTGCTTAAATACCACATAACTAACGTGGCCCTTAACCCTAGATTTGAATATGTCAAACAATTTGAGCAGGTGGACAACTTGCTGCCAAATACCTGGATTGTGGTTAGACTAGACGGTAGAGGATTCACCAAGTAATATTCCCAAGCTATCAATATCTTTGTCATAGTCTTATTCTGATCCGTAATTTCTTTTCGAGTTAGATTATGTGCCAAATACAATTTCGAGAAGCCTAATGACCGTAGAGCTCTTGATCTAATGAATGCTGCTGCTAAAGCGGTCGTTACTGAACTCCACGATATCACCATCGCTTATGGTGTTAGCGATGAGTTCAGGTATTATCAACTCTTAGTTGCTGTAGGGGGGTGTATATCTGGCACTAATATTTGACTAGTTTTGTCTTTCATAAGACTTGCACCCTTTTCGAAAGGAGGGCGAGGTGAGCCATTTAAGAGAATGACAGCATTTTTGAGTCTATCTGACTCCAAGTGTGTCTGTAGCAAGATCGTCTCGACCATAGTCTCGACTTTCACCGCATACTACGTCCACCTATGGTCAACCTACTTTCCAGATACGCCCTTATCGCCTCCGCTTCCTAGCTTTGACGGCCGAGCTGTTTGCTACCCCAGCGTACAGAACTTACGAGATTATATGAGTTGGCGCCAAGTCGATTGTAAATCCCCCTTCCATATCCTGCCAAGTAGATGCTAACAAACACTAGGCCACATCAACAATTTGTATAACACCACGTTTTGGTCGCTCGTCCAGCTGCCCCCCAAGATGGATGCCAAGGATGCTGAACAGCTCTTATCCGTAAGTCGTTTTATTCTCGCGGCCGACTTATTCTAACCGATATCCAGGGCACACTCGCCGCTGACAAGCACGAGATTCTTTTCTCAAGGTTCAAGATTAATTACAATAATGAGCCCGAGATGTTCAAGAAAGGGAGTGTCATATACCGAGACGTCAGTTATGCTCCCTCTGTCAAACAATTTGAACAAAATTTTAACGTATATAGTACGAACTCGTCGAACCTGGCACCCACGACGTAGCTAAGACCGCCGATGAGCTGGCAGAAGCAGTGCAGCAATCTAAGACTCAGAATGAGAAAGACAGAAAACGGAGGGCGAAGGCGAAAGTGTTGGTTGACCATGTTGACATTATAAAAGACGAGTTCTGGCAGAGAAGACCTTGGATATTATCAAATAAACCAGGAAATATCCCCAAGGAAACACAATAAATCATACTCAAACGAACTTGAAAAGCCTTCTATCCCAAGCTAGGTCGTACACAGGTCTTTTACGCTTCAAGATATAACGCCATTCCAACACGGCTCGAAACAAGATGAAACACAATCTACGAGAACCCGAAGATGAGATTGTCGCGCAATTGGAGAGCAGGGACATTGCCGGAATACTCTTGATTGTAGTTATCATTCTCGCCATCGTCGCCGCTATGAGCGCTGTATCATGGGAACGTCACCGTGGGACTCAACAGAGAGAGTGCAGGCAGCCTGCTCAAGATGAGCATGAGCCATAACGGTAAGCAGAGTGCCTATCCCTGATAACAAGTCTTGTCCCAAGAAATGAGCTGATTCACCAGCCTCTCGGCACAGATGCACGAGTGAGCCTCAAGGCTAGTATCTCCTAGCTCTCTAGCATCCCCCGCATTCAGGATCTGAGTAGCGGCACTCGGTTTAAGAAATTCTAAGATTGAATAACGCCTCTCCCTTATCCTCTTGAAGTCATCCACCAGACGCCGCTTTGAGTCTCCTCTTCTCCTCTTTCCGCTTCCTCCTCGCCTCTCTCCTCGCGCGACGCTCCTCCTTAGTCTCTCCGGCCTTTATCCGTTCTCGCTCCGCCTTCTTCGCCTTTTTCTTTTCGACCTTTCTAGCGGCCCGTTCCTCTGCCTCTTTCTTCGCTTGCTTCTCTGCTTTCCGCAACTTCTTGGCTTCTCTTCTCGCCCTCCTCTCCGCCTTCGTCTCTTTTCCGTCGACGCTAGCACAAGCCTCCGGCGTGCCGGCGCCGCTATCTGGGGGCGTCGGGAGCGCCGTCACCATATTCAAGCCCACGGTCCCTTCCATAACACCGCCGCGTACAAAAGAAGAGTATAGGCCTCTGGTACCTGTGTATTTTCCAGCTGCGCCGCGGGCAGTGATTTTCTCGAGCGCGCCACCTTTCAGAGTCTGTTTCATAGTACCGCTCTTAGTGTCGATACCCTTCAGAGCCTGGTCGAAGGCGTTCAACCACCAGGCTTCGGCCTTGTGATCGCCTTTCTTGCTACCGAGGCCGCTACCGTCATCGTTTCGCTTTATTAACAGGTGGTGCGCCAATCCGGTGCTGTCGCTCGTCGGGTGTAATGTGTGCCCTTTGCCCCGCCACCCTTGGGCGGTTAAAAGGGCGTGGGCGTTCATTATAAGGGTGGTTGGATTGGCTGTGGGTTAGTCGAAAGGGAGTTTTACGGGCTTAATTTCTGTGTGCCCTTTTCGAAAGTTGTCTCAAGGATACATGTTGTGATTTTGCAATGGCGACCTTTTATGAGTGTTGGATTGAACTTCGATTCGGCTCTAGATCAAAGATAAGAAAATTTTAGTGGATCCAATTTGTGCTACACGTATCGGTTAATTGCATTAGACCAATATGGTAGTCAGTTTTCAGGTATTATTCCAATTTACAAACCGAGGGCCCCCCGTGTAGGGGACCGCAAGAGCCCGACTTTAGGAGGATGTCATAGGTAGTCAGTACATTAGGTAAGTACCAATGTATCTTTCCATTTTCTTTCATTTTTCTAATTGGTTAAGTTTTACTCCACTTTTAGTCTTTCCAATTCGTTAAGCGAGAATTTCCTATTTGAGTAATCCTTCTTACTACACTCCGACACAACATCCCTCCTAAAGTCGGGCATATGCTGGTATCCATTCTGTAGCGATACAAATCAATTTGAATATAAAGCTACCTACCTCTATAATAATTAGGCTCAGTTACTATGTTGTGGATGGAGGTATAATGTATTATTGTCAACATGACCTATATGTATCATTGTAATAACTTGTAAGTAGGCCATGTGTCTTGATCTCAATCTAGAAGATCTCAGTTACCATACTGCGTTAGTCGGCTAAAATTCTTCGAATGGCACGATGGTATACCGCTACGACGGATCAAATCAATCGCTGGATGGTGACGAATTCCGGAAACCATATCCTTGGGTTGGTCAATACCTACATACCGGATTGCCCCAGTGGAGGTCGGATCCTCATCCTTAGATCCGTAACGGTATACTAAAGATAAAGATAAAGATAAAGAGACAAGTTAAAAGTTAAAGTAATGGAAGTCATCACGTTGCAGTACCTTAGGTATGTGCTAGGTATCTAGGTACCTAACTTAATGCAATAAGAAAACTGCAGGTGGTATCTACAACCTTGGAAGTTACCATGTGAGTGCCTGCCAGATGCGTACCTACCTAAATCTCGTACCTGCTGTCCCTGCATCAATGATGGAAGTCGCTACCTAAATGTTTTAGTTTGCTGGGCAGGTACGGTACCCCGCTGCTAGGGCTGAAAGAATTAAGCGTGCAGGCGCGGGATGTTCCACTAAAAAGAGGAAGGTACGCAACTTGTTGCCATAGAAATTTTAGAAATATAAATTTACGTCCCGTCCTCAACCCTCCACAACTTTTCACTCTGCAACATTCGGCACATTCATTCTATCCTGCATCTTTCTTGCTCAGCATCTCTAGATCAATTTTTATTACTCATTAGAAAAACAAAACATATATCTTTCATTTGTATCACTATCTTTTCTTGAGCGTCAACCCTCAAATCAGCGAACACTGCAAGCAAAACAAACAAACAAAGACAGAGCTTACCTTGTAGCTTCCAGAGCTGACATTAATTCTTTTTTTTTCCAATCAATTAATCAATTAATCAATCGATTAAACCAAAACAAACGCAATGCTTCGTCGCCCACCAACGACGCTTACACTCACCGCCGAAGATGTTGCTGCCTACGAAGACCGTCGCTTCGCAGCCATGCAAGCACAGTCGGAAAACCAGGCACCCACACGCGCTTCTTCCCACCCATTGCAACAGCAATCCACTGCAATGGACACCTCCTCTTCGTCCTTAACACCGTCACCACCACAAGCTGAAGATGACGAAGATATGCAAGATGTAGATGTAGACGAAGAAGACGAAGAAGAAGAAGAAGCGGACGCGGACGAAGCCGACACAAGCGACCCTTTCATAACTGCACCCCGCCGCGCTGCCCGCGAACAATTCAACAGGCGCGAACAATCGCCCGGCCAAGCGCGCGCTGCCTATCTCCAGCAAGTGCGAGCGTCACGGAACCAGCACGCAACTCCCACGGCGCCGGCTTCCTCGACGCGAACGCAACGAATTACTGGTGCGGGTGCGAGCACAGCACAAAGCACAAGAACAACTACTCGATCTGCGACTAGCAGACAAGGCAGCACGGAGCCAACAAACGCAGCAGCACCACCACCAGCTCCAGCGCGCATGATGACGCGGAGTAGAGAGGAGCGGATAGGCATCACGGGATCGACGACAGGAACGGGGTCGAGACGGCGGTAGAACCCTGTCACTGTGATCATCCGTTGAATTTTACGTTTAAGTTGATACCTATGTTTCAATGATATGGGCTTGGCGTTATCTTGCTCCTGCTTCTGCCTTAAGAAGCTAGATCATTTGGAAATGGGATAAAGGCAATAGCTTCGGAGACACCTGCTATGGTATGCTGGCAATGCTGAAAAGACAGCGAGATAGTAAGTACACCCCATCTCCCATTGAATTATATCCCGTGACCCTTTAGTCATGAGACATTGATTACCTTTACTCCAATGTGATCCTTATTTCACAATCTCGGCAGGCTGTTGCTAACATTGATTTCAAAGTGAAGCTTTTCAATATATATGATGCACACATATATTCGCCGAGACCTACTCCTCAAGTGTCTGTCATTACAAGCTCTACCAGTGCAAGACTGCCACCATTACCTACCACCAAAGGGAACATACGTAGTCCACAGCAACACCAGCACCCTCCTATCTACTTCACTCATTTCACCTCCCTTTCCCAACACAACACATCATGAACCAGCACCCCCCACCCACGTCCCAACCTATTAAAGTACGGCGAAGCGTCTTCTAGAAGAAGTTCCCATCCTGTCACAAGCTCGCTTGCACAGAATCCCAGCGTCTCTCCGCTCCCATGCGCGAGACAGCCTATGGCTCTTCTGTGCCCCCAAGAGCGACTTCGTCTCTGCTTGTCAGCCAAGCGTTACCCCCCAAAGCTCATTCGGGGTATATGGGTAACTGCATATTGCGTAGCAGGTCGATTTAATGTGACAAAGGATGGGACTTTCGAATGGAGATGTGGAGACCAGGAAATAATGGACTTGGGTTATGGGTTCGGGAATTGTTGTGTTCTCTGATTGTTATGCGTGGGCGGGAAGGGCAGGTGCGGCGATGAGGTAAGATATCTAGGTAAGGGTGCGTGTCTGCTTGTTGATATAAGCTTGCTTGCTTGTGTCATGCTACGGGAGGACTAGACATGACAAGGAGAAATACCACCCCCCTCACCCTTCTGAGGGAATACTGATGGCCATCAAGATCTAAAGTAAGCTTATTCTAACCCGCTCCTACCCTTGAACTTGCTCGAAAGGCCTGTCTTCTCTCAATATTTTCGACGAACCATACGAATTAATCCTAGCTGTTTCTAGCGCTGCGAAGCCAGCTCAGGTGAAGAGAAAGAAAGGAGGATATGTCTTCGGGAACTAGGATTTCTGGTTTGGATAGGAAGCTTGGTGGAAATTGTGGCTAGATTCTATTTCTAGCGTGGATGGCAGAGGATATACGGAATGATTTGATTGATGGTTCAAAAAAGCAACGATTAACCAGAGCTGAAGCTACCTTGTATATTCGCCAATGGCAACTACGTCAACATATCCCAATAACTTGACAAAGAGGGAGGGAGAGAGAGAGAGCAATGCATGAATGCAAGCTATAGCTATATTGGCCGTGCTTAGAGAATTACATCTACCTTGAGAACTTGGAGATTAGGCTATCAGCATACCAGACAAATGAAAAGTACCTTGGTAGCTGCTATGACTTACCTAGTACACGCACACATTACATATAATTGAACATGACTCCCTTCTTTCTTCCCTTTGCTCACTCATGCTTGCTTGCTTGCTTGCCACGGCCGCAACGTCAATGCTAGCAAGTAGCAGCAGCAACAGGAGTCCCTTGATGCAAGTCTCGAGGAATTAAATCCACCTGTCTGTCCACTGTGCTTCCCCGTCCACCGCCGAAACCATCGTTTCCAGGGCGGAGACGCACACGTACGAAAACCAAAGAAACTAACCACATTTTTGTTTTGGCCTTGAGTCATTTTGCTCTCGTTCCCAACAACACCAACGCCTTGCCATGCCATGCAAGAGAGACATAATCAACAAAAAAACAAAAAACAAAAAACCGAAAATACCGTGAACAAAAGGAGCCGAGGTAAATCCAGCAAGAACAGTAAGGTAACCCTGCCGTGCCGTATACTCAAGCAAGAGAAAATCATGATATATTTCGTCAACGCACCAGGTCTATGGCTTCCTGATGTATGTATGTGTGGTTTTTTTTTTATAGAATCTTAACCCGACGACCCTGACGTAGGCGTCTTTAGTTTGATCTTGAGCTTAGTGGCGGTGGTGCCCTTGGGTGCGGGGGGAGACGAAGGTGGATGATGTTGCTTCGACTGTGCGGGATTGCTAGTCGGTGCTGCTGACGGAAGCGGTTTGCGCATCTCTGGAAGAGGTTTTCGCGGCTTTCCAATGCTTCCGCTCGACTGAGAGGAATGTGACGGTGCCTTAAAGGGAGAATTGGGTCCAGTAGGAGGGTTCTGAGAGGAGGATTGTGCTGCAGGGGATGATCTCATGGGAGCAGAGTCGGAAAATCTAGCCGCAGGAGAAGCTGGACGAGCGGTGGGACGCTGACTTAAATTGCTTAGCCTGTCCTCGGGTCTGCGATGCTTGGGCGCTGCTCGGATTGAACCGGTTTGGGGTACATGATCTTTTCGTCTGCGTAATCTATCCCAGCGGTTGAACTTCACAGTGACTAACATCTTAGGCTTTGGTCGCTTTCCAAGTTTCTCTAACTCCGTTCTAGGGATTTTAGATGTGTCAAGTTTGACAATCTTTGTAGGTCGCGGACCATCGCCTTCGGCGCTTGCTCTTTTCAGGGGCTTTGAATGCTTCAATGGAGCTAAATGGTTATTTACATTAGCCTTTGAAGGTGCTACTCTTGGCTCAGATTGCGCAAGTTCAACCGTAGGTCGTAGAGGAGCCTGGACAGAAATATTGTCTCTATGCGAATTACTTATTTTGGGTATTTTGGGTTTCTCCTGGGACGAACTCGATACGGCCCCCCCTTGAGATGTATTAGTGGTCATGGGTTGCTTGGGCTCTTTCTGAACATTCTTTTCTTTTGGCTGTTGAGCAGTGGTGTGTTTTGCGGGAGGAGCAAGATCTTTTGCTTTCGCTGGAAGTGTCGGCTTCAGAGAAGGGAGAGTAGTAGGCTTGGGTGTGGGGGCAGCTTCTGCAGGTTTGGAAACAGGGCCAGCTGGTGAAGGTAGTGGAGGAGCTTGGGTGGCTGAAGGGGTTTCAGCTTTCGAGCTGAAGCTGGTGTTTCGGTTCAGGTTTAGGGTGATGGTTCGTCTAGGTTCTGGTCTGGGCGGTAGCGGTGCTGCAGGGTATACTTTACGTGGTTTTCTTCTAAAATGCCGCTTGAATGTGACCAAGCATCTAGACCTGCTCTTTTCACCACGCTCGATGGTCCAGTAGGTAGGGTATTTGAAAGTCAAAACTAGGGATGGATCATCTTCAACCAGTATTGAGCATAGTTCGAGGAGGTTAATTCGCTCCGGCACTGTCAGGACGGGCGAATCTATCGCGTCCCAGATAGCTTCCTGCAAGTTCTCATCCTCGGCAGTTTCTTTTTTCAACGCCGCAAGCGCTACTGATAGATCTTCCTTGCGAGCTTTCGCTTTTTTCCTCGCCTCCATCGTTTCGTCATCACGCTCAACGATAAGATCGTCTCCCGCTGGCTGATCTGGTACTCGCTCCTCTGGCCGTTCGGTTTCTCCAATAGCAATACCGGCAAAGCCACGACAGAGGGCTCTGAATAGTCGGTCCCGAACGAACGGCGAAGGGTCTGTACTGACCAAATTCAGGTAAAGCCGTAGGAACTTAGGATTTTGTAACATTCCTATCTCGATAAGTGATTCGCTGGCTGCAATGCGGACAAGATCATAAATCTGGTCCTGTAGGTACTGAAGAAACATGACGGGGTCCTTTTCGATGACTCCCGCCTTCATTAGACGGCAGTAGGCGTCAAGTGCGGCCCTAGTAAAGCAGTTCTGGTACGAAGGAGAATATTCATCCATCCTACGGTATCGCTCAATCTCCTCCATTGCCAACTTCTGGAATTCCTCCGGCTCCGAATCAATAGGGTCCGTCATTACCTCATCACCATCGGCGTCCTCAAAGGCGAATGACATTGATTTTTGTTGTTTAGCTTTCTTCTCATCTGGAATCTGGCAAATAGCTAAGGCTTTGATCAGCCTGCAGATATATAGCTGGTCAGAATAGACGTTGGCCGAGTTGTCATTGGCTTGAATTTGTTCAAGGATGAACATACGCGCATCCTTAGGACACCTGCCATCTTCGCCGCGTATGCGAGCTACGGCCTCAGGGATGGTGCGTTGAACAAGGTACTGTCGCTTGTCTGAGAAGTCATTCGGCAAAGGTGTATATGTTCCCGGCTGACAAAAGAAGTGTTGGTAGATTTTCATCAGGTGCCGAAGCCCTACCCAATTCACATGCTCATTTGCTGCATGGCGGGGAAGTTCATCGGCCGCCATGATGCGTATTCCATAGTAATATCGAGGATCCAATACAGTACGAGCGAGTATAGTTGAGACGAGAGGATGTGGCCCGGTCTTAGAAAAGCTCCTGTGAAGGAACAGCATAGAATCTTGTTGAGCAACAACATCCCTATCTTGTTGCAGTTGAGACGCATACATGTAAGCCGGGAGATTCGTTTGCATTTCACAGATCCACTCGAAGTCGGCGTCCATGCGTATCCATTCGTACGACTCTTGATCCATTTTTGCTTCAGTTTCTTCATCCCACTCACGGAAATCCCACTCCTCCATCTCATCCTGGTGTTGCATAACGTCTCCTAAATAATAGAGATCCCTATGCCCATCCTCATTCCCCTTTGTACTGCTAGCCAATGCCCTTTCACGTTGCCGTCGGTTCCTCTTAAGCCGCTTGTACTTCGTATTGTAAGGGATCTCAAACTTCACAGACTTGGCAGCATCTTCGCGTATTTCAACTATATGTTCGTAGGGTGTGCCATCTGCCTCGTGGATTCGAATAGTCATAGGTCCAGTGAAAGACTGTTGCAACTCGGCCGCGTAAACAGCGTGATTTTCCTCCATAACATCCCTCCAGAAATCATTCTTGTCGAGCGGCCTAGCCTTGAGAAAAGCTATATCCTGAATTTGTCGAATCGTCATCTCAACGCACAATCTTTTTTTATTAAAACGTTGGAAGACGTCGAACCTTGGGCAGCCAGACATGAGTACCCATTGGTTCCAGAAGTTCTCTAACCTCGTATTCCCAGCCTTTTCGCAAGCCCTGCGGAACGCGCTGGATTCCAAAACCTCATCAGAAGCCTGACCGGACGTATTCGCTTTACTCACCATTCGAGATATTATCTTGGAGATGCCCGTAGAGCTAGAGGATTTGGAGAGGCGTCGATCTAGGATGAACAGCACAAGCGGCGCCTTGAGATTCATAAAGTCAACCTCAAAGCTGCCCAAGTAGAGGTGTTCGCCGATGTCTTGTAGAGACGGCCGCTTGATATCGACCTCGACGAGCCGATCTGACATCGACTTCATCCGGAACCGGTATTCATTATTGCCACATAGCATCTTCATAAAATGGTCGGTTAAGAACCATGCTATCCCAACGACGAGCCAGATATCTCCCTTTGTGTTAGGAACAATATTGACGCCAAACCACTGGCTTGCCAAGGAGTATACTAGCGTCCTTGTAGTTTCCACTTCGGTGTCAACGATATCTGAGGGATAGAGTAACCTGGTGCTGCAAAGCGAAAAGGCGCATAAGGGTATGGTATCCTCAATCATGTCGTCTACGAAGCAGACTTTATAGCTCTCGAACGGATATCGACCGAAAGTGAGTACAAAGTAATCCACGGCGGTAACCAGAGTAGAACAGGTATTCCTAACTTCCTCCGCACGACCTGGGAGGCAGTATCCGTGAACCTTGACGGCGTTTGGACCAAGCTTAGTGTCATCCTCCTCGCTACGGAATTCTGACCATAAGTCGACGTGCTCAAAAGGTCCAACGGCAAAGCCGATATGCTTTGCGGCCTTGTTACGGTCAATCTCAAAGGTCATGGTTTTCTTGGTGTCATCGTCTTTGTGAACCATCTCGCCAGTCAGATACCCCGAGCAAACGACCGTCATATCCAGCATCTTGTCTTCTTCCGTAAGAGGGATATCTACTATCCTAGGCTCCTCCTCACCGTGTCTCCTTTTGCGGCTTCCATCAGGTCCCTTGGGTTGCTGCGTCACCGGTGGCTTGCGGAAAGCGTCGCCAAGCGTCCGAGGGCAGGTAATAGAAATTTTCCAAGAATTTCGCGAACCCGGGTCATCGACACACGGAAAGATGGCGGACGCCGTACCGGGTTCGATGGAATGACGAGTATAGACATGAGGATATCGGTTATCCGCCTCGTCAACGCCGACAAATTGGAGTCCATCGCAAACATTTTTCAGCTTGAAGGGAATACGGATTCTGTAGCCACCTATGGTGCCGTCTGGGTGTAGGAGAATGTCTTGCTGGTCGGATTTCTGAGAGTCTTTATTCTTTTGTAGCACCTCGTCTACACTAGGAAGCTTCACCCTGATAGATCCATCGAGGGGAGTGCAGCACTTCAAGTCGTGGTCCAGCGCCGATACTTCCTTGCGCTTGTGGTGCAACAAGGGTTGCATACGGCGTTTTTTGATCGGCCACTGAGCTGCTGACCATTGGTAGTGTTCGGGCGTTTGTATTGAATCGCAAGGATCTACATATGAAGCCTCCACTTCACAATTACTGACGGTGATCTTAGTAACGTCGATGTCGCACTGGCGGGCGTCAATAAAGACTTCGGAAACGTCAATGGTAGGAACGATTAGGATGTCGGATCGGCCGTGAACGCGCTTTCGGGCAAAATCGATTTCGATATCAACATTCTGATTGAAGACGACGTAAGGACGAGGAGGGGTATCATCGACAGGAAGCTCGACGGGAGGAGTATCACCGGCCTCAACGACTTCTGGCTCTACTATGCTAGGCATGTTGAGCGTCTGCGAAGCCGCTATGCTACGAAATGATGGTGCTCATCGGTAAGTCTTATAGGATGGTATTGTTGAAGAAGGTGGAATATATCCTAACGGGTAGTAATTTTGGTTGGCTTTGTACGCGATTATGAAAGATGTTGGTTTAATCGTGGTTGTGATACGCGTAATCCGACGAGGAAATATTACTGGCTGCTGCGCTAAACGATGAGGTCCCCAACGTTTGATCTTTTGATGCGCAAGCAAAGATGCGAACGAAGATATGGCTATTGAAAAGGTGAGTACCTAAAGCCTCGCGGGTATGTAGTTTTTTTTTATAGTAGAAAAGCTCCGGCCTCGATCTACCACTTACCTACATACCTCCTAATGTACCTACTAGCTTACGTACCTGACATACGTAGCAGCGTACTTAAGCTTCTACTTAGGTACCTACCTAGGTACCTATGTATAATGAGATTACCTTAGTAATGTACCTAAGTATTTAGTTACGTACTACCTACAACCTGACCAACCCAAGGGTCCGAGCAAGCGGCACGCAGAATCTTACCTTTACCCTACACTTGGGCATACATTGAATACGGGCAGTACTGATTGAATACTTAATATTAGGTACATGTATGCAAGTCTTGTAGGTATTTAAGTACCTACAGGCTACTCCTAACATTTCACAGGTTCTAACCGAATGTACTACACTTCAACGTAAGAATAGTTTTTAATGAAGAGGCACCGCATACAAACCAAACTTTGGGACATATCTAGTTGCATTCAATTGGAGAAGTAGAATGAACCGGAAGTCCATATCAAATAGGTTAGGTTAGGTTAGGTATGTATTTACGCTTCGGTGTTGGCATATATTCCCATGGCAGATGTGATGCATGACCTTGGCACCCCGATTCAATGAATTAATGTTGACGCTGACGCCTTTCACGCCTCTTTTGCCTCTCGTGAGCTTTCAATATTTCGACGTCCCGGTATTCCTCGGGTAATTCGAAATCCTCTTCCATCATGTCTGGGACGGGATGACCCCAGGCTACAACAGTTCTTCCTCTTCGCCGGCTCTTGTTGAGAGCTGCATCACGTTGGTGTTTCTTATTGAAGAACGACGTGAACTCTTTTGCCACGTACGGTTCTGGAGACTTTGGCGGTGGCTCACCCCGAGATCTCTTAGAGCTCGATGCGGTGTACTTGGCCCGTGCTAACGCTTCGTTAAGAAGCTGCCTTGCAGATGCATCGGCGTCACTGTAGTCAGGTGGATCACCGTCGCTAACATCATCCAGGATGTCGTCTGCTTCAACGTCCCGCATTTCTTCATCCTCGTCCGAGACCGCTTCTTGATTCGACGGCTCGTTGTCGTTATCCTCTACCTCTGTTTCTTTTTCTTCTGCCTCTTCTGCTAATGCACGTTCCTTCATAAGCTTCCGCTTTTTCTCTTCTTGACTCCATACACGGAACTTGTCCAAAATAGCTTCGCAACCCTTGATAAAGTGATCTCGGGCAGGTTCGAAGGTTTTCTTACGGCTTTCAGTCACACCACTGACACCCATTGTTCTTAGCCAGTCATGGCCTTGGAGCTCATTGAGCAACCGAATGATTTGGTCCTTTTCATGTTGCGCGCGACCCTTTTCCGTATTTCGGATCGACTTTTCTAACCTTTCGGCTTTTTTATGAGCTGGCCAGAAATAAGTATCTGGTAGGGCATCCTCCACGTCTTTGCCGTGATATCGTGCTTCGAGGAAGTTAAAGTCGATGCGTTGAGAGTCGTACAAATTAGTGAACAAGTTGTCACCGTAAGTTCGCACTGTATTATATATAGTGTGGGGTCGTTCTCCAACATCGGGCGCTGTATCTGGAGGGGGTACGGGGGGTCGTGATTGATGAGTATTAGGGAGGGGATCGGGATCGGTATTGGGATTGGTATCGACGAGGGCAATGGGGGTATCAAGATTAAGAACGTCTGTTTTTTTTCTAACATCAGCAATTGACCGAATGCATCCCGAGGAAAATTGTGATATTTGATGCTCAATTGGGAATTATATTAGTTGCACTCACGTTGTTCCTTAGGATCATTGCCGATTACTTCGTCATAGTCGGGGAAATATGCTGACAATTCACTCTTGAAGCGAGTCGCCTCCTGTGACCGCAACTTGCGACCAGGTCGTTCTGTTGCCGAATTGGCGTCGGTTGCACTTGGTTGCAGTCTATCAAGTTCATGTTTTATTCCATTGATAGCCTTTTCCTTGTGCTTTTTTAAACCGGGTTCTATTACTGTCGCCGTCTTGGTAATTTCCTGTTGAGCAGGACGAATTTGTTTTGACGCGACGGTAGGCTCGTTCGTATGAATTTCGGTTTGAAGTTGGGGTTGGGATTGGGATTGGGATTGGAACTCGGACTGGGTCTGAGTCTGAGTCTGAGTCTGAGTCTGAGTTTGGGACTGGGTCTGGGACTGGGTCTGGGATTGGGGCTTCGCAGTGTTCACAGTGATTGACTTGGAATGATTGGTAGCAGGAGAAATGGATCTCGCCAGAATTTCGACAGTAATTCGGGCTCTTTTCGTCTTGGAAGGGTCGTAATTATTAGCAATGGGATCTAGAGGGCGCTTCATTCGCGAAGGACTGGTCTGTTGAAGGATATTTTGCGAGTTTCGCGTCTTGATATGTGTCGCGATGGCATGAGCATGAGCATGTTTAGCAGCCACGCTATTAGCGTTAAGACTTGCGGTAGCTGGGTTAGCTGAGTTAATATTCTTAATATTGGTATTAGAATTGGTTGTGTGATTAATTGTGTGCTGCTGATGGGCGCGTCGCTGGTAGTGCTTCTGTGGGCGCTGGAGCGCATCAGGTCGTCGCGAAGAGGTAGCCATCAATCCGAGGTGTAGGAATTGACATAATGATCGCTGGTTGTACAGGTTGAGATTGCTTATGGTATTTTACCAAATGCGCATTGACGTACCAAAGGCAAATTAACTTCTGGGACTTTTGGGACTCTGTCATCAATTGATCACTTCTGTGTATAATTATTACAGATGCAACGCGGCTATAATAATGGACAGTACAGTGCGCGTCTTTAGGTAGGTTAGGTACCTCTACCTATCTGCCAGGCTGTTCAGGTCACTCCCGTCCTGACTCCTGAGTCCTTTAGTGCTTTGCAGTTTTGCCATTGCACCTATGGCTCTTATATTACAGGAGGTTAGTATGTACAATAGAATTAAGTACTTCCCCTTTCCCCCAGATCCCGAGGCCTAGATAAACCTTAGGTACTTAGTCCCTGGTTTTGGTTCAGTGCCAATGGTTTCAAAAAAGAGAACTGCAGGTCAAAGTTGTATTGTACATACAAGGAAGTACCTGTATATGCATGTACGATGTAGTTACCAAATGTTAGGTACTTTAACAACAAAATTATGTCTTTTAAGTGCAAGCTAGGTAAGGTCAGATACGCTAAATGCCAAATCGATTACACCCATTGTATAATTTCCAAGCAAGACATAAAACAGATCCTTCCTAACAGACCCACGTTAGGTTAGGTTAAGTACCTCATGTTACCTGTAGATATAAATATTGAAACACATAGGTAGGCCAGGTATGGGTTTAAGCTCGCTAATGTCACACCGTAGGGCTATTAAGGCTTGATATGCTGGGAAACGGTAGATACCTAACCTACCATGGTGGCTCATCTGCAGGTCCTATCTTTCCGGAGCCCATCTGATCTTGGTGGCATCGCTGCTATTGTAGACGGTCGATTACATGAAGCCATTGATCCAAGCCGACGGTGATAGGTGAGAGTTACCTAAAGCCGCAGTCTAACAGGTTTAAATCCCGAAAATACTTAATCTAAGTAATAAAAGGGTCGTGTCTTAATTTCAACCTCTGGACTCTGATTCGACGTTACATTAGGTCGGTAACTTCCAGAAGGTTGATGTCTTAGGTTGAAGATACAAAAAAAAAGATGTAGTTAAGCAAGTTCGAAGCCACAACCCAGGTTGGAACTATATAATGTATATAATGTACATAGGCAGAGACCTATAATAGGTATTTATGTAAGGTACAATCAAGTACACTAGGTTCTATGCAACTCGAGATTGCCACCTGCAGTTTATCTACCAGTCTATCTACTTCGCACCTTCGTATAGGATGTGGGCTTACGTAGGCGCCTATGTACTAGAAATACATAGGAGGTACCTTACCTACGGAAGGTATTAGCACCCCCCCCTGAGGTGACCTCCCTTCCTTTACAGATCTGTCGTACAAAACAGATAGGTATTTAAATACCTATAACACATCAATATGCCGCTTAACCGGCCGACATAAAGGCAATTGCGTCATTTTTCCCCTACTCACCTGCAGTTACACGCTTTACAACGCTTATTCTTCATTTTTTGGACTTGAATATGCGTAGTCCACGGCGGGATATCTCCCAACTATCGACAATTTCAACTTATCAATAGCCTTATTAAAAGCCGCACATGGCATTACGGTAATAATACAACTTCAAGCTTCATATTCATATATAGTGGTGAGCTTTCGGCTTTTTCTGCTATGACGATCTAAGTGGCAAGATGGTCCATAATGTCACGCCAATACCGCAGCCCGCAACTGGACGATCATCATCCCTATCCTCATCAGACTCACTAGCCCCGCAGCTTGCCGCCGCTACGCCGGGGTCACGTCCGCTAACCCCACTGTCATCACCCGGTCCGTACAGGGAGGCTAATAATTCACCGAATACTACTACCACATCGCAGCAGAGTCATCAGGAATACTTAGATTCTCTACATCCACCGTCCGAGGGAGAGTTCCAACGTCTAGCAAAACTGCAGGAAAATCGTGAGAAAGAACATAAGCACCGCGGTCAAGAGCTACGTCGCCAAAGCCTAGCAATCGCCCACGGAAGTATGAAAGCAAGGCGAGACTTTATGCGATCCAAGGTAGCTAAGGAAGACGAGCGCCTGACGAATTCTCACCCTGGGCCAAGTGGTAAGAATGGGGGAGAAGAAGATGCCACAGATGATAGTATCAGGTCGAAGGCAGCAACCGTAATCCAGAGGATTTATCGCGGATATCGGGTGCGCAGGGAGATGCAAGGGCTGGGTTTAGATGCGAGTACAAGATGGACGCATGCAATCAGAGACGCACAATGGAAAAACTTAAACACACCTCGTGCTAGACAGAATAACTCGTTCAGCATCGGGAACGGCGACGCAAGTAATCAAGGAAGACCTAGCAGCAGCCGATCCGCAGCACGGAGGAACTGGATGAAAGTGGCCCAAATAGCCCGCCGCGCTGGGGGAGATGAGGATTCCGATCACGCCCAGGACAGTTCTTCGTCGTCATTCGACGAGGAGGAGTTACAGAATATGAGTGCTGAAAGGAGGGCGGAGATGAGAAAGAAACGAATGAAAGCTCAAGCGAAGAGACGGAAACGCGCTCGAATGATGGGGCTACAGTACTTCTTAGAAATGGTGGACCTAAAGCACCGGTACGGCTCAAACTTGAGAGCATATCACGAAGAATGGAAGAAGTCCAATACAAACGAGAACTTCTTTTACTGGCTTGACTACGGTGAGGGAAGAAAAGTCAACCTTGCATCCTGTCCAAGGGAGAGGTTGGATCGCGAGCAGGTGCGATATCTGAGCCGAGAGGAGAGACAGTACTATTTAGTGAAAGTTGATGTGGAAGGACGTCTGGTTTGGGCCAAAGATGGCATGCGTATTGACACTACGGAAAAGTGGAAGGACAGTATTCACGGTATCGTACCTATTGACGATCCCACACCGTCGTTCTCACCAGGTGTCGAGTCGCATATACAAGCCAAACCTAAGGTAGAGTCACCGCCACAGCCGCACGATCATTCAGGCTCGTCTTCTTCCAAATCGGAGCGAGAGTCGGAGCTAGAAGCTGCAATGGCGGCAAAGTATGCAGATCCTGATTTTGATGGCACAAAGGGTGTTAAAAAAGTCCGACATGTGTCAGCCGCAACAATATTCAACAAATTGCTCCGCAAGACCGTTCGTAAAAATACGTGGATCTTTGTTGCCGACACATCGTTCCGTTTGTATGTTGGGGTCAAAAACAGCGGCGCGTTCCAGCACAGCTCGTTCCTACAAGGATCGCGGATATCTGCAGCCGGACTGATCAAGATAAAAAACGGGCGTCTATCAAGTCTCTCGCCACTCTCGTACGTAACATTAAATTTTTACCCCTTTTTTAGCCTCTCCCAAGCGTTAGAACAGCTTCTTAATATTAAGCTGATTGCGAAAATCATGGCTCTAAACCTGCCAGTATCCTTACTTAAACGGATCTTTATTAATTCGTTGATAGGGGTCACTACCGACCGCCAGCTTCCAATTTCCGCGCCTTTGTGCATAGCTTAGAGGAAGAAGGCGTTGATATGTCGCACGTGAGCATCAGCAAAAGTTACGCTGTCCTAGTCGGATTAGAAGCATACGTCAAAACGAAGAAAAAGGGTAAGGAAGCGATGCGGTCGGTTACGCGCCAGAAGCAGAAACTACTGGACCCCGAAGAAGCCCGAAAGGAGGAAGAGGCCGAGCTTGATACCAGCCAAAGTGCGGCAAAGGAACGCAAATTCCTCGAGAAGGAACGAGAAGAGGAACAGGTCCGCCGCGTTGAGAATAAGGCAACTTTCAAATTTATGCAGAAACTGCAGAGGTTTAGTTTTCAACCGAAAACTCCCTCTAGCCAGAAAAACAGCGATACGACACATAATTCAAATAAGCATTAACGATGTGATGAAGGGAATTGGGTTGTTAGGGTTCCACAGGCATTCGATTGCAGTCATTGGTTATTAGCGTTCTACTATGATATCCCTTATTAACATGGGCAGGTAATTAACGGGAGTTCGAACAGCGTATAGTAATTATCCATTGTTTTTTATCCACACCAAAGTACGATTATATTTGTTGGAGTTAAGGAATGTATTGGTATCCCCTTTACTGGTCCCATATTCTCTATCCAGCATATCTTCCATATTACAATCCTTCAAGGGGGACTTACCATCCATAATATGACTAGAACTTGGACGTTATGAGGGATATAAGCGTTTATTGTTTACCCTATAAAGGGATAACCAGCTCTTTCGTAAGAGGACAGAAGGCCAGACATGACTAGTTTAACTCCATCTGTATCCTGTTTATTTAATAGCGGCGATATGGTTTGTAACCAAGCAAGTCCACTCCGACGAGCCGGTGTAGATGGTATACCCGTCATTATGCGTCTGCCCCGTGCTCAGCGTAGTCCCCAGCTGCCAGAACAGGTCGGCCGCTAGGCCCTTGGTCGAGAGCGCGGTCTTCTGCCACTTGCCCTCCACGCCGCAGTGGTCGGTCGCGGATCCATCTGTGTAGCTCACATGGTTAGATTTTGATCGAAACGAGCCGGTCCTAGGGTAGCGTAGGTGTGGTAACTCACATTCTTCAAACAAGCAGGGCTTCCCAGCCGCCGCGCACGCCGCGCCATGAGCCTCGATCCACTTGTTCCCCCATTCGTCGAGGGTCCCCCAGCTGCTGGGGTACAAGTGAAAAGTCCCGAAGTCGAGCGTGTCGATCGCGAGGTTCGCCGCGAAGTCGAGGCCCTCGGCGAGCTGGTACGGGTAGCTGGCGTCGCCGCCGCCACCGCCGAGGCCGAAGCCCTCGTCGCCCAGCGTCACCATGTGACCCGGGTCGAGGCTCTTGACGTACGCCGAGGTCGTCCGCGCCCAGCCCGTCAGCACGCTCGTCGCGCACGACTTGCAGCGCGGCTCGTTGGCTAGCTCCCACGCGAATATCGCGGACGAGTTGGCGTACCGCGGTACCACGGCGCGGATGTACGCCCGGTACTGGTTCTGTGCTGCGGCGTTCGTGTACCATGTCTGTTGGGTGCCGCCGAAGGCGGTTACGTACTGGGCGCGAGGTTAGTTTCTTTTGTCTTTCTTTCTTTTCCCTTCCTTTTGATCTCAAATATAGGGGATCGTCTCCGATGGAAATACGCAACGCAACATAAGAGGCCTTTTGATGGTAACGATTTCCACTTACAGCCGGGATTCCACCGTAATCGCTCCAATTGTTAACGAAGTTAATAATCAGCTTGATACCGCGCTTCTCGGCAGACGAGACCACGTAGTCGAGGCGCTGCAGGCCGTTGGGTCCCGTGTTGATGGTCGAGCCCCTGGCGGACAGATGCTGGAAGTAGACTGTGCCGGACCCGGGCTGAGACGTCACGTCGTTGAAGCCCCAAATACGTAGGATCTTGTGGCCCGCGGCCTTGAGCTGGTCGAGCGTCTTGTCGACGTCGGCGTTGTTCGTCAGGAAGCTGATCCAGTAGCTGTTTGTGCCCGCGTAGTATTTGGTCTCGCCGTCGATGTTGAATAGCAGTCCGTCCGTCTTTGCGAAGCTAGTCGCCGCGGGGGGGACTACGGCGGTGGTGCTGGCGGTTTCTTGCGATGCACTGCTTGCCGAGTTGCTGGCTGAAAGGAATTACGAGGTAATATTAGCCTTGCACGCGTGACGCTCGTTTCTCTCTGTTCTTACAAGGGACGCATTGCGAATACCACTGGTTAGAGACTCGGCAAGTAGAGCCCGAGGGACAAGTGGTCTGTCCCGTGAAGCCTTGGCCACCGCACTGTGCCCAGAGCTGTCCTTCGGCGGAGACTGCGCCGAGAAGCGAAAGAAGGCCTGCTACGAGATACTTCATCTTAGCTGCGAGTGATGCTAGAAAATAAATATAACCTAGCTGCCAACAGCAGCAAGTGGCACAAGACTCTAAACAGACGAGCGACAGCGAAATATTTATGTGCAGTCCGCCCAGCTGATGTCCAAGCATCACAGGCGAAGCCCGCGGCGGCGAGCTATCGATCAAGGCGGATCGACGTGCCCCATTCATACAATTGGAGAATGGCTATTTCCACTATATCGACTGCACCTCCAATGATCGCGCGGGGCTGGGAACCATATCCTCTTCTGCGGATGCAATGCAACATGAGATCGAGACACCATGAACATCGCACCATAGATTCCCCACACGGTAGAGTCAGGTACGGGATTATAAAAAGCCAGGTGCGTAGTAGGGACCCGTGCGACTGATATATCTGTTTAAAGAGAGGCTTACATTTGAGTAGGAGGGGGCATGTCTCAAAATCCTTACTGCACCTCTCTGGTGAATGGGAATGGTCTAGACTTGGAAAGGGTAGAATAGCAAGTTCTTTTCATTGCGGGACACCGCTCTAGAGGCTCACGGGGGTCTTCCTAATCTGGGTGAGATGAGGTCGGCGCGACGCTCTCCGAAATTCCTGTTCTGAGTATGAGCTGTAGCCTAAACCTGCAAGCTAATTCTATTTGTGGTTACGAGACTGTAAACGCAACGGGTGATCTTTTTGAATTATTGAAGGTATTCTGAGGAGTTTATGCATCATCCAATACGTTTCTACCTAGATACCTAGGTGGGTATTATCGTAATTCTTGAGACTGAAGCTTCACGGACGTGGCGCCTGTAAGTAAGGGGCTCGAGCCAATAATGGTTCACATAACCTTTTCCATCCCTCTGCCATTTTTTTTAATCCTTCAAGCACCCTAATGCGGCTTGGCAATCAGTTATTTAATCGCCTCAGTTATTTATCGACGCATTGGACTTCTCAACCACACCCGGACCGTCCGCGGGGGCTGAATCATCATGAATGTATAATTTCATCACTTTGGGTCCCGGGTAATGGCGTGTTCCGTGTGCAATCCACCAAATCGCTGAGATCGCGATGGTTCCAACAAGGATCACGCTATTGTAGTTCATCGCTTCAACAGTAGTGGGTATCTCGTATGCTATGAAAAGGGGATTAGCATTTCTAACCCATTCAGGAGAGGGAGACAGCTTACGGAAGCAGAATAATATGTCAAACATCGCTATAAGCAAAACAGCTACCAGATTCACTGCATAGCCAAGCTTCCCCATGTGGAAAGGCCCGGCTGGGAAATATTTCCTCCTGGTGATCATATTGGCAGTAAAAGGGATTGCATATGATACTGTCGTTAGAACGATGAAAGAGCCCGTTAGAGCCAGGAAAGCGCTCGAGCTTCCCAAGGGAATTGCACCGAGACCTGTGGCAATGATAGATACGAACAAGGTAGCGTAGATGGGGCAGCTAAGCCCTTCATTAACTCGACCAAAAAGACCAGAGAATGGCACGGCATTGTCTCTAGCCAGCGCCCAGTAAGTGCGGGAGTTCGTTAGCACCGTCCCGACACAGCAACACATGCTGCTGAGAAACAATATAAGCAAGAGGCCGAACGTCGCGCCGGAGCTGCCTGTGGCTTGCTGGTATATGACGGCAAGGGGGTAAGTGTTGATACCACCTTGCAAAGCTGAGAGGTCCGTGATCGCATAGCTAAGCGCAATAGCGAAAACAAACGCATACGAGAAACCTAGACCAATTTGAAGTCCCATGGCCTTCGGAAGGTCCCTTCTTGGGTGCGGCAGCTCTTCTGCTATATGAGTGATGGCATCAGGAGTACCGATAGTAAACGCGCCGTTTAGCACGCCTAAAAGAAACGCAACGCCGCCTTGCCAACCCGTCACTGCCATGGTAAGTTAGCAAGTTATGATGGGTATGTTATGGGGAAGATCCTGAAGCGAAGCTGAGATCTATGAGTTCGGACACTTCAAGGGGGTTTAAAGAGAATAGACTTTGGCATGCCAAGTGTAAAATGCGATGCCGAGTCATGTATAATACTCACAGTTGTTTTCCTGAAATGAACCCCATACGAAATGATTTGAGGCATGGGAACCTGGTTTCATTGCCGAAATCACGATGATCGTGATAACACCGCCAACCATGACGAAGAACATCCCACAGTTTTGCGTGTACGGGATGAGCCTATTTGCAAATATAACGAACAGAGTCGAAATCCATAGGACACCCACATACGTGACGTATACGTGCCATGAATCGGGGACGTAAGTATCCTGGTGGTAGATTGCATACATTTGGACGAGGATGTTGGCAGTGATTTGGACAAGAGCTGCCAGATCAAACATCCAGCCATAAAAGTTGATCCAGCCGGTGAAGAAACCGACGGCTCGCCCCCAGTTGGGGCCGGCGGCAATAGTTGCCCAATGGTACACGCCCCCGGCAGTGGGAACAGACGAGGCGAGCTTTGAAAAGGAATTAATATTTAGCTCTGGTCCCTGGTCTTCATGGATCTGACAGATCTCTATTATAGGGCGAAGTTGGAGGAGGGGCGGCATACCTCAGCCAGACTCATGCCTACGAAGGAATACCAAAACAATGCAACAAGAAGACCAAATATAAGACCTGGTGGGCCCCCATTGACTGGTAATAACCAAAGCCGTATTAGCACGGCATTTAAAGACTATCTTGTGTAGGTTATCTATTCGGAACGAATATTTTACTCACGAATTGAAACAGATATGGAAGATCCCAGAGCTGCCCAGGCGTTATCAACCGTCAGAGCAATGCCGACAATTCCGAGAAGACCGTATTGGCGTTTCAGTTGATCCCTATACCCGGCAGCGTTGACTTGTACGCCGTGGTCGACGGCGGCGACTGTGTCGTCGTCCAGGCCTCCGAGTTCGGGTTTCTTTTCGTCAAAAGTAGGTGGCGTGTTCTCCGCCATGATTGCACTCTGTAACTTTGGTACCCTAGACTCTCCAGCAGGCATATAAACTCTTTAACTTGTAAGAAAAACAACGGCAAGTCGTTGCCATATATACCTAATGTAGGAGGTACGTAAGGTAAGGATCGCAATATGGCACACATGCAGAAAACAATGCGGTTGAAGTTAAATATAAGTCGGGGAAGGTTACTCGAAATCAGAAAAGCGACATCGAACCGTCCATTACGGGCATATGCAAGCCCTGTATCTTGCATGTACTGATTCTTGCAGAGAGACCTGTCAGCCATAATCCTGATCCCTGGCCGAAGCACGAATAGGAGAGATAAGTCAGATAAGACAATCTCTTTCCAGTTGATACGATTTGCCCACTCGATGCGCTGCATAGAGCTGGGGTACGTCGCCCAATCAGATCGGGCGGCTCACGTCCAGGCCTTGTATTCCGTCGACATTCATCCTCGACTGCGATGCGACTGCGATGCGACGAAGGTGAATTGTTGGTGTGAGTTGTACGTAAAAGTACTTCTGCATCATAACGTCTCTTCGGTGAGTAGTTGGAGAGTAGATGATCATAACTGTTCTGCGCGTCGCAACAATGATGGGGCCTTGGGTTGCTTCGATGTAACATGCGACAGGGTCTTCCGGGTATCAATACCTACATAAGGTAGGTTAGGAAAAGAGAGGTCCTATCTTATCAAGAGTTATAAGTAAAGAGTATTTATAAAAGCCAAGCTAAAGTCAGAGATAGTATCTCTGATAGCCATCGAGTTTGAAGTTGTCAAGATTGCGTTTGTCATTTCTACCTAATCTTTTACATTTTATAATTTTTAAAGTTCATACGACTCGATTATTGGATGCTGAGTATGAGGTACCTAACCTAACCTACCTCTTAAACAGTATTGCATTTATGCGAAATAATTATTATGGAGTTGGACCTGACATGAGATACGAAGTAATGTAAGCATCAAATTGGTCCTTTCTGAGAGAAACTTGAAATTATTATATGATCGTAAGATATTCCATCGAATATTCCAGCATATAAGCTAAACTCGCGTCACACGGTGATTCCGACTCCCTGATTACGAAATCCGAGATCACGAGACGCTTCAGCTACACTTCACGGGCAGTTTCACGGAACTCCACGGACATGATGACTAAGATCTCAATTGCGTGCGCCTTATACAGCATCGTTCAGCCCCTTAACAGATTGTGGATATGAAAGGTATATATATTAAGCACGGGTTGGCCGTCGTGTTGACCCTTAAGTTAGTCTGGTGTATATAGGTATAAATAACACATAGAGGTAGGTGCTTATCTTAATATTTCACAATGACTCAGTCCATTCCGACGACTACGAAGCAATGGAATGTTGCAAGTTACAACGGCATCGAATCTCTGGTATACTCAGAACAGCCAGTGTCCGAACTAGGCGACACCGAAGTCTTAGTGAGGAGTAAGTCCGATAACCCCAGATGATGTATGTACCTACATGTTTATGTTATTAATTCACCATTGCAGTCCATGGCGCTTCCCTTAATGTAAGTTCTCGGTAATATCTGTCTTGATCTTCACGAGACTGACGTCAACATCACCTAGTTCCGAGATATCGTCGTCACTCAGGGGAAATTTCCCTATGGCTCGAAACCTAACGTGGTCCCCGGTTCCGACGGCGCGGGAATCGTCGTAGCCGTCGGCAAGCGCGTGAGCCGCTTCAAGCCCGGCGACAAGGTCGTCACGATGCTCAACCCGCGGGTCATCGCCGGCTCGTTCACCAAAGAGCTATCGAAATTCGGCCTCGGCGCCTCGCTGGACGGCACGCTGCGCACGCTGGGCGCGTTCGACGAGCAGGGGCTCGTCTCGATGCCCGAGGGCCTGAGCTTTCTGGAGGCCGCGACGCTGAGCTGCGCGGGGCTCACGGCCTGGAACGCGCTGTTCGGGCTCGCGGGGAAACCCGTCGCCGCGGGCCACTGGGTCCTGACGCAGGGCACCGGCGGCGTGAGCGTGTTCGCCGTCCAGTTCGCGAAGCTGGTCGGCGCCAGGGTTATCGCGACGACGAGCTCGGCCCGCAAGGCGAAGCTCCTCGAGAAGCTGGGCGCTGATCACATCATAAACTACCGAGAGACGCCCGACTGGGGCTCTGCGGCCAGAGCGCTAACTGGGGGAGTAGGCGTCGACTACGTCATTGATGTTGTAGGGCCGACTTCGCTGAAGCAGAGCGTCGAGGCCGTGAAGCACGACGGCGTGATTAGTGTTCTGGGAGGCGTCGGTGGTGGAGACTCGACAGCGGAGATGCCGGTCTTGTTGGATTGCTGGATGAAGTTGTTCACGGCTCGTGGTCTATGGGTCGGCAGCAGGATGCAGATGGACGACATGTGTCGCGCTATCGAGGCCAACCTGGATAAATTGCGCCCTGTCGTCGATCCTAATATCTTTACGCTCGAACGGACAAAGGAGGCATACGAGTACCTAGCGTCGGGAAAGCACCAGGGGAAAGTTTGCATAGAAATTGCGTAATTTTAGAGGTATAAGGGGGGTATATTGAAATTTCCGGGGTAAATATTACATGTAAAAGTTTGTTAGTTTGTTCTCTACCTACGAAGTCGTTATCTGTTAAATTGTCTCGAACAACATTTCTTTAAACAAATCTTCTTGCTCTCTTTAGTTATGTGCACCGAAACCCTGTAGCACTGCGCAGTCTTGTGTGTACGAATTTCCCTCATCATTTTATATCATACTGGAATGGGTCAATCTGGTAAGCGGCCTTTTATTGACTTGCTGCAAACAAACATGGATCCAGCGCCCGAGGCCAAAAAATCGTCGGTCCCGCTCATCCGCCAACGACTGTGCGCGTTTCTCCGCCCAAGCGCACTGATCTCTCAGGCTCCTTGCCTTGGCGTCGGGGTCAAAATATTCTGTCAGGAATTAGTTTAAGAACCGTGAAGGGCACGAGTCTACGGGTGTTCTCATGGGCGTACCTTTACAGCTTGGGCAATGATACTGCCATCTCGGGGCCCTTTCCATCCATCCTTCGTGATCCACAAACATCGGGTAGAGCCCGGACTCTGTCTCGGGCCGATTGTCAACGCAAGAACATCATTGCCTAGAGTTGGCTGTCAGACTACATCCGCTCTCCGACCAGTGGCTGCAAGGTGGGTGGTCTTGGTTATCCATTTCATTTAGGCAAGTGTTCGGTTTGTCACTTGTAGGCTTTTTATCCTTCTGATAGCTCTTCTCGGACCACTCACCCCCCACAGCTTCTCGGTATGACGGTAGGTCATTTTTTGCCTTGTCTGACTGGGATTTCCTTGATTGATACGCTGGTGGCTCATCGTTGGTATCGTCCCGCCACGTCTTCTCTGCTGAATTTGAAAGTGGTCCTGCCATGTTTATAGTTATATGAAACCTACAATTTACACTTTACTAACAGCAAGGTGATCATAAAAAAGGTTTAATTAGCGAAGCTTGATATATATATATCGAGAGTAAGGCGGAACTTTTAGGTGGTTGTGACTTAATATTGAAGTGGCGTGAGTGAGGCCTTGTGAGGCTGTGTCCAAGGATACGATACATTTTTGCGGCGGAGTAAATACTAGAGCTCCATAGTATGTGTTGATCATGATACAAATGGAATTATTACGATTAAGTAAGGAACCTTTCAGAGAAATAATACATGTTGCATCACGATACTTTCCATGCCTTAGAGAAATACCCACATTTACCGGGTTTCCGACCGATTCGCTCCCGCTTTTGTGGATCCCGGATCTTTTGCGGCGGTTTGGATTCGAAAACGCGGCTACGCGAATACGGCTTTATGTTCCACATCACCTGGGGCTCAACTTTAAATGCTATTTATTTCAGCAAATTTAGAGTTTATTAATTGTATCGAGGATATATTCCTGTAGGCATCAACATACCTAGGCATTCGAATTCATATGCTTATGCGTTTTGTATCTAGGCTGTAAGGCTGGTATTGGGCTAAGCTGATCATTGACACGCCGTATCATACTGGTGAGAATCGTAATATCACATATACCTAAAAATAATAAAGGACGAAAGTTTGCATATTTTTCTATGTGCGTGTTTTTAACTCAGGTATCAAGAAATGTGATGTGGGTGGTTGAAGGAAATCATCGTGTCATGTTGTCTAGATGCATTCGCAAAAGTAGTTCGAATCGAAAGGTTGGGAGATGTTGAGCAAGAAAAGGGGTTTAAAAAATAGGGCCACTGCAAGGGCAATGTGAATAATTCAAAATATCATTTGTTGGATAAAAAAAAACAAGTGAAAGAATTGCAAAAAAAGCTCAGTCCGGGGGTTGAACCCAGGACCTACGAAAAACCACTTTGTAAATGTCATACTATCGAGTCACGGGCATACCGGTCTAGCATATGACACCACGGTGCAGTTTTCTCTAGCCTCCAGTCACCCAGGGATACTTCCTTTTTGCGGGGTCGGCTGAAAGTTGGTTTGCAATTTGACCTTATAACCTTCCTGTCGGAATTCTTCTCAGAGCCCCAGATAACCCGGCTGACCGACCAGCTTATTGACCGGCAGAATAAACCGGTCAAGCACTTGGATGTACAGCAGGAAGGTACAGCTTTAAGTAGTCCCACGCTACTTGAACCGATTTCTAGAGGCTGGCGGCGATGTAGGATGTAGACCACACTGATACCTTAGGTACCTACCTACCTACCTACTAGGTACACCTCTGCACCTAACAATAATTTCACGCGTAAACAGAGTGATATAGGAAAGTTTTCCATAGCAATAATGTCCAAGTAAACTCTCGCCTCTGATACGCCTCTGGCCCACGATGCCTTAGCTCATGATCATACTTGAATATGTCTTTACTTGGGACTAGGCCATGGACCTAATTAAATAATGCTGGATATGGACCGAGATATATTAAATTCAAGTACCTAACCTACGTCATCCCTTACTTGACACAGCAGACAGAGGATCTTTACGGGGATTTAGTATTTACAGAAAGGACCTTGAACTGCAAAACATGGGCTAGCCTAGCCCTTGGAGGTATTGCATTTCTGAGCTCTGGCATGTTACGCCGTAACACAAACTCTTTCTCAGTGCTTATAAATAGGGCCAGTCTGTTTTGAAGCTGTGTATAAGAACTTACAATATATCTTTCATATGGCCAAGATGATACATGCCGTCATTTACGACCAACGCGCCAGCCAACACCCTGACTTCACCATTTCAAAAACTTGCGCTACGTCAAACCCTAATATCACATATAACGACGATGATACAGGCTGATGATGCACCAGATTGGATAGTAACAACAACATAGTTATACATAGCATCGTACATGAACGTCGTGATCTTGGAAGACTACATCGCTAGCTACGCCTCACCCTTTTCAGGTTCGGGCTCGGCAGTATTTTCTTCAACATAAGGAGGCGGGTCCAGAGAAGCGTCGCCCTCAACCAATACCTGCGAGAGTTCCTTCTCGATCTCTTCGCGGCGCTGCTTCCACTGCTCGACCTGAGACAGCCTCTCTCGGAGCTCCTGTAGTTCCCGTTCCACCTGCATCTTCTCCCTCTCCGTGCCGATTCGCTCGAACTCCCATTCTTTGCCGTTCTCGCCAATCCCGAGGACGAGGTTGAATGTGTGGTATTTCTTCAAGGAGGCACGTGTTGAGATGGTAATTAAGGCTGTGTTATGTTAGTCACCTTCACTGGACGTCAACGGACTTGTCACGTGACTTACTAATACCCCTTTCCTTGCATGTTTCGTACAAGAGACCCTCAACATCGGTGGAAACGGCACTGGTGGCCTCGTCGATCACGGCGTAATGCGGCTCGTGGTATAACAATCGGGCAATACCGATTCTCTGCTTCTCGCCGCCACTCAAAACATCCTTCCACTCCTTCCGAGTATCCCAGCCACCCTCTCGATCGGGTAGGTAGCCGAGTTTGGCGTCATCCAAAGCGCGCTTCAGGTCGTCCTCGGACTTACGCTTAAGGCGCATGTCCAACTCGCCGTCTGGGTAGATAACTTGGTCGCGTAGAGTACCCACGCTCAAGTACGACCGCTGAGGTATGAACATGATGCCATCCTGACCAATTGTCTTAGGCCGGCTTACCAAGCCTCGGTAGACTGGCCAAAGTCCAGCAAGAATCCTAGCAATGGCACTCTTGCCGACGCCGTTCGGACCTGATATCAACAGATGCTCTCCTCTGCGAATGATCATGGACAACGACTCTATCAATTCCTCGCCGCCTTGAGGCCAAAGTCCGGGCGCGACGATAGGCACATGCTCGAACCGCACGCCGTCGAAGCCCAACTGCATGGTACCCTGAACGTCGGAAAGCGAGTATAGCTCGTTGCCACTCGGGCGCGGGAAGTATGCGTTGGCGTGTACGCGGTGTAGCGTCGAAATCAGAGTGTAGACGCGACTAGTGTAACCAGCCAATTCGGATAAATCCTTGATGGAGTACATCATGCGGCCACCCGCATCTGCAAGTGAGAGCATAAGCCGCTTGTTCGTGATGAAGTCCTTCATACGATTGCGTTCCTGACCACGCTTTTCGGCGCTGTCGGCCTTCTCCATCGTCCCTCCTACGCCACCCCAAGCTGGAAGGAAGACTGGCAAAGATGACAATAGATAGCCATAAGCACTCCAGCTGTATTTTAAGATAAAGTCTTCGAGGATATTATAGCGAATCTTGAGTAGGTAGATTCCTTCCATCCAACTCTTTAGAGACTTGAACTCCTTGTTCAAAAAGGTCTTCTCCATTTCAGCACCACCGTAAAAGGCGACTTCTTCGGCGTTAGCGATCAAACGAGCATGAAGACTTCTGAAGTCTCCCTCTTTGCGTCCTTCCACTGCCTTGAGTTTTCCAAAAGGCGGCGACATCTTTCGCAGAATGCTTGCTGTTAAGAAATAGTTGCTCATAAGACCAGTTAACGCCAGCGGACCCAAAGACCGATACAGTTGATAGTTGAAAACACAAAGATCGATAAATGGTTTCCCAAGTGATGAGTATAGATTGGCAGCCGAAGCACAGAATATGGTTAGGTCTTGAGTGATATATTGATCGGCTCCTTGTCCAACACCACCGTCTAAGTTGGATAGCTTGTAGTAGTTGAGATTGTCATTAAGATATAGATCGTGGATATATCTTGTTAACCGAGTCCGGAACGCGATAGAAACTTTGGATTCGAGGAATTTGATCATAGAATTGGTGTAAGATGCAAACGCACCAAGACCGCACCACTTTGTTTACCTGTAGTTAGCGACACATTTGCCCATGAATTTTAGTGTAGAATTGTAACATACCTTCGCTATACCCCATAGAAATAACCGTCCATTCCCTTCGACCAAGTCTCGGACAATCTCACCGTCTAGGCGCGCAACCACCAACGAAAGATAGGTACGGAGCATTAGAAACGCGCCGTGGCTGATTAATAATCCAGCCTCTTTGCTGGTCCATCGCGGTATCATGATGCTCATTAGACTAAGAAACTGATGTAAGAAAGCAAGATTCAGTCCTGGTTTAGTCTGAGCTGAAGGAACGGTTCCGTCGCCAAGTCCCGAGACCTTGGGCGGGTTGAGGAAGAGCCGACGATGTGCTTCGAACGTCAAAGGCTTCGTCCGGTTAATGACGACCTTCGAAGTTCCATCCTTGTAGGGGACGTATATCGTTCGCGAGCCATCCTTATTGAACAACCACGAATTGGTTCGTAAAAGCTTCCGTCCTTGCTCTTTTTCCTGTGCTCTCCGTTTCCACCATCTCCGACCACCTTCAGCACTGAGTATTATGGATGCGGCAAGTAGGATGGCTGCAAAGAGCTTGGAACGTCTGGATGTTTTCCGCAGGCGGTCTCGAAACAGATTTGTATACTTGTTGATGAATTCTACTAGTACGTCTTCGGATGCCGAATGGCGAAGGGTTGATTGCACCGGCATGGTGACATGACATCAATAAGGACCGGCCTGTAATCAGTCTATTCCGAATGCCATTTACGTTGATGGGATATCGTTAACCGTTAACTTCTAGATAGCGCGTGGATATAATCGTTTGAATATAATGTGTAGAAGAAGCAAATGTGACCGACATGTCTTTGGGAGGTGGTCGGGATAAGAGGAGAAGAGCTTAGGATCGCTCGTAACTCCGTCATTGGTGACGACTGAAAGCGACCAAAAGCTGAGGCATGTGATGACCCGAGGTTGATCCTCTAAAGTTTGGGAACCCGTCTAAGCTGCCATTTATGCCTCAATATTATTGGCTAAAACAGTGTTAAGCTATGGGTATCACGTGGCCGAAGCCCCCAGGTATGAGCCACTTTCCCCCACGATTTACGGAAGGTACCTACCATACATACATAATGTACCTACATACATGCAGCCTGGAAGCCCCGTGGACCTGCGCGAAGTTGTGGCTTGATTTGCAGCTTAGACTTTAGAGCATTCAAAAAGTCCGGGGAAAGAAATTTGGGGCATTTTTTCCCTTGCTCTTCTTTTCTGCTCATATTAAAGGAGGTACCTAACCTAAGGTTACGTATTTTTCCTCTTCTCTTTTTAGATCCGAATCTGATATTTTGAGGTGTCATCTAAACCTACCTCATACATAGTAATTGATCTAATAAAATATCAGATGCTTACGCTTATACTTTAGGTACCTATGCTTATGATTTGATTCCAGAGACGTAATAGGTTAATATTATACGAGGTGTAATACCCAACTGGCTGGATCTCGCGAGGTTAAAAACAAGAACAAAAAAAATAACCATTTGTTCGGGACAACAGAGGCTGATTTCAGAACAACGTCTCGGTGGTATCATAAGGAAAAAAGCCTTCCACATTATATCATTCGTACTTGAGTAATTACCTACCTGTATTACTGAGATACTACTATGTATTGTACAATACGGAATACTTAGTACATAGTATGCATTCATTCGTGCTGAACGTTATTTGTGTAAATGAAATGATGAAATGATCGAATGTCGGTTGGCTGTAGCTTGTGTCTCGAAAAGGTAAGTGAACAAATAGTTTGGCTCCATTTCTCAACCATCACTTCTCAACGGGCGCCAACGGAACCAATCAGAATCGGGTCCCGGAGACTTGCATGCCTCGTTCTCCACGACACTCTTATTTTCGGTCCAAAGGTCCTAAATGTTCATGTAGCTACCCTAGCCTTCCTGTCCTCCTTGCCGCCTTACGCATAGTACATAGTACGTACGACTGCAGCAGAACAACTGAGACCCTCTCTCGCCATAACGCCGCATGGATGTGACGGGCGATACAGAGGTCATGCAAACAGATGGATCTCGTGGATCTTACGGATCTCTGGGTTCTCTATGGCCCGTTCGTCCCGCTTGGTGCTTCGAGATAATAGCGGGCGTGTCTAACTGGATACTTTCCAACGATTGCAGCGGTTCATCTGTCTGACATCTAATAAAGATCGAGGATGCCTTCGAGAAGGACGACAGGGTAGAACCAACGTATTAATATATATAATATATTTACAATGCAATTGCTATTAATTAATACTATAATTAATTAGTCCATACCTCATAAAATAGAAGATGACGAAATTACGCTACAAAAAGGAATGAGAGAGGGTTCTTTTAGTGCAACGGAGGAAATATAATATAATAATACAGAACTGAAATTACAGAGATAGGGGGGGAGAAGAGCTCAGGAAGCTGAGAAGCTGGGAAGCTAGGAAAGTGGATGGGAACATATTAGTGAAATACCAAAACGGGATGGTTTCTGTTTCGAAGATATGGGGAACTTCCCATACTATAGTATATCTTTCCTATATGTTAATAGATTTAATATGCACCTGTTTCGGTGACAGTGTGTGATAATCAAACGGGATGCACATGCACATGTATTGTACCTTTTTTTTACCTTGTACATATCCAAACCCACTAGAGTACCTGAGATTGCCTTTATACATTTTGCATTTGGTGGTAATAAGCAACTGCAATCCTACTGGACCACATTAACCTAGCCTAGCCGCCTAGTGTGGGCTACCTAAACTGACTAGAGTAACTAGTAGACACATAGACAGACACATGTACATGGTACATGTAGCAATAAAGGTGTAAAGATGTACCTAAACTGGGCAGCGTAGCAATCAAAAATGACTGGGGCAGATGTCCTCTCAGTGCCTCTCTACACTTACCACACCCCTGTCAACGCCCTTTCTTCACTGATTTCCAAGTGATTTTAAGCAGGCAAGGCAGGCACGCTAGCAGCTTTCTACCCCCCCTGGTCAAATTGCTCCGTGCCCTCCTCTGCTCCCCCCCCTTCCACCCCTGCCCTCCTCCAAATGTAGTTCAGTTAGGTTCAATTTCTCAAGAGTAAATCATTTCGCTTGCGATTCCAGACTTCTTCAGCCTCCACGCAACAATCCTCCCCCAGAGCCAGTGGACGAAGACAAGTCTTCACTTTCCTTTTTACAGCCAGCTCTCTGTTTGTACGTATTTGTACGTATGTACCTTAAGCTTACTTTTACCTACTACCTTACCTTAGGTATCATTTCCAGCGTTGTACTTGTTCAATCCATTTTCATTCTCCCTTTCACCTAGGTCCTAGGTTTCTTCGACGGGGACATCTTGGACTCTTTTGTGCCATTACTTTATTTATTTTTTATTTCCATTCTTATTGTTATTATTATTTTTTTTTTTACTTCTTCTTACAGCTAGGATTTGGAGTTATTTTGTTCAGATACCCGCCCTTTCCCCCTCAGGTACCTCGAGGCTCGTCATCTGTCTACCTACATACAACAACTGCAACCAAGGTTCACCCAATTTTCCTCATTCACCAGTCAGCCAGCCCAAGTCCCCGAGCGACTGACCCACTTCATCAACCCCCGAATTATCTCAACAGGGTTTCTTGTCACGACGCGCCGTTTTTCCTCGACATCTCCATCGCATCACCTCTTATTTCCTTCGCCAGCCTCGTGGCTACAGGAATTTTCATCTGCATTCTCCATTCAGCTGCTTCTGCTAGCCTATTCTCCCGGTCGCGGTTGCCGACACGGCCATAATAGCAGGTAGCTGGCCGTTCGAGGTCGCCAATTGCTGCATCAGGGGTTTGGGCTGCTTTCCAAGGTGAACGACCGTTAGATACCGAGGTGAGTAATCATTAACTAGCTTTTCTACCTCGAGATAGAGCTTTTTTTCTGTCAAGAGTTTCCCTCATTCTAGAAGCGCCGTTCGTTTTTAATTGATCCACGCGATTTTATGCGCCGGTTCATTTACCTCATTCCTGAAAAAGAAAAGAAAAGAAAAGAAGAAGAGACCTGGAAGCAAGTTTTCAGCACATCCCCAAAGCTGATCTTACCTTTACAGGGCGATAGCTTGCTGTTCCCTATAATTTGCAAGCATCGACTTTTAATTGGAAAAGATGTCCAAAGGTGTTAACGAGAAAGCATCGACGGAGCACGAAAACTCGAGGGAAAAAGAGACTGTCGCGGCCGAAGACGAATTCGGTTCAAGAAAAGGACGTGGCCTCCTAAACGTACCGTCGAGATCTTCATCGCAAAAAATACAGCCGTCGCCAGCAACAACGGGTCTGAGCGGGACAACTGCTGAGGATCCACGAGATAGTATTGGTGGCAATTCTAAGGAATCAAAGCACAGTATGCTTGGCCGGCGTCGGAACGGTAGTGCGTCCAGCAATCACTCTGGGGCTGCCACGAATCCTACGACTACACCAAACACATCGCAACCAACATCTCCAGCTGGGGCTCCGCAGCGGCGAAAAAAGGGCGGGCTACTGGCCCTTCTTGGATGCTGTGTTGTCCCGAATCATGCCAACACGCTTGAAGGTGGTGAAGATCCACTTCCTTCTCACAAACTCGATAAGCTTCCTCAAAGACCACTGACATCTAGCCGACGGACTACAACACCTTCGGAACAGACAGGCGGCAGTAAGACTCAAGTCTACGAGAAAGAGAAGGAGTCTTTGTCTCAAGCAAATACTGGTGCCCAGGACGCATCCAAGTCCGCGAAACGGGTTTCGGGCTCAACAGCTCAAGACCAGTCTACGGTCGGCGAACGTGAGAGCGATTCGAAACAGACTACCCTGGTCGGTGTACCAGGTCCCAGCATCACGGTTAACCCTCCGGTTGCAGAAGATCATGAAGCCGAAGCGGATGCTGTCGAAGGGCCATCCACCAGGGACGTTGACGGCGATGTTGAGATGGCAGATACGGAACCAGCTGTAGCCGAGCCAGTTAAGCAACCTGGTACGGACGACGAATCTCAATATGCGAAGGCAGTTCCGCCACCTCCTCCTGGACCGGTTCCCGTCGCCAATACTGTCTCCGTTGCGCCAGAGGAGAAGCCAGTGGATGGGGAAGACGGCGAACCGAAATATCTTCTACCACCTATTGAACCGCATCTTAAGGGCAGAAAGTGTCTCGTACTAGATTTGGATGAGACTTTGGTACATAGCTCATTTAAGGTACGTTTTAGGAATATTCAGCCAGCATAGATAATAAGCTAATTGTCGCAGATACTGCACCAAGCTGATTTCACGATACCAGTTGAAATAGAAGGCAACTATCACAACGTGTATGTCATCAAGCGACCGGGTGTAGACCAGTTCATGAAGCGCGTGGGCGAGCTCTACGAAGTTGTAGTGTTCACAGCCTCCGTTTCTAAGGTACGTCGGATATGTTACCAGCACTTCATCACTTTTCTAATTCAAAAAAAAAAACAGTACGGCGACCCGTTGCTGGACCAGCTCGACATTCACAAGGTTGTCCACCACCGGCTGTTCCGAGAAAGCTGCTATAATCACCAAGGAAATTACGTCAAGGACCTGTCTCAGGTGGGCAGGGACCTTAAGGACACCATTATCATTGACAACTCGCCCACCTCATATATCTTCCACCCCCAACACGCCGTACCTATCAGCAGTTGGTTTTCGGACGCTCACGACAATGAATTATTAGACTTGATACCCGTTCTCGAGGACCTGGCTGGGCCTAATGTTCAGGACGTCAGCCTAGTTCTCGATGTCACTCTTTAAACTTCAATTAATTTCTATTCTATGAGAAGAGCAATCGAACCAAACACTTCCCAGGGTAGCTACCATAGCGGCGGGCGTTCGGTGACAATAACTTCGATTTTTTTGGTGTATATGTACTGTTTAATCTTATATACCGAGTTTGGCCGCGTGGGCTCGCGCCGCCCTTCTTCTGCCTCCTTTCTTCAATCCTGAGGACGAACCCGAAGTTGATCAGCTACATGAATGCAAACTTGTTCTGATAAGAGGAGCTTGCCATTTCGAGATACAGCGAGAACGCGAATGGGCTGGATGAGATCCCGGGTTAGCACATAGGTGTCATAAAATATTGGTACATGAAAAGAGGAGGCATTTTTCTTTCAGCGGCCTACGTCTTGCTCGGGTAGAGTTGAGTGATGCGGCTACCGCCGTCTTCAAGCGATACACATTATTCTTTTTCTGTTTCTTTTGTTGATATTCTTTTTATCGTTACCGGCGATACCTCATGCGCTTCACAAGGCCGAGGAGGGTGAAAGGGGAGAGCTGAGTCTGCGAGCAGACATATTTAGGTCGAAGCAAAAAAAGGGGGGATGTAGAAAACAAAGCGGATAGCTGGACATTCGGTTACGAGCAGCATTACTATGGGTTTGATCACATCTTGCATTTTCTTTCTTGGTAGCAGCCAGAAGAAGAGCTTGCATGTAAGCTTTATTCGGGTCGGTTCGACGGGGCCTGAAAAGGGATGATGGGATGACGGGAATTTGTCCGCTTCCAATCAAAACCCGACCGAGGCAGATTCTCAAATTGATATATAAAACCCTTGAAATAGAAGACCAATCTCAATTATGCGCAGAAGTAGTATCCTGCTATCCCTTTTAAATATTCAAAGACAAGTAAGCTTTGTATTGTTATCTGTTTGTAATCATCCAACATCCATATCCGTTATGCCAATAAGTTGACCTCACCTCACAGTTTGAGGTGGGTAAAGATCACGTGCATACCAACCCGGCCAGACTCTTTTTGGACTTGGAAGGATCCTTGAGGCTCTGCTAACAATCCAATGAAGTCCTTCCGATACATATTGGATGTATTCCTCTTTACGAATGCCCTGAGACCACATTCTGTCGGCTGAGAACACATAACCAACCGCCCGCGGGAACAAAAAGAAATGACGGGGGGAAATGCCATTTTCCCCTCCTTGGCCCTTACCTGCTTTCTAGTACTCGAGGCACACGTCTAGGAACCTATACAAACTAGGTAGGTACCTTAGTTTCTTAGATGTACGGTTGTCCCTTGCATTTCGGGTCCGTAAACCGACAAGTCAGCTTCGGGCGACAAATCGGTGGCTTTCGCTGACGCAGTGGTACTACGTACCTCTACTACCTACTTGCTGCCCTGTGAGACACCAAAAACATCCGCGGGCGCTTACTACCTAACCTAGGTTTGTGTAGAAGAGCCCCTCGTGTGCTGTGTTTAGCCGTTCCGTGTGTACCTTGCATATAGCCTCTTTTTCTTATACGAGCGTGTGGCGTTATGTATGCGGTAGGTTAGTTATGTGCCTACACAACTACCTACCTACCTGTGTAATACTTACCTGATGGACCTCGTAATGGATATAGGCACCGAGGTAAGGCGGGTAGGCAGGTATAGGTAAGCCGGCGCAGCTCGGATGTGTTTGTTTCTTCTTCCTCTTGCAGGTAAAATATGCGCAAATATGATCCGAGGCGGAAAGTCGAGCGGCGTCGTGTGGGTGAGTTGCCAAGTGCCTGTGCACAGCTCCTACCGGATACACTAGGTAAACTTACCTTCGATGTATGCTCTCTCCACTTCTATCGTCGACCTTTTATTTACTATGTTTTGAGATAAACATGCCTATGCGGAGTTCAGTAAGTTCGAATTATGCGTTCTCGCCGATGCCCGCTCGATTGCTATTTGTAGCCTCATTGTTGAGATATCTTTAACCGGCAGGTCATTAGTTGGACTTAGTATCTTCTTCCGTTGCGATAACTTATATATCATCGATCGTAGTTCCTGGATCTCATGTCTGTAAGTGTAGTGATGGCATATGCTGGGTAGTCTTATAATAGTATCAGTGTAAGATGGTAATGTAGATAGGTAGTGTATAATGTTGTGAATGAAGGTATGATATCAGTGTTAGGAAGATGGCCTAGACTTGACAAGGCAAATTGGGGAAGGATGGGCACAATTTATGCTTCGTGCTTGGTGAATGACAACGTTATGGTAGAGATTTATTTATATATATCTAAGTGTGAAACTAGATAGATGCAGAAAGTGAAGCAGTGCTATAGGTGCATGCAGTTCTGTGATACCCATAATAAGGTAATGTGTATTTGGATATCCTTGCATGTGAGTTGTGCATAGCTTTATTGTACAACGCGATTTTTGTAGAGGGAAAAAGGAGGCTGGTCTGACGACTGCCTGTACACATCTACCTGTGGACGTGCATGCAGTCCAAGTAAACAGAATATTTCAAAATAGTAACAGGTACCTACTTAAGCAGATGTGTACCTGACTTGATCACCATGTAGCCATATTTCATGACGGCAAAATCTAGGCAAAGAAAACAAGAGGAACAGTGCGAAAAGAAATCAGCACAGTGGTTTTGCATTACTTTTAACTGAATAGACCATTTATTCACCTCTCCTGAATACCTAGTTCTTGGTGAACTTTTGTAAAACCCTTAATAGGATATGAGGTAACTTGGAAATAAAAATCAAAGAATCTAGCTAACTTTTCGATACAGCAAAGATATTCACAAGACGCTACAATTCTAAACTACACCCCGTGTACCTAGCCCCTATTATTCAACCTCCATAGAGCGTAATCCAACATTCAATCGTATTTCATCCGAAGTCTACCAGACGTCCTCCGCCACTTCATCTCTGTAGTTCAACTTTTTGACTTGGGCGTCGGTAAGGGGCTTGCAGCCACCGCAAGCGCAGCGGAAACCCCACATTAAGTAGAGGTTGGCCGGAGGTAGCGGTCCATATGATATTGTTAACTCGGTACCGGCAGATACGTCCTTCGCCATGCGGAACTCCATGATATTATTATTCGGAGTGGTGTGGTAGTTGACGGATCGGACCTGCCCGCATGCGTGATTAAACCTTGCGGCGATAAAGTAGACGATGGATGATTCTCTAACCACGAAGCTATTGTTCTTTATTAGAAAAAAGAAAAAGAAAAAGAAAATCACATCTGTTAAGCATAGGTAGGTAGAGAAAGTGCGTACGCATTGGTGAGAAATATTGCCTGTCGCTTGTCGTGCTCAGGAGATCTCTTGTGCCCGTGCATTCGGTAGAACGCCGCGCGTAGCTCCGGCGCTAGCTCAGCAATATCTTGGTATAAAGTGATCGGATTTGCTTTGAGTGCCGGCTGCTCGGCGAGGATCAATTGGCCGCACTTCAGGTCTGTCTTCGCGAATGCCCCGTATCCACCGAGTCGCGACTTCTTGATCTCGAAGTACTGGTTGGCGTAGCTCTCAGGACGCGCTAGGTGCTCAAGAGGGATCTCCCCGTACTTGACGGATTTGGCTGCTGCCTCGTCCGCGTCGAGGAGGTAATGGGAGATGGTATTCGGTCCTCGAGTTTTGATGCCTAGAATATTGCGGGCTTGAAGATATATGTTGCGACCGGGCGTCGCTTTGCTCGTATTAGCATTCTTAGAGCTGCTATGGGATGGAATAGGAATGTGTGATCGGGCATTCATTGGGATGGCAGATGTGGTTGGACAATTGGCATCTGGTATGTGAAAGGTGTAGGTTTTCTCGGCGATTCCAGTTATTGTAGAGGTTCCAGTTTGGTCACAAATACCAGTCTCTCTAGCAGCTTCTACCTTTCCGGCGACTGCTATTTCCCCAGCGGCCCCCAGGACCTCTGCAGCCCTTCCATTTTTGACAACTCCTGCCTCTTCACCATTTTCTGCTTCGCCATTTGAATTGCACAGTTTTTTGTTTTTCGCTGCCCACTGGAGAATCCAGCCCATATGTTGTTTGAGCTTTTCTAGGCATTCTATCTGATATTGCGGGTCGCTTTTATTTAATACGCAGGGCGCTGGCAGTGTTGCTGGTGTTGCTGTTTTCTCAGTTGCCGGAGCCGGAGCTGGAGCCCCAGTTTTGCTGCTGATAGTGGAAGATGTAGACATCGTGACGCTGCTGAGATATCGGTCAGTTGATTGAAATGATGTAATGTAATGCTGTGATGTAATAATATAAAGTAGTAGTGTTGTAAGGTTGTAAGGTTGTGAGGATGTGAGGAAGTAGAGATGATGATGTGGGAGAAAGAAAAATGGTTGGTGTCTATGTATTATGAAGAAGCAACAATCTAGGTGATTGATGCGGCTCCCCTGGGATGTTATGGCAGAGGCCGTGGAAGGCAGTGGGGCCGTGTTAAACGGGGTCGGTCCGGCCCCATGTGTGGTTGTACCTGGGGGGTGAACTTACATATATAAAAGGAAAGAACAATTTATGTTCAGAGTTGGTGAAGAAGGTGTAGTGAAGGTATCTGAAGTTAAGAAGAAACATGAAGAATCAAAGGAGTTGGATGTTTATATGAATAATTCTAGTATCCGGTGCTATGTTAGTTAGAGTTAAACATAGAACAGCGAGGCTATTTACTTACCTCTTGTTGTCTCCCCTCTTGTCAGTTGCACGTTAATGTACTAACAGAGATGGGTGATTGAAGGGCAGGAGCGAAAACAGCGAAAAAAGAGTGGTTCACTTTTCGCATGTTCGTAAATGTTTCTATGTAGGCTGTCTCAAGAGTAATAATTCTGTATCCGCAACAAAATATGTTGACATATAACATTATCAGACCTCCAATAACTTCGGATTACTCCCGCTTAGTTGGAGGGTAAGAGGCAGGTGGCTAGTGACAATAATAGGCTGGTGTATTGGGTATTATATGTGGTTAAGAGGTTGTTAAGGTTGATTGAAGTAGGAGGGACATACATAGGATGTGGAATGCTGATACTTGGGTAGTAGCGTCATTTGTCGATGCCTAAGTTGGTGATCTAATTAAGAGTTTAATAGCCACTGGCACTGGCACAATGTGTAGTAGTGGATGTAGTTTGGAATTCTTAGTAGGTAAAAAAGAAAAGGAACAGGGAAGAAAGGAAGGAAGGAGGGAGGGAGGGAAAGAGAGAAAAAAAAAGGAAGGAGAAGGAAAGAGAATAACAGAAGGTACCAAGTATATGGTTCTTCAGAGTGCACACAAGGTGGCTCGACTATCGTTGGTTTGACCGTTACATATCGTAGGTAAAATGTTTAAGACGGTCAGGGGTAGGTACCCGGGGTAAAAGGTGCTGAAGACATATCAGAATCCTCAGGTGAAGGATGTGAGTGAGGTTGGTTATTTGTCCACACTAAGATATTCTCGTCCTACAGTAATCACAATAATGATGAGTTTTTTTGTTTTTCTTTATACATATATATATTTAAGGGCCTGCTGAAAGAAACGTCTATTCACTAGCTTCGTCTGTCCTGTGAATCTGACATGCATTCGTAACATATCATAAGTTGGCTAAGCGACCTAGTGAATGGCATAGCAGGTGATCTTATGCAAGAATAAACATCCTTCACACCCCTATTAGGCACGTGTGACGTCGAAAGGTCAACATGCTCCTTTTATGTCCTTCCTTATATTCAGAAGAAAGGAGGGAATAAAACACCTGAATATCTAATACAGAGGTATAGACCAGGATCTGTAATACCTGTAATAAGAGGTATGCATTTCTCGAATTCCATCTGTATGAAGGTTTTGGACGTGACGCGCTTGCTTGACAATATATTGAATGAAGGTTTATGGGAAGTTCGCCTTCTCATATGTGAGAAATGTCCTACCTCCTTCAAGGAAATCATCATATGATTATCTTATTTCACTTATACGGTATAGCATGGCATCTTAGTTACACGACGCAGTGTGACAGGCACTTAACCATAAGATACTTCGCATAGCCATTCTTTGATGCTTAGGTAGTTTTCCCTCCTCATGTTGACGCTTTTTCCCTTTACATTTCGGCGACATGATCCTTTGTGTGACCACTTGTCTGCATTAGGTACCTAGGTACCTTAGGTAATCACAAACACAACCCCCTCTGACGCCGAATCAAACGGCGGACCATATGCCATCAAACTGCTAAACCGCTAAAAATTGAATGACATAATCAGATCTGCCAAGAATCTAATGACATAATCATAAGGCTTTTGTTGAACCTCCGTTAAGCCCCCGTTTAACCGCCGTTTAAATTTTTTTAATTTTTTTATAAGAAATTCAAAAAATAAAAAAAATTTAAACGGAGGCTAAACGGGGGCTTAACGGAAGCTTAACAGGGGTTTAATAAAAATTTACCCATTTTATGATTATGTTATCCATGTTACGAACCAACAGCCGAGGAGATCACGTTCAAGCCTGGGAGCGGGGTCTCAATATCCCTCGGGGCGGATAAACCTCGGAATGACCTGATGGAGGGCAGTGATCTTGGTGATCTTGTGGGATCAGCCAGATCCGCGAGATCACACCAGATCACATAGAAATGCTATGAACGATAGCAACAAGAAGTAGGAGAGGCATTTCATATAACTATCGGACGTTTCTCATGTATCTAGTCATTCATTTTCAAGCTCTCTAGCTATCAATCTAAGTCTTATATCTAACCCATATAAGGGGAAGGACTCCAAGCCTTCCTGACGAACACTTCAACATTTATTCCTGACACTTGACTCGTATCGTTACTGTTTACCTGAAAATCAAGACCCATCGGCACTACACTTTAACGGACCTGAGTGTAGGTTCGTCACAATCCAATCTTAGATTATGTCATATACTTTTTAGCGGTTTGGCGGTTTGGCGGTTTGGGGCATATGGCCCACCGTAAAGGGGCCAGTGGCGCTGCGGGGTAGCGGTCGCTTCGTCGATTAGTGACACCAGGACATAACCTTTCATTGTATAAGGAGAGGCATAAATGCTTCATATACCGCCGCCACACCCATGATTATAATCCATGAGAAATAAGTTAAAATAAACAAGGTGAAATGGAATAGTCCTGTCTATAAGGTAGGCTTGGCTATAACATAGCCTAATATACACTAGCTTTACATGATTTGCCTATGTGTCTATATCCAGCAGGAAATATTGTAAGGGTATATACATGAGAGAAAGGATAGCAAGAAAATAGTCCTAGTTATAGCATTTAGCAGAAACAGAAAAGGTATATTAAAGGGTAAAGTACGAAATGAGCAACGGAGTATATGACCATGGTTCGTGTAACTGCAAGACCTATAAAGGCATTATAAAAGGGATTATGACTGCTTTACTCTATACTATTACGTATAATTCCTATATCACATTACCGTTTTATTTGGATATGGCTAGAGTACTATTAGGAATGTGACGTTAGGAACTTGGTTGGTTACTCGCATACTTCACATGCAAGACGGGACGTTACGGCGCAATGTTACCAGCGCTAGTTTAATAGGCAACTAGGTTAGTGGTAGGGGAGGGTCTTAAATTATTCGAGTAGCATAGAAAGTACCTATGGAACACAATAGTTACCTAACCTACCTACCTACGACACTGGTCACGACATATCCCTATTCTTCTTTCCCAAGGGCGTATTATATGCTTGGATGGAACAATTCTAATAAAAGAGAGGGAGGGAAAGTCAAGTAGGCTTTGACTAATTATATAATGACAGGTCGTATCCTATATTGATTGTGTCACCATGTTGTGATAAATCTCGGGGAGAGAAAATATGCAGCCATTTTCAATTTGTGGTTAACAAAAAGGTAAAAGTTGGAATTCCCCTCCCCCTCCTTCTCTCGCCCCCTCCCCTAAAGCGGGTTGAAACACTCAATTGGGACATGGAGAATCCCGATCAGCTGGACCCGCGTTACGACTACCACACCTTTGGTAGTTTCAGACTCTAATTATAGAAAACGTAGTGTCTTCAATATACTGAACCAACTAGTATCGAAATAGAGAAATATTAAAATAGTTGTTATAATAGGTACCTACCTTACAATGGATACCTATATTTATATTGGTGTTAGAGCATTTAGTCCCTGATTAATATTAAGAAGAGGTTGTTTTACTTTTGGTGGTTCATTGAATAGTATTGGTGTGATGTTTGATCTAGAGGGAAATAAAAATTCCCATGCCGGCAGTTAAACGTACAAGCGGGTATATATCGTGTACTAATATATGCAAGGGTCGATTTCAGACGTTCCTGGAACGGGACCAATTCACATGTTATGTTCAATACTAGAATAAAGTTCTTACCGATCTATGCCGAGTTACGCGCAATTTTCTTAACCTGTCTCGGAACATGCCTCTAGGTAATGGTTTTTGACAGATACAAACCGCTGAGCCAAAAGTGTATTTCTTAGCACAATTGTCTATCTGACCTATGAGTGGTATTACCACTCACAGTTTTCTCCTTGTGATTTTGAGGAATGAGATATAATACTCTTGCATTAAAGTAGCACCACATCCTCCAAATATGTGGATTGGTTGTGGCAAGCTTGAGTTACGGCTAAAAACATGTGTGTACCTAGTCCGAACGGGAGATAATTGTTAGCTGGGCGTGTACGAAATGCCAATAATGCCTTCGAAAAGGTCAAAGGCTCTACGAACACGACTTTCGGTGGCCTCGTAAGGCTGCCTCGGTATGCATCAGTGGAGGCTGACTTCGTTGCTCGCAACTCACCGCTCCTCGACTGTACATAGTGTGTATTTTATTCCGAAGCCAAGCCTTACAGCAGAGCACCTAGCACTAAATTCGTCGAAAGAATAGGAGTTATCCGTATGCCCATGGGTCGAGAGGCGCAGGATATGAACCGTGCGTAGACCAGGCTCCCCGGTTCTAGTGGGACAAATCTTGCTTAATGTGACGGCAAAGCAAAAGACAAGACTTAAATCCTCTCCTATGGTCGTTTCTCTACTAATAGTGCCTTCTATATTTATAATCGTTGCGTCAGACTTGGTGTTAAATAGGATGGCGTTGATCATTTATGCGATCCTTACTGACATAATCATAATATCAGGTACTTAACCTAAGATAACTAGAAGAAACCGTGTGTGTTCAGGGTAGGATACATAAATAAACATATAAAATGGTCTCATTTCTTTTTCTTAGCTGTACGCTTTGGGAATGGCGCTTCGGATCTTGATATAGCACAGCACAGCGCACTAACGTAACAAGAATTGGGCGACGCATGAAACTCTGACGGCAGCACTGTATTACATAAGATAAGAAGCGCATTTCTAGATGAAACCAGACCCTCGGATACCGTGACATCTTACCTGCCTGGAAGTAAGCTGACGAACGTGTTCGTAATTGTGGATGGGGGCGGCCCATCCCGTGCGGCAAACATAGAACCAGGACAGTAGGGCAATTCCAAGGTTCCACCACTAGTATACCTATAGTATTGTAGTCAGGGGCACAGCACTGGCGGTGCCCTCCTGGAACTGTATTGGAACTGTCAATATGTATTAGGTTAGTCATTCTGATTCCAGTACGTGCCCCTGAGAAAGGCTGAGCCCATAGTGAGGCAGACAAGCCAATGTCCAGTTGCATAGAAGATAATACCATAGGTACCTAAGGACCATACCTAAGGAGAAATGATAACATTCAGACATGGGATACATATGGTCAGTAGGTAGGTACCCGGCATTACTTGAATTCCCCCTTTGGTTTTGAGAAAGATAGAAGCTGGGATAAAAGCGATTTAATCTAAACTACATGAAGCTTCAATGATTCGCTGCTTGCGCAGATGTATTTCTGGGGTAAGCCTGAGCCCTCGTCTATAGAAAAAGTTGAAAGTCCACGCATAGAATACCGCCCAGGGCAAGAAAGAGATTGTTTATGAGTAAAGGGGACAGCTCAAAGCTGGAAGAAGGGAAAAGAAACCCAAAAACCCCCAAAACATATCCAGTTGTACAGAGTGGCAATATCCTAGACATACTTGCTGTCTAGAAATATTGCCTCTTAGAACCCATCCAAGTCAAAATTCCCATATGATAACTTTTCCTGCCAAAATCGAAGAAATAGAACTCATACAGCCTCCAACTCCATCCTGTTATACCTAATCCAAGATTTAATACAAGAAGATAACTTAGTTGTAACCACTGCGGCTTCTTCCACGGGGGGGAGTGGTGGTCTCAGACCCAGTGTCAGGGCTGTTGGAGCCAGTGTCGTTAGAATGGACGTCAGATCCGGACTCAGGCATATTGTAATGACGGTATTGAATCTCTAGTTGTAAATCTGGAAAACCGCTAGCTTCGTTGGACGATATATCGTTTTATATATCTGTTGTTGCGGTGTCTTGAATGATTCCTTGTTCGTATTTAAGCGGTTGCTCGAATTTTAGTAACGTTTTACGAGTTGATGGGCAGACTGAGATGCTCTCCTATAATAATATATGTTAGCTCGTAAGAGTAGAGAGAAAACGGCGGACCCCCGTCAACGAATTGTAATAAGGGGTAAGCTCTACGGGGTATGCCTGATGCGCCGGTAGCCCCTATAGATGACTAGAACGTACAGTAACTGATTTTTTTTTTTAAAAAAAAAAATCTAAGACAGCTCGATGCGTATGGGGATAATTGTTCTGATAGAAATGAGGACTGATCGTGATGGCTTGAGACGGGATTAGTGGAAAGGATTAAGGACCCCGGGGGGAAAACTTGAGGGTTATATAGGGCACTCGTGTGTAACCAGACGATCTGACATTCCAAGGCCACTTTTACCATGTCACAATTGGATGCCTACGGTACCTAGATTAGATCACTGCCTCAGCCCTACGGTAGGATCCCGTGAACCACACCATGAATCCAGGCCTGTATAACTGAAGGCATATACCCGTTATGGATTCATATCAGACTAGTCAGCCTATAACAGGATGGTCCATCACATGAGCGAAACGAATAGGGATCAAAAAGTATCAGTGTCAAAGGCCTGCTGTTAGATACACCGCTGAGCCAAAAGTGTATTTCTTAATAGCACAATTGCTATGGCAGTCTATCTGACCATGAGTAGTATTTACCACTCGCAGCTGCGTACTTAAATCGAAAAGAAAAATTAGATCTAATTAGATAGATGGGTACCTAGGTAGGTTAGATCCATTAAGGCGGTGATAGGGCCACCGCATGGTATACCGGCTCCGACTAGAAAGGGTATATCCGATCCTGGAACTTCCTTGGCACACCAGACAATGACCTTGGAAATCGGAAGATAGATACAAGCTCGACATGACCACGGCTAAGGATGTTGGTTGGGGTCTGGGATTAGAAGCCTGCGCCCTCCGCCTAGTTTATCCACCTGACTAGGCACAGGCTTATAACAGGATCGCATCCTGTATGTAGTTAGAGGGGTTGCATTAGAGGAGAGAAGAAAACAGAAACAAGTTGGGGTTTAGAATTCGGCCGTCATTGCGGTTCGGCCTGAGTTGGACCTGAGTCCAACCTGATTTACGGCTTACGAAAAAGGATACCAAGAAGAAAACATTACCAGACTTCGGAGAAGCGCGACTGCAAGATATATTATCGTAGCATCGGGCTGAAGATCTACGGCCACGGAGGCCGCAGTTACTGCATGATGTCGGGCACAGCAGGGAAATAAATCACGCGAGCTGAACATATAAGGCTAACAGGTAATATACGTTGGAGCATTGCGAGTAGTCTCGCAGCAACATGTTGGTGTGAAAGTCGAGTTGAGTTCAAGGCATGACAGAACCGAAAGGAATGAACAATTGGACCCGAGTCCGCGTCATGATAATTCCGAGGATCTCGTCAGTCCATATTCCTGGGATGATACCAGGATCGTGGATTCAAGATATCAACGATCGGACGCTCAGTCGCTCGACCGGATGAGAATAGCGCAGACTGTCGTGAATCGTAGGACAGGCCGGAAAGATCCGTGGAAATATGGCTTATTTAGACCTAATACGGTAGCTGAGATGAAGGTCTTGGTTACTGATTGCTTAATGCCTTGGGTAAGTTATTATAGCATCTAGGATTGGTGGATTGGTAAGGGAAAAAGATGCATGCAGGAAGAACGATGCGATGCGATGTCATATCCGCGAAAGGCGCGCGTCGTAAGTGTTTAAGCGATATGCGTCCTGCAAAATCCCGTGCGCTAGTTCCAAGTTACCCTAGGTAGGTACCTATGTACGTTGTTAGGTACTATTGGTTAGGTAATCTTAAGGAGCACGTACCTACCCAGGAATCTTAGGTACCTATATAGGCGAGTCCGGTGTGGCTGATAATGACGGACATACCTAATGCGTGTATTACATGTAACTATTGTACAATACCTACCTCTAGGTAACCTTGCGGTTGGGTTACTCTAGGTTCTAGTTGGGGGCCATAGTTTCAGTTCCCCTCAATTAAGCCACAGCCCTGCCCAGATTAGGAAGCCTACGCGCTTACTGGACCAATTAAAAGCTTAAGTAGCCCAAGGCCCAAAGGAATCTATCTCAGAAATCCTCAATCCTTCTTCAAACCAGCATCTTGCATCTACGCCGGGTCTCGCCAAACAAGGTCCAGACTCCAAGTTTGTAACCATACCTTAGGTACCTAACGCAACCATACGTAACCCGTCAGGAACCCCCGGTGCTTGTCCGTTGCTATCCGTTGTTATTGTTAATCGTCTACGCCCGAAACGAGAAATCCTAGCTTACCGATCAGGCCGAATAGAATCCAGACATTGCCCCAGTGTTGACCATACGAGCTCACCATCGGTTATCCACTATGGCTTATGGATTACGGCTTGTCTGTACCCTAGGTAGGTCCTTTGGTAGGTCCTTAGGTAGGTTAGGTAGCTATGCTTCAAGGTTTAATGCCTCCCGCTCGTCCCGTCATGGACGGATCAAATCAGTGCTGACCTGTTTAGTTTAGCTTGTCAAGCACCGAAAGAACCGAGCGCGCCCACATCTGGGCCCGGGAGGATTCTATTTCTACAACATTTTAAGCCCAGTTACAGCGGGATAGTGCGATACTTGTTGGTGCCATCCGGCCGAAATACATGCAGCGAGTAGCCTAATCTTACAGAGAACTTTCTAGTTTCTTTCTAGAAAGAGCTCATGCGACCATGAGAATAAACCCGGAGCGCCCTTTGAAACGGCGGAAAGCTCAACCAGCGACGTTGCATCCGCTAACCAACGACAGGTATCCAATGCCTATCTTGAGCTTCTATTCTCGGCTGAAGATAAGAACAACCCGTTTCTTATTGATTAACCATGTGTTAGAGAGATACTACTAGCTAACATACATAGTATGCGGCTTCGACATGCCTACTATACTACATGGAATGGCCAAGATCGACCTTCTGATTTTCACGGTATTTATAATTTATAAGCTTTCTTCCGGATAGGATCGCTCAAGGTGCATTCAATCCCTTGTCACGAAACTATCTAGGGGTTATGTCACCTATACCATCAGTTGGAGTAGAGTTAACGCCGTCGGATTTTGCAAAGTTGATGCAAGTCGACTGGTTTAAAGCATTACTCTAGCTGCAAATAATAGCGAAGCGTGAAGTGCGAAGTTCGGTGAACGCTAGGAACGCGAATCCGAGTCGCTCAGGATTACCGATTCACCTCATTTCAGACCAAAGATCAGAGAACCGTTTATGACTTGCGGGAATCCAAAAGTTAATATAAACTTCTGACCTGAGATGATTAGATAGCCTACCTACCTAGGTAAGATACCTACCGAATGGCGTCAAGCCGTGCCAGCTCTTAATGCTTGCCACAGGCAGGGTTCCCCTAACCAAACCAAGATGCCGTTTAAATCCCGGACATTGATAACCTTGCTGCCGATCCTACACCATATGCCGTTTCGCCAAGAGCAATTGGCAACGGGTATTAACGGTATCAAGAACCATGCCCTTGGTGGAAGCAGAAGCGAGTCCCGGTACTCCGGATCGGCCAGCATTCTACCTCCCCGCCTCCATGGAAAATAGGTTGACTAACGTATCCCCAGCACCACAGTTATACGATCTCGATGCGCCGGGAATTCGTTACACTACCTCTTTTACGCTCTTCTATTGCGGTCATATTAAAATAAATAGGATGCAAGTCGTTCTCAGACCCTCAGCCACCCTCGATCTGCCTTATGCAGAAACAAATACGCTCACATCAACGTCATCTGTGACCAGCTGTCGGTAGTCTCACTAGGTTCGTGTACTCAAATATTCAGCTCGGCAGGGCTACGCCCCCATATATTACACCACATAAGACATTTCACTTCCATGTTGTACCTCTGTAGTAGTTTTGTATATCAAATATCAAATCGTGTTTTTCACTTCGAATATCCTATTACAGTATTGCAGATGTTCATAGCGACCTTCAAATCCAGCACAGGGGTTCTACGAATTGACAGCCGACAAAGTCACATCAGAAAACAAGTCCTACTAACGACTATCATCTAATAATATCTCTCTCAGTTTATAAGTTACTTCTTATCCGTTTCAGCTGTGGCTTTACTTCTGAAACATACCTACCTCCTAACCTAGGTAAGGTACCTATATGTTCACATTGTCACGGTCCGGCCGTTCCTAACGCTCGTACTGGCCACCTCTTTACGTAGAATCTGCATTGCGTAACCTCGCCTAGTTGAAACTATATACGTGAATATACTGGCTCCCCGAACCCCTACCTATTCTAAAGATTGCTACGCGCTCTCATGTTTCGTACTTCGGCAGATGCTCAATTGCTAACCGGTTCTTAGTACTATCGAGTCTCATCTTCTCTTCCGCAATCGATACACCCTTCAACAAGCTTGTACACATTATAATGACCCGTATCAGTGCCTTCACTTCCGAAGTAGCAATACTGAGCATCATTTACTACTAGGCTCTTTGCAAATATTCAAGGAGAAGGGGGGAAAGAGGTTCTTGGAGGTTGAGGGCCAGAGGGGTCGATTTACCACCCAATCGGACCCAGAACCCGGACCCGACAGATTTCTGGGATTGAATACCCTAGTCCACAGGCTTATCCACGAAGCACAAGGAATTTATCCGAGGTTTATCAACGTTGTTGGCTTAGTTACCTTTCTTCGTCCTCTTTTTCTACAGAGTATGCTTTCTACCTATAGACATATGCAATCCTATAAGGCCAATGTACTAGGTTAGACGATGCGGATTTTGATACCTTTGCCTTCTCACCCATATGGATTAGGTACAAATATTCCTGGTTCACCAACACCCCAGTCATATTGAGGCCTCCTTCGCCCTCGCCATTTGGGTCTATAGGAATTGTGAGTCATAACAGGCAAAGACTTTGCGTTCCGGTGATGTTACTCAGTAGGTAATTCCGCATATGGGGGATAGGAGGATCATTTGAGCCAATGCTCGCTGCATTCCGGTCAGAGCCCTGTTGGGACTTTTGTAGGTAGCCAAGGCTGAGTAAAGTAATCCGCGCTTTTAGGCATACTGGATCTATAACTCTCCTTGTGGAAGCATGACTCGTAGGATGATGACGAAACTAATCGAGATATCTTCTGTCAGCTCATGATGATGGAACCGGACCAAATGGGTACCGGGGTTGTTTATTCTTTAATCTGGTTTACTATGATTGCTCAATATAACTGATCCCTTTGAAACTCTCACATCCCATACACAAAGGGTGGTTGAATCCGTATTTCTAACAGGATACCAAGCATGGTTATCCAATTCTGAGAGGTTACTCGGAAGATCTACTTTGATAAGATTACTTCGTAAGAATGTGCGGAAAGGCTTCCGGAAGGAACCCATCCCAATCCTTCAGATGTTAAATGCTCCTGCTAGCATGAATATGACTACATTCCATTAAAAGTGATCATGTACCTGCATATGAGGCTGTGTGCTCTGAAGTCCTATTGGGTACCATGGCATGTTGCTGATAGTCAGAGTTTACTAATATGGCCAACGGTAAGTAAAAAATGGAGGGATCTGTATGTTGGTCGAAATCATATCATATGTGCTTATAACGGCGATTACCCCACGCTGCAGCAATTATACCAGTGCAAACGGCATATACGTGCCATAATAACATACGTACTGTATGTACCTAACTTAGCGTCTGTAAAATAACACAGCAATGGGGTATAAGTAGGATTTTCCATCAGAAAGAAATAAATATCATATCATTCCGTAACACTGACCCGTATAAAGTCTCCTATTCCATGGACTTAGCCTAGATATCTACTCCCCTATGTATGAATGATAATGGCTTAATCATGTTGTTAACACACTCCGAACGATGCTAGAATAGGATCGCGAGTCTAGCTTTTACACACCTAAGTACCAGGATGGGGCAGAGAGGGCGATGGGCGAAGTGTAGGTTAGCAACCATATCCAGCTTGTTCCTGACCTTGCACTAAGCTTACGAGTCCATGAATAGGGCCAAGCGGGTAATAGAGGAGTGGGCTTTAACAGCAACTACTTAGGTATCACTGTCAACCAAAAAATACGCTACCTTGAGACGAGGATTTTATTTACTCCTTGGTACTTTAGCATCTACGAATATTAAAGTAGGAGATGCGCATATCGATTTTGTGCGAATAAAATAAGTGTGTGGCCTTCAGCTAGCATTTCAAAGAAAGCCTTCCAATGCGTTCAATATTAAGACTTCCTACCTCCTATGGTAATCTATATGTGTTCTATTAGATGGGAGACAAAAGGGGTCAGGCTCTGGTGTGTATTCAGAATCTCGTTCTAATATCTATCAATCGTACAACTTGATACCGTATTTAACTCTTCTCCGGGCATCGGGCCGGTATCCATGGTAAGACTGCTTCTTTTGGGTATGTCATAACTTGACGTCCTTCTAAACTAGAGTGGGCCTACTTCTGGTACTTGGATACTTGGGTTTTTAGGGTCAGATGTTGCCGGTTTGCTGTCGCTAAGCAACATCATGTACCCCGCTGTCGACCTAAATAGCCCCCTAGGCAGTTGCTCTTCCATCCCTTCTCATCAAAGCGAAACTGTCACGTAAAGTGAAAGGAGATCATAGAGGTAATATAACGGTTAATTAAAAAGGAAAAGAGATCTAAGCTAGTAGTCTACAGGAGATCGTTTTATACATAGCTCAGCTGATTAGTCATAGTGGGGATCTCTTCGAGATCGCCATATACTGCGATAATAACAGTCCGACTCTCACCAGTGGGTATGAATTCTATCTACCTAAATGACTTTGAGAGACACTTCCACTTGAAATTACTTATTTTGAAACAAGTCGTTAGTTGCCCTTCTACAAAGGTTTCCTGTCATTCTGTGAAATTGGCTGTGTGCCTTAGGCCTTAGGTTAGGTACCTATCTTAAGAGAGACTTTATATCCTTCATGTGGTGTTTCTTTGAGTGACGTTGAACTAATAAAACCCTGAACCAATATCGATCGATTTAGATCTCGCATCTAGATCCCTATATCAACATCTGCCTGTTTTTGGTAACGATTAGCAGCTGTTCAAGAAAAATGTCTTCGACGCAAGTTATCACCTATCATCTGTCGATCCCTGTCGTCTTCATGTCCGTTAGACATAAGCAGGCGAAAGTGACGAGAAAATCTTTGTCTATCCTTACAAGCCGTATCAAGGGGAGAGGTGCGGCCATTCGGATATACTCCTGCCTGATGGGATATGCATCCGTAGCCTCAATTATACGTATATGCGCATGCATGGTGCTCTATGTGGTGTCGTGCAGCTACCAAACGCCAACCGCGGACCTTCCCGGTTCCCCTCTACGAGTTGCTAGCGCGGCGTATGCTCACTTCTCATATGTAGGTAGAATCTACTCGATACGATGATCGTATGTAAGATGGTCCTATGGCGTTGTGAGCATGGAAGTTTGGGGTTTTCATTTTCCATAAAACTGGTCGAGCCAGGGTTTCTTACAGCTTCGACATCCTGGGTTGAAACAGGTGAGCAATGTCCACCACCATTTAGCATTTTTATATCTCGATACAATAATGCAAGATTACACATTTGGAAATGAAACTACGTCTGAAAGGCTGTAATGTCTTAGCCAAGCTGAACGCAAGTATGTATCTTTCTCCATCGTTTCCGATCAGCTTGTCAGAACGTTCTGGTTCTTCTCCAGAATGAAACATTCCGCCAAATCCACGCGGCCAATAGATCCTAGAAACCATGTGGCTCCGAAGAGTCGGCTTCGCCAGTATAAATTTAGGTGTAGGTCTCATGCAAACGTCTTGGATGAGCCTGTTCCACACATGTACTAATTTTCACGTCGTACTTACAAGAGTATTATCTACCTATCCTGCGGGACTTTCAACTCTGCAAGCAAAACGCCAGTTACACTTACAAGTTCTTCTTCGAGATGGCTGTCGTAGACAGCTTCGACTATGCTCGCCCCTCTATGATGACCATAGATATCATGGCCCATAGTACACAGCGCCATCCACTGCCGCAGTTCCAGTCAAGGTTCAGCCGAAATACTCAATGGCGAAGCCGGAAGCAGAAACCGTCTGACATCTTCTCGTACTTAGCCAAGAGTCTATCTAAAAGAACCTTACGTCAATATCTCGATGCCATCGCCGTACCGCTCCCACTAACAAAGGGGCACTGCCATCTGGAGCTCCTACCCCAAGACATCATCAACCGGATATCCCAGTATGTCCCGTACGAGAGCCTGATATATCTCTCCTGGGTGTCGAAAGCACTCAACAGGATGGTCGACCCTTATTTGGCCCCCCACGAGACGAAGCTTGCGTTCGTGATCCGGGCCGAGCGGGATTTCCATCGGCACTTCAGCGGAGAATGGCCCAACCTAGGCTGCTTCATGTGCTTCAAAGTGCTGCCCGCGGACCTCTTCGCCGTTGACCAGCCGCTGCAAGCCGAGCTACGAAGGTCGGCAGTAGACGAGCCCGTGATCATCGATCTACGGCGGTTCTGCATCGGATGCGGGATCCAGTCGGGCTTGCACAAGGCGGGCGAGGAGTTGAACACGCGCGTCGGCGGGCGGTTCTGGATATGCAACTGCTTATGTATACTCGGCGACCAGACACTCGTTTGTAGGGACTGCGGTACCGTATGTCAGCTAAAGCCGAAGAGGTTACGAGGGAGCTATTATTGAAGACTCGCTAAGTTGAAGGTCTCAACATATCGCATATCTGATTAGATGAAGTAAGGTGCTTTATCGGCGCAATGATGTTATCTGAGCTGGATATGTTAGGGGTTTTTGGTGAATGGTTAGTTTGCATACTGGTGGATAGCAACGAGCGCGTTTTACTTTCGAGGGAGGCTGAAAACTGTGATTTACCTGGATATTCAATTGGAGGCTACCTGTCTTACCCGACTACCTAAGTAGATGTTTTTGTTTTTTATGTGAGGTATGATGATATAAATTAGTTGCTTACCGTAGTCACTCAGCCGTGCCCGTTTTTTTGTATCTGCGTGACTTGACTGTGATCTACATTTTGGGGCGTGAAGATCAGCCTCTGAACTTAGCCAATGTGCACTTATATAGGAATGAGTACAAGACTCCTCGTTACCTCTTTATTATTATCAACGTGGGTATCTTGATGTTTGAGTAGTGTCGCTTGTTTTCCGACACCTACCAAGTAAACAGGAAAATATTATTTGGCTTGATTTGGAGAGACAGGATGTATCATTGTTCGAACAATCAGATTGCAATAAAAAAGGGGGCGAAGAAAATAGAAGCAGCTATAAGAATTAGGTACCTGGTATGCATGCCATAAGAAATGGGGAAAAAAAAGAAAAAAAAAAAAAGCTAGGACCCAGAATTCAACCTGCACTTCGCTTGACCTGAACAGTTGACCTGCCTGCACGCCCCGAAGTGAAATCGAACCCAAGTCTTACGAAAAACTCCCTGAGGAATTATTTCCGCCCCCACTTCATTGCCACTACACCACGGCCAATTTGGTTTCTATCAACAAAAACGACGCCGTAATTGCCGACTAGTAATTACGCCTTATATACACTACGTGACAGTTATTGAACTAGGGTATTGCAGGATGATATGTCATGGCGGTTGACCATATCCCGGAAACTTTGGTATCCGAAAGGTCACTTGATGGTGAGCGCACGCGTGTCTAATTGCATTGCAGCCCGAAGGCTTGAATAGGTATACTCTGCGCAAGAGCCTTGCCCGAGCTTTTGGGATTTACTATACTGGGGTTGGTAAGGTCCATGTAAGTAAGATACGAATCAGCTTTTGCTTTTTAGTGAGCCGCCATCCCGAAGCTTGGCCGACGTATTGATTGGGTCTGGTCTCGTCTAAGATAGAATGAAAGCTGCCTAGCTTAGCTCATGGAGAGATCCTATCTTTCACCGTCAATTCACGGGCCCTGGAAATATGGGTAAGATAAAAGCATGTTAAACCAATACTAGAGGGTCCAAGCGCCTTGACGGACCCTCTAGTAGAGTATCGTGCCGAATCCTTGATTATCCCGACACTAGCAGGCTGTAGCAGTACAGTAGCCCGTATCGTTGGCCGTGTAAATCAGGATCGATCTCAACTAACTCCGCGCGAATCTCTACCAACATGTTAAGATCTGAAGCGGTCAAGATCAGATTGTAGGTATAAGGTATTTGGAGATCGAACCAATATTCTTCTACGTATTAATAACCTGTCACCTAGCTCGCGAGCTTTCCTAGACGTTAATGGAAAGATTCTTATAACATCACCCCAGTTATCCAAGTTGGGAATAATATATATTAGTATCTTATCAGCATTCACACCCATGGGCTTCTTTCAATATGTATATTTTTACATACTATCACTACTTGCATGTCCTAAATCAATAAGTTATAAGAATTGTTACCAGTTGAGATTCATCTAGTATTATGTGCATTAATTAAAGATAGCTTGGGGAATCTCTGTGATTGACCTCAAGATTTACTATGTAATAATACCTAACACACAAGGACAATGATGATGCTGGTCTTAATTGGAAACTCCAGGGCCTTATTCAACACAGTGCAATAGATTGCCTCGCCTGAACGAGGGTTAGACCTGTCCGCGACGAGCAGGGGAGCCAAGTGCGGCAAGTAAGGACGCGAGCGGGCCAAGATTACCAACATTGCTTGGGCCTGAATATACTACGGTACAACATAGCTACCTTATCTTAAATTCTAATGAGCCAAGAATAGAAGGCTATCGGTATAAAATCTCGGGATGTGAGATACAATGCCCGTGTCGTGCCTGAGCGGGAAAACAAAGTAAAGCTGTTGAGCCATCAAGAACTTCTCACAAAAAGGAAGGGTCTTAATCAGCAGAAACGTGTGGGAAAAAGTTAGGATAGAGTTGGAAAGGATTCACAGGGGTTAACTTAGGTAAGTAGGTTTTCACTGTAGGTATATGTGAATTTTCATAGGCTTGGAATATTGTCAGACGCTAAAATCGAAATCACTTAAGTCTATCTCTAAATACCTATATGGGGACAGTAAATTGCAAGAATGCCATTAATATTTATTAAAAGGGAGCTTTTGTTTTGAGCATTAGGCGGGTTTTGGTAAGGAACGAGTTTCGAATTTGATACACTTTGGATATAGACGTTGAGCTTGTCTGTTTGTGTCAAAATTAGGTAGAAGAAATAGTTATTAGCAAGAGAAGGGAAAATCAAACGACGAAAGGTCCCTTTATTTATCTAGGTACCTAGAGGTATTTTAATATAGAAGAGGTGGTCTACTAGAGATCCACATGATCGTGCCGTGACGGTTCGCTCCCTAACTACCTTGCCTTAAGTTAAGGCTAAAATTACTTTGGTATATCAGCGAAGATACCCAGGTAGGTAGGTAATCACTGATATTATGAAAGGATTTTGAAGATAGTAGAAATAAAAAAGAGGCTACAGGCAGACAGTGAAGCGAGGACTGACAAATGAATTCTTATAAACGACAGGTTAAACACCTAAGTAGAATCATGTTGCTAGGTACAGGTGTATATTTAAAGCAACTTTGCTATAAAGCAGCATGGAAGAAGTTGGAGTAACAACAGTGCTGGAGTGAGAAACAAAGTTCTTTTAGTAACGGAGGAGCGATCTCCGTGATACTTATAGGCCGAGTCAGCTTTGAGCAAGCTGGATTATTGCCGTACTTGATTATGAGTACTACACATTATTTTGATAGTTGAAATATTATATAAATCGCGAAATGGATGGTATATAACTAAGTGATATGAAGCGGCACGGTAGAAGCTAGGCCTACTCATATTCCATTCAAGATATCTCGTACTGCACATTTGATCACTTATTTCAACAAGGAACATAGTAAATCAGTCAGGCCCAGCTTCTTCACCAGAATAAAATCAGGTAGTAAACGCCAATACGACACAGAAGCCCGATAAATAATAACTGAGACTGCTTGGAGATTTACGCGGCAAAGCCACTGTGCCACCATATATACCTCATATTAAACAACTTTCAATAGCTACGGGGTATTACAACTTTGGTATGAAGGAAATATTATGCTATAAATTCATTCCCACAGTAGGGTCTGACTTGTTTCGAATATAAGGTAAGTTTAGCTATGCCGTGCACTTTTTACACAGCGGCTGATTATGACATGTTGATGCTTTATTGAAAAAGTGATACGGCATCGAGGCATACTTTGGGTACTTCAGCAGAATGGCGCCAAAGCGATCTTCCACACTAGTCATCACGACACGGGTTATAATTGTTACCACTATTCTTCTCGGACAAATGAAACCCTTTTTGACCCCTTATCTAACCCCTATAGTCTGTTACAGTGCATAAGACTTAATACCGTTTGGTAATATGCTTAGAAAAGCAACCTCCTCATGCCAGTGCTAAAATTAATGGACATATTATATAGTCGCGCGCCAGAAAAGGGGGTAGATGGTATTCTTTTCCATACGCCAGATGAAAAGAAACACCCGCGCAGGATAATGATTGGAAGGTAACACGCATGGCTTCGTGAGAAGAGGGATGCGTTTCTAAGAAGCACATGAGGGCGTACCTATTTTCTGATAATAGCTACCGGTGCACCTCTTCACACGCCGAAAGCTCTCACGAAAGATATAGACCTCAGCAAAAATTAAATAAGCATTTTAATAATAAATTAAGATTAACGACTTAGAGCGACCGGCATGTCTCTAAGGATACATCCTAGGTATATGAAGTTGTAACAATATGCGTGCAAACGAGCTTCCTGTGAGAAATATCCAAAGACGATACAACCCTTCGGCCATTAGTAAGTGTTTTTAGCTTAGAGATACCCACGTGTCAGGAAGGTAGTTAATATATATACCTAACCTTATATATACCTTAGGTGTCTATATATTAGGTACCTTATATATACTTGCTTTTAATCATATAGCCATCGTTGTCTCCTAAAGTGCCACAGAGATGCAAGTGCATACCCCACGTATATCAACAAACAACTAGAGGCTTCTGAAAGAGTCCAAGAGATTAATCAACCAAATATACGTGATCAATGTATTGTGTTTCTAGCGCTGGAAGACATAGCATTATGTGGTTATGTATATTGCTTAATTTTGACAGCTTTCATTTAGTTCTTCTGCTTCTAGCTCGAAAGCGCAAATTTGGACTTGCGATTCCTTCCTAGAGTCAGGATTCAAGAGCCGTTACGAAGCGCGTATTAATGACGTATGTATTCGCACGCGAGGAACGAAGCCAATCACTACCGTAATATTATATAGTCTAAAGATAAGCCTTGCTGACTTTGCCAGGGGTATCGATTACCTATAGGCCAGGAAGCACAGCGAGTCTTAGATGTGCACGTCAACTCGGAATTCGGAATACTTCCACTTTGGGCTGGGTTCCCGTTCGGAATAGCACGCTAGGGGGTAAACAAGTTCCAGTGATGACGAGCATTCCTTCGAGTTCTCATCTTAATAATTCTTAAATCTTGTCCTTCTTTGAAAATATTATGTAAAGTCCGGATTCATCAAAGACGGATTGATAGGTATTGAAGATTTGCCCGATTTTGAACCATGACGAGTGGTGATGAGCCGAATCGTCCTCGGGACACGGACGTCACAGAAACGGCACCCCTGCTGCTGGCAAGCGAGCGACCGAGACGGCCGTCGCACCGCACCAGGTTATCGGTCACGTCGCTCAGGAGCGTCCACGTGCCGAAGATACACAACGGGCGCACGATCATAAACTTGCTCTGCATCATCATTCTCATATCCTCCTCCTCGTCGGGCTTCGTCGACATTCCGAAAACCCGGCTGTTGGAAGACGCGGCGTGTCGCCAGTATTACGGCCTCGACGGAACTGCAGCTGGTCCTATTGACGAGAAACACTGCAAGGTGAATGCGATCCAGAATAAGGTCGCTTTGACCTTGGCCATCCAGAGTAGCGCCGATGCAGCTGTGGGGTTTCTCGCCGCGTTTCCTTGGGGTCTCGCGGCAGATAGGTGCGTAATACGGCCAAGGAGGCACTTAGATTGGCAGGCAGACTAACTCCTTGCAAGAATCGGACGGAAGCCCATTGCTGCCCTCGCTCTAACTGGAACCCTCCTCGGGACCCTTTGGACGATGGCGGTGGTGTACTTCCATAACACATTGCCGGTCGAACTGATTTGGCTGAGTTCCGCGGGAAACATCATCGGCGGTGGCAGTACGGTTATCGCTGGGATCGTATTAAGTATGATTGCGGATTCGACCACTGAAGAAGAGAGGTTAGTCGTTTACCCTGTTAAATCTAGGTGGGTATCTAACCATACCAACGACTAACCGATAAATAGAGCCGTTGCATTCATGCGCATCCACGTCGCCAGTCTATGCGGCGAACTCGGGGCACCAGCACTCGCAGGAGCCATAATGGCAAGGGCGGGACCATGGCCGCCGATCTGGATCGCCGCTACGGCCACCGCGCTCGGTGCAGTTGCGTTCCTTTTCGTCCCAGAGACGCTAAAGCATCATCCGGATCAAGAAAACGCCCTTGAGACAGAATCGGTAGGAGAAGGAGAAGAAGAAGAGGAAGAAGCTACAGGCCTCAAATCACGAGTCTCGCATGTCATCGCACGGTTTAAGGAGTCCCTATCGATGCTCAAGTCCACCTCTCTTATCCTCCTACTCTTAACCGGCCTCGTATCCCCCCCGGTTCTTTTGGGTACGTCGCAGTTCATGGCGCAATTCTTATCGAAGCGCTACGGCATCGAGCTTTACAAGACGGGCTACGTCCAATCCACGTACGGCGCCGTGCAGGTCGTCCAAGCGCTCGTGATCCTGCCCTGGCTCACGCGGTACGTGATGAAGAGCACGACGCCCAAGAAGATCCGCGCGCCGGACGAGCACCACCGGGACCTATCCCTCGCACGGTGGTCGTACGCGCTCCTAGCGATCGGGATATTCGTGCTCGGGCTGGCGCCGACGCTCGCCGGATTTGTCTTCGGGCTCGTCCTCATGGCGCTCGGCTCCGGGTTCAACAGCATGACGCGCAGCCTCATGAGCTTGTACGTCAACCCGGAGCATCGCTCGCGACTATTCAGCCTCGTCGCCATGGTCGAGGTCGTCGGGAGCGTGTACGCGCAGCCGCTCCTCGCTGCGCTGTTCGCGCTCGGGATGAGGTTGGGTGGCGGCTGGATTGGGCTGCCGTATTATGGCTTGTCCGTCCTAATTGCCTTTGCGGCTGCGCTGCTGCATTTCGTTAAGGTACCTAACGAGGCTTGAAAGTCAGCTGTAGTATATAGAACAGAACATGATTAAAAGGAACGGTAATGACAATACCTAAAGCAAGATAGGACAGAGCATATGAAGTAAACTAGAGTAATATTTATAGATTGGAGCATACATAGGGGATCACATATGTAATAAATTCGATTCAGCGTCATGTTTGTAAAGAGGAACAATCTAGCAATTAGGCAGGAGAAGTCAAATATTTAAGGTTTTGAAGAAAGAATTTAATATCATAAACATTAGACATATTTACACATCTTACCAAATGAATTCCTGGTGAACCTGCCTGACCTTTCGCATTTCTAATTAAGACGCAATATCATGATTTCTCTTCTTTCGTTGGGTACCTCCTATATAGGAACATATCATTCTCTCAACACTTCGATAAATAATCAGTCTTCAATACGCAGCGGCTCAATGAACGTTAACTCCCCATCTGAGTCATTATCCACCATCTTGATCCCACCGCCCTCCTCGTCCGATTCGTAATCATAGTCATCATCATTATCATGACTAGTATTCGATACGATACGGTAGGCGGGTGGTGGACTTTCGATAATAGTCGTATTCATCGACCTGGACACAGTAGAGGCAGAACCTTCAGAGGTGCCTTTATGTGTCTCAGTCAAGCTCGACACGGACGCTATAGTTGCTGTAGCAGTCGTAGTTTCTACAGTAGCCGCCCGCGTTAATACGGCAACAGGTTCTTTCGTATCATTCTTCCCTTCTATTTTCGCGTCCCTCACGCCAACGTCACTCTTTAGTTCCCACACATTTTTCACCGCCGGGTCGAACTTCTCATGCGGCATCGTTTCAAAAGTATCCATCGCGGGCTCTGGCTTATCATCAACGTCGATCAAATTACCCGTCTCAGCCCAATCCTTGTCGCGCAGCTCGATCTCGATCTTCCCGTCGTCTTTCTCGATGGCGCCCGCGCCGCCGCGAACATCAGGGAACCCGCACCGCGCTAGGATCTTGGCCGTAAGCTCCGGGTAGCGAAGGTGGCCCGTGACCTCGTTGCTAAGGTCGAGGTTCTCGACTCCTTCGATATCTCCCGCGATGGGCTGCAGCCCGGCGATGCCGAGCTGCATGCTCGTCGCGCGGTACAAGAAGCCCAGGATGTAGTCGTTCTCGCTGTACACGTTGAATAACTTGCCCGAGACCACCGTGCGCATCATCTTCCAGTGTTCCGTGTTGGACGGGACCGGCGCTCCGATCAGGACTACGGTGTCTACGAGTCCGAAAGCTTTGCGCTCCGCGAGCACTCGTAAGCAAGTGTAGATTACACGGGCTCCCAACGAGTATCCCACTAGGGTCACCGGCCGTTCTCCCTGGACCTTGTTGATTACTGCATCGGCTAGAATCTTGCCGGCTTTCTCAGATCGGTTTCGGGCCAGGCTGAATGGATTATCAATACTGGAGGCCGAGCTCAGGAGGAAGATAGGCCATAGCGCGCCTTTCAGGGTTGCGAGCACCGTCCTGCGAAGTATCTCGGCTCTGACGGCACTCCACGCAGCAGAGCCAACTAGGTCCTTAAGCTTATCGCCGAGCGCCATCAGGCTCTTCATCTCATACCGCAGCGCGAATACTTCGGTTTCGCCGCCTAGAGCCCGCCACGGTTTCGTTACGTCCTCTTCGGCTGTAAGCCAGCCGTTTATACCAATAGTAACACGGAGTCTTCGAGATTCCGAACTGTCCTGTTCGTGAGACCAGCGTTCGCCCCATTCCGCCCGCAGAGGCAAGAACTTGAAATCTTCCACTTCCTTGGCGTACTGGTCAACCATGCTACCCGTCATCTTCGCGCCGAAGGCACCGAATATCGTACCAACCAGAGCGCCATTCATCCAGAAGATTCCCAGGAAACTAGCGAGTCCGCCTAATCCGACGGACCCCATAAGACCACCGATTACACCGGCGACAGCCGGCGCAGCAAGTCCTCCCGTGACACCAATAATCGCAGCGCCCGCGACCGACGCCAGTCCAACTTTCAAAAACCGGCTTATCTGGCCCTGCTCCCTGCGCTTCTGCGCCTCGGCTTCCGCCGACATGCCCCCGCTCACCGTGGCCTTCCGTGCAGCTTCGACCATGGTAGTCGCGATCTCCGTCTCCTCCGCGTCGAGAAAGGCGGGCGGGATCTCGAGCGCAGCCGTGAGGTAGCAGACCAGCGTGCGCGAGTACGCCGAGTAGTTGCCCATGGACAGCAAGAGGATCATCGTGGCGCTCAGGACCTCCTTGCGGTCCTCTATGGGAACCGTAGTCAGCCGCGTGGGGATGGGGTGGTACAAGGTCTGGAAGGCAGCCAGGCTCGTCGGCCCGGTCGAGGACGACCGGGGCGGCAACGCTGGTTTGATAGAGGTCTGGGTGGTGGCCCTGCTGTTGTCGTCGAAACTCAGCAAGTCCTCGCCATCGGACGGCCCCTGCCTGGCCTTGGCGCTTATCTCCTCGGCGCGCTTACGCCGAGCGTCGACGACTTTCTGATCGTCGAGCTTAGCCAGGAGTTCCCTGAGCTTAGCGATGGTCTCGTCGCGCCAGGAGTCATAGTGCAGCAACGCTGCTTTACGCAGTCTGAAGAGGGCTGGGCTAGGAGGCGTTCTTTGCGGCCTTGGGGGGTGCGCTGGTGGCGCAGGATCGGAATCCCGAATATTAGTGCGGGGCGCGGATAAAGGCGCATCTGCTGTCTCGGAATACGGTGGTGGAGGTCGCTCTGAGGAAGAAGGAGAAGTAGAAGGAGAAGAAGAAGAAAGTAAGGGGGAACCGTTGGGACTGTAAGGCAGTTCCAGCTGTGATCGCATGTAGACCGCGATCTCGACGACAAGTTTGTAGAATACTCTGCGTCGAGCGGGATTAAGCACAACCCGAATAGCATCGGGTTCGCTAGTAAGAGGTGCCATGACAATAGCAATTACCTAGATCAGGTAATATTTAAAAATCTTCATGTGAATACTTTTGACAGCAATCAATTGTGAAAAATTACCTAGGGGTATGTTTCCTTTGGTTGTTGTTCTGTAAACTTTTGATATTTAAATATTACAGGGGCTCTTAGCTTTTTTTAAAGAAGCCCCTGAACTATCCCCAAGGTCCCGAGGTCCCTCTATTATTAGTCACGCCATGCACATCATATCGTACAAACCATCAGCCCTACTGCAGCATGCAGCGCAACGTAGCTCCAGGCAACCAAATTATTTCAAAATCTGCTCTTCGGTGACGTGGTATTATATTGTACCACTTACCTCTTGAAATTAAGGATTAGGTACCTAACCTAATATTTCACAAGCACGTGGTTAGTGTAAGTGTTATCGTGAAATTGTCAATCATATCCAATGGAGCATTTCAACGCGAAGTAGATTCGAGCCGTGAGACCTTGGCTTATGAAAACGTTTGATATATCAACATGAGGCATAATATAAGGCATACCGTATTCGACTAACATGTGAGGACAATAGTAACGAGTGGCTAGAATATAACCGAATTGCTCTTACTCCGCAGTGCCTTTCAAGAGGATAGACACTCCCTGATTCCTTATCCTCCCATTTGATTTAACTTACTTACCTACCTACCCAGGTACCCAGGCACCTTAGGTACCTTATTTAACCCCATCTCAGATCTGCAAAGATGTAATCTCCGAACCAACCATAGCTTCCGTCTCCGTCTCTGGCGTCGGCGTCGGCGGCGGCAGGTTTTCACGCTTGGTGCAGATCCAGCAGCTCGCGTACATATTGACGCGGTCGATGCACTTGCCACCCGTGCGCTCACCTATGCATCTAGCGGAGAACCCGTGCCGTTCGAACTCGGCTAGGTACCAAGGCCGAAGACCGCTGGAGCGCAGCATCACGCGTCCGCCCATGCGTAGCGCGCGGTTGAGCTTAGCGATTTGCGCCGCGGCGGCGTTGGATCCTGGGTCGAACCAGTCCATGCTGTCCATAACAACAGCTACTGTCAGGGTTCCAGGTGCAATGCGCGCTAGCACTTCGTCAATCTCGTCCGTGTGGATGCGCAACCCATCGAACGCCCCTGGGCGAGAAAGTCGGGCATGTGCTTGAGGCGATAGGTAGTCTGGATGGCATTTCCGGCTAAATTTACCGTCGAGACACACTAGGTAGTACGGGTTGTCAGCCGCGATATGCATCGTCTCTACCATCGGATCCAGCGTGTTAACCATATATTCCCAGATGGCGTGGGAGCGGGTATTCTTCGATCGTGCATCAGGACCGCATACTGCTTCAGATACCGCATGATCCTCTTCGATAATCGCAAGCTGGTTCTTCGGGACTCCGAGTGCCGTCCAGAGGAATGATTCCTGGCTTACGACGAACTTGGAGACTAGACGAGAAAGAAGCGCCGGTCGGATCTTGTGGCGCCAGATCTCACGCTGCTCGTTGAGCGTTTTGGCGGCAATTAAGTCTTTGACAGCGGATCGGAATCCGAAAATGCGGGAAATCCAGCGGAAGATACGAATCCCATGTTTCGACCCGCCAGTATCGTACAAACCACCCTTGGATGTAGTGAAGATGTGATGATTCTTAAGCCAGTACTGGAATGCACGACTGGACAAGTGAGGGGACATCTTTGAGATGAGTAAGGAACGGAACTCGGGATGCTTACCCTCCCCGAAAATCTTCCAAAAGTCTTCGTAAGGGAGAGAAGAGAATGCGGCTACCTTGAGCTCGAGAAGGTGGTTCTGTGTGGGGTTCAAATCGACTGCGTGGATTCTAGCCGGTCCCTGCAGAGCATAAGAAAGAAGGTTGTCACCGGCGCTGGTAATGGCAAGCACAACATCATCCGACTTGAGCTTAAGGATACGTTCATCGACTCGAGTATCTTCCCAAGTGAAAGCGTAGATATACTCGTCATTGAACTGGGTATGCTTCTTGAGCTGATCGTCATAGTATATCCTGTAGTGATGATTCTGATAGAAGAAAGACGGAAGAGGCAAGTTAGAAGAAAGATTGACAATAGCGACGTCGAAAGCCTTGGAGCGGATCTCCGGCGTGGCTCTTTCGACTGCGCGAGACAGAGCGGCCGAGTGGTTAGCGGGATATAGGTAAGGAGACTCGGTAACCAAGGCGTCTAGCTTCTCTACGATTTCGTGCGGAAGGCTAGACGATTGAGGTTGCTTATGAATCCCCAGCCATATATAATAAGGAATCGCACCCAGAGTGTAATTCCTGTTGTTAACATTCAAGACTGTGCCGAAGCTATACTCGAGGTAATCACGCCTGCCAGGTTCGAGAGCGACTCGGTCGATGTCGAACCAGGCGCGCCAGAATGTTCTGCCGAAGAAATTGACATGACGGTTAGCTTGACCGCCGGTATAGTTGCGGAAGTTGATGTCGACTTGAGATTGAACATAAAAGTCAACCACACCGACTATGCCATTCGGAGCTAATAGCGACGGTAACGAGTCTATGACGGAATAGTAATCGGGCTATAATTGTGTAAGAAAATGCATCCCATACTGGATTTGCTCGTACGTACAATCATGGACAAGCTGTACGACATGGTGATCAAGTCGGCACCACCATGTTTAGGTCTGTCTTGGAAAAAGTTGCCCCGGTTCGGAGAGCCAGAAGCGCGTCTGCCCTGATAAGAGGGTTCGTGGTCCTCTAAGCGGAATTTTCTTGCGTCCTGGCAGATGACCTTGACGTTTTCCCATCCTAGTCTCTCGAAACGTTTGCGAGCGACTTGGCAGAGAGATGGAGAGAAGTCAACTAAGTAAACACTGTCGAAAAACTGAGGAACATCGACAAATTTTGACATAGACTCAATGTTCCAGCCAGTCCCTCCACCAACCTGTTTTCATGATTAGGGGGATGCTAGTGAATCACGGCTAGGGTTGAAGTTGAGCACGTACGTCTACCCAAACACGTCTCTGCTTCTCGGGGCCCTTTTTGGCTCGGTAAGAGAGCTGGGCGGCTGCGAGGGCTAACATATCCTCGCGACCCTTCAGAAGGGCCTTCCTCGTCGCATCATATGCGCCGGCCTGAGTTTTGTAAAAACTCTCAAGGGCATCCTGCTGGTTGCCATTGTCGCCGCCATCGTGCGGTTTGAGGAAACATGTGTAAAAGAAAAGCCATAACGATTGTACGAGACCAGGGTTCTCGCTGTCTTTTGCTTTCTTCACAAGTAAAGTGGAATAGCATACGCCTACTAGGAGGAGGACTGCTACTCCAGCAAGATAGATATTTGCATGAGGGTCAGGGGGTAAAATGTTACCACCAAGAGAAGCCATGATACTCTCTCATTGCTTGAGTAATGAGAGTAGAATGTTGAAATTCTTCAAGCGTGTTGAATTGGGTTACACAAGTCGGTAAGACTATAGGGTATGAAGAAAAGAGAAAGAGAAAGGAGGAGGTAGATGGTTGAACATAGGGTCATATATATGAAAACCCGTGGTACTAATTGCCCACCTTCTACCAACGGAAAAGCTTTGGCTGCTTTCATTTTGAGTTACCCCGTGACCAAGAGAAGTACTTACTTACTGTCGTTGATCTGACTGTATACCTCACATGTAAAAGAGAGTAAAGGTTAGGTGGTACCTAAGAGTATTAGAATTCTCTGCCTCTTCAGAAAATGTATCGTATAAAAAGGACCCTGAACTTTCCATTGCCCCACTCAGCACGGAACCACACCAATGTCGGTTAGCGCGAGATGTAGGTACCCTCTCAAACGGTTCAAGCACCACATTCCTTCGCCCTTTACATAAACGAAGCTGGAAGATGTTTAGCGTGGATGGGGTCTTGAGTTAGGTACCTACAGGTAATTCTCTGTACCTACCCGTCAGTACGTGTTTCCCATAAAGCTCGGGCATGTGGTCCAAATGATTGGTTAGGACAACAGTGACCAGTCATTATCCACGTCCCTAAACTTGTACTAGGTATTGGCGTGTGAGTTGACGTGCAGCATTGGCAGCAGAATTTTTAGCGAATAGTAAACTTGAATTGATATTGGTGATTTAATACGAAGATCAATATAGGTGTGATGTATAAAATACGGCTCCCGACTAAAATTCCCAGGTTCTCACGATCGGCATTGGATTTCCTGCAGCAGTCCGCAGTGACGAAAGGTTAAATGGGTACCCTGTACCTTGCTGCAAGGGAGCATAGCATGTATGAAGCCGTGCCTCACTGATTAACCCGGATTGACGTCTAGTTCCATCGTACTCCGATGATCGAAACGTACCTACGTTAGAGGTAGTCAACATAGGCATGCCCCCACGTGCTGAAATGTTGAAACTAGAATGGGCGACAACACTCAAGTTTGGTAAGGTTATATATGACAGGTACCTGAAAACGCGACAGGGCTAACTTGCAGAGACCAGGTATTGAACAAGATCTGCAGCACCGGCTTGAGTACAGTAACGCTAAATACCCAACCATTTTTTGCTAATGGCCCAACTCATCCACTTCTGACACTAGTTAAGCCACCGACACACGTGCATACTAATTTGTATTAGGATTAGTCGCGCCATCAACCACATACAGAATTTACCCCGTTCGTATAAGCCACATACTTTCTAACCACAAATTCTACTATATTTACATTTACTCTCCAATCAATTCAAAAATGAAAAATATAAAAAGTAGATCGCTAGTTTCGCTTCAATTAGAGCTTTTGAATGATATAGCTTTTAACTAGGTACATGCGTTACGTTAAACGTTATTCGAATATACACTCGAATATACACTCAGACACACAGAACCGAGAAGGCTCAGAAGGGTGTCACGTGATACCCCTAAAGCCACACTTCCACAGCTTCAAACATACTTACCTTTATTCCCAATTTATTTTAATGATGCAAAGTATAAAAATTATATTATTAGTTTCGCTTCAATTAAACCTTTCTAATAATATAAGTTTCAATTAAATATACACTGAATATAATATTATAATATTTCAAAACGCGACCGGTGTAAATTCTGTATGTGGTTGGTGGTACAACTAATTCCAATACAAATTAATATATGGATGGGTTGGGCCATTAGCAAAAAATGGTTGGGTATTTAGCGTTACTGGCTTGAGTACCATCGAAACGTAAGAGTCAGATTGCAGGTAGCTACAGTTGAGATACAGTTGTTGCACGACGTCTGTAGACGAATGCCGGGCGGCTCAAGTTGAAGTTTTCGCGTTCCTGACTGATGCAACGAATCCCTATTGAGCTTCCGGCAGGTTACCCAAGTTTCACTTTTGCTGCGAATGGCCGTATTCGACTTTTTTCGACGGCCCAGCTGTTATGGCAGCACGTAGCTTACCCGACTTATCCCTTTCGCCCGACTAATCTTTTTAACGTTGGTCTTACCGCACAGCTCTGTGCTGTCAACGTGCGTACCGCCACACGGATATGCTTCGGCGCCGATTATTTTTACGACTCGGAACTTCTCATCATCCGTCATACTCATTGCCTTGCGGTCGGGTATTAATCTTTCGAGTCCGTTTGCCTTGAAGTCGTTCTCATCCCACCAATCAATTTCGACCGGCATATCTTTGCTTATGTACTCGTCCACCCGACTTTGAATAATATCCTTCCATTTTCCTTCAATAAGACCTTGGAATTCGCAAGAAGCAGAATCGGGGAAATGTGATGCTTTTAGTTCATCAAAACCTGCTACCTCATTCTCGAGAAGATGGCGAACAGCTGATCCGAGAACATGTCCAGCTGTATGGTACCGGGAGAACAATTTTCGCTTCTCACTGTCGATGGTTTGAGTGACCGAGTCTCCAGGCTTGAAAATGGTGGCAGCATTCGCAAACCTGCCAAAATGCAGCACCTCGCCATTGTTTGTACTGCTCATGCGCACCATGAATACATCAAAACTTGCACCCTCTGGGCTTTTTATCACACCAACATCAGAAGGTTGACCTCCACCTTGAGGGTGAAATATAGTCTGCTCAGTAACTACAACATGGTCATCTTCCTTGGCTTGTTTAAATAGCCCTTTGTTGGCCTCTTCGAGAGCTGCTACCGAGCGGACTGCCGTGACTACAGTTTGTAGAGTATGAAGTTTAGCGTTATGCTGAAAAGCAAGATAAGTCCGCTGCATAGTTCCGAAGATTTCCTCAAGGGCGAGGGGGAGTCGAGAGATAGAATTCCTTTTTTTTGTATTTGATATAAGTATGTTGAGGCGGACTCAGTATCTTATCAACACCTAGCTTTGAGTCCAGTCTTTTAGCAAAAGGTAAGGAGGTAGGTAAGTATACTTTTTACCTTATGATCCTCGGTTCAAATGCTTGCCTGGTGAGATATTTTACAATGACAGTTTTATAATGACAGACCTGCGCCCTATCAGTGGGTCTCTTTAGGTCAATTAACCAGTAAAACTTAAAAGACGGGATCCTATGGCCCACATCTTCTCAGCATCTTCTCAGCATCTTTCAGATGTCATCAAGTCATCAGTCGTTCAAAAATGAATCGGTGTTATCTCAATGCTTATATCATTGACAAAACGACGCGATATCCATTACGATTCCCATAGCTCTGCCGTGGAAATCTTAGTTCAGTGTATTCTTAAAGCCCAAATATGCTGAGTTGATATCTAACTCTAGCTCCCTGGCCTGTTGTTCGCTCAACTCCTCGGTCGCCTTCATTTGGTTTAATGTGATAAGCCACTGGACAATTTTACCACGATTCTCAAAGTCTCGGTCAGTAACTTTGTTGACGCTCTGGATAACATCGGTTAGTAAAGGATGTAATTGATCCTTTGCCAGAAGCCCGAGGCGCAAGGCATCTAGGAAGGTAATAAAGTCCTGCGTTGCTTCGAGGATGAGAGCGCCAGACTTGTTATTTCCGGAAGCAGATGGTTGGGCAGCGCCTGTTGATGCAGTAACAGCAGTAGACGGCATGCCCACTCTAAGTCTCTCCGTCGCCCGGGGAACTTCAAGCTACGAGTATGTTAGCGGCGGTGCCAGTTATGAAACCATGAAACGTATAACATTTTCACTTACGTCCCATTCAGCCTTGAACTCTTCGAGACCCACGAAAGCTTTAGCCACGGTTTCATCGGCCAGTATTGACTTATACTGTTTAAGCGATCGTTCACAGATCTCAGTATAGTCGGCTTCGGGAATAGCATCTTTGAGAAATGCCCTCTCTAGTTCATCTAGGGTGACAATAATAGAAAAGATTTCGGCGAGAGAATCTTGTAAATCTCTCTCGGCACGAGTTTCTGCTAGCTTTACTTCCTATAAAGATATCAGCATAGGCTCGCGATTTGGGCAGGGCGGAGGTCAAGATGCATACCTCATCTAGATTTATTGTAGCTGATAGAGCGGTATTAGGAACATAGCTATGGGGCGTTGGGGCATACGCTTGACGAGGATTCATCTTGTATTGAAATAAGTACCTGATGAAATAGGTACCTGGTGATTATTGAAAAGGGGAGAGAATATCTGAAGACTTAAATAAAGTTGGTATACAAAAGAGACACTAAAGAGATGCCTCTAAAGAGAGGTACGTAATGGGTCAATAGGTACCTAACCTAATATTGAGGATTGGTGATTGAGGTGATTCGACCTTGGTACCTATCTACCTCCTACTTGGAGATTTAGGGAGGTACCTTGTCCGGCTTGTTGAACTGGACCGCTTACTTAACACTAGAGATGCATTTGGCATTATACGCTTAGCGTATAATGCCGCATAATAGAAGTATTATGCGCATAACGGAATACAAACACTTAATTATCCGGTACGCTAGTACTAAAAAGGGTTACGCATATTTTAGGTACTATGTATATCAATCGAACCTGATCTTACCTAAGCAAGTATAACTTCTTTTCGTACAATAATTACAAGCGACTTTCCTTTGAGTTTTAATGCTTTAATAGGTACGAATTATCGAATGTTCTAAGGCTTTAAATTGACTTGCAAGGTTGTTGTGTGTATTCCATAGTATTATGTTTTGTTGTAAAATTTTACATAAGCTTTAACTAATATGGCATTATGCGCATAATGCGGCATAATAGATCTATTATACGCATAATGTGCATCTCTACTTAACACCTGGCCTTGAATGATACCTAGGTACCTATGTACCTGAGTTTAGGTCCATGTACTCTGAGCGGTCTAAACCACATTCACCTTAGCGCCAATGCAAACTGCGATAAGAACCCCGCGATAAGCTTATCCCTCCCCAAAAAAGAAAAAAAGGAAAAAAAAAAAGGGTTGTCGCGCTTGTCATTAGCAAGCCGTAAAATAAAAAATCCAATCAACTACCAAATTCACCCGCTCAATTGTTTCGTCACGACCTCGCTGACGGATAACCATCATGGCGGGCGCTAAGAAAAACTTCAAGGCGACTAAAAAGTTCGAGCAAAAACATCTAAAAGGCGTTTTAGATCAACGAAAAACCGTTGCAAAGATAAAGCAGAGGAAGCAGGTCGAAGCCAAGAAGCAATTTAAAAAGGCGAAAGATGCCGAGTTCTACAAGGGCGCGGAAGACGGCGAGAAAGCCAATAAGCCCAATGGCTCTAAGAGGACATCCAATGTCAACGAAATGAGTGTCGACGATTTCTTCGGTGGTGGATTCGAGATAATCGACAAAGCCCAACCGTCTAAAAAGACGTCCAAGAAGTTAGGAAAACGCAAGCGAGATGAGCCCAAAGAAGACGATGCCTCATCCGATGAGGGTAACGATATTGATATCTCAGCTGACGAGATGCCCGTTGCAAGCGGAAGCGAAGATTCAGACGACGAAGAAGTTGAGGATATCGGCATGAGTAAAGAGGCCATGGATGCCCTTGCTCAAGAGGATCCCGAGTTCTACAAATTCTTAAAAGAGAATGACCCCGAAGCGTTAGATTTCGACGATGCCAACCTGGCCGAGGTGGATGAGTTGAGTGCTAGCGAGGAAGAAGACCAACCCAAGAAGAAACGAAAGAAGGAGAAGAAACAAGAAAAGACGGATGACGCAGACGAGGAGGATAAGACTGATAACGAGCTAACTCAAGCTATGGTGGCACGATGGGGGGCGGCGCTGTCAGAGAATAAATCACTCAGAGCTGCGAGGCAGGTGGTTTTGGCATTCAGATCCGCTGCACACTTGAACGAGGACGACGAAGAGCAGGGAGGGAAACAAACTTACAAGATATCAAACCCCGAGGTGTTCCACGATATCCTTATTGTCGCGCTCAAACAAATTCCTGAAGTTATTCAGCACCACCTCCCCGTCAAAGAGTCGTCGTCTGGCAAGGTTAATGTTCCTACGGATTCTAAGAAGTTTAAGAGCCTTTCCATGCTTCTAAAGTCCTTCATATCCTCTATCTTATACCTGGTCGGTACGCTGTCGGACGACGCGACCCTCAAGCTCACATTGTCGGCTGTCACACCCCTTATCCCTTACCTTTTAAGTTTCCGGAAGCTACTTAAGAATTTGATCAAGGCCGTTGTTGGATTTTGGTCGCAGTCTACAAGTAGCGATTCCACCCGAATCACTGCTTTCTTAGTTTTACGACGACTCGTAGTTGTAGGCGACAAAGGTATCAGGGAAGCCGTCTTGAAAGCAACGTACCAAGGTCTAGTCGCAGGATCTCGGGTGACAAACGTCAATACGATACAGGGAATAAATTTAATGAAGAACTCAGCCGCCGAGTTATGGGCCCTTGATCAAAATATTGGTTATACGACAGCTTTCACTTTCATCCGCCAACTCGCCATCCATCTGCGCAACAGCATCGTGCACAACCAAAATGACTCCTATAGAACTATCTATAATTGGCAGTATGTCCACTCTGTGGACTTCTGGTCCTGTGTGCTATCGGAGCACTGCAGTCCGCTAAAGGAGGCGGAAGCTGGAAAGGAATCCCAGCTCAAACCCCTCATCTACCCGCTCGTCCAAGTCACACTCGGTGCCATGCGCTTAATACCAACTGCGACCTATTTCCCTCTGCGATTCCACATGATCAGGTCACTCCTTCGCATTTCACGGTCGACTGGAACTTACATTCCGCTGGCTTCAGCTTTGTTAGAGGTTCTCAACTCTGCGGAAATGAGAAAGTCACCGAAGCAGTCAACTATCAAACCTCTCGATTTTCATGTGGCCTACAAGGCCGCAAAGGCCTATTTGCGGACGCGAATTTATCAAGACGGAGTTGGAGAGCAAGTGGTGGAACTATTCTCGGAGTACTTCGTCCTATGGTCCACGAACATAGCATTCCCTGAATTTGCCTTGCCTGTCATCGTCATGCTTAAGCGATGGCTCAAGCAGTCAAGAAAAAAGACCGGGGGGAACAACAATAATAAGATTCGCGCTGGTCTTGTTTTATTGGTTCAGAAACTTGAGGCAAATGCGAAGTTTATCGAGGGTAAACGAGCTAAGGTCGACTTCGCACCCAAAGACCGGGCACAAGTCGACGCGTTCCTGAAGGATTTCGAGTGGGAGAAGACGCCGGTTGGCGCCTACGTTGTTGCGCAGAGGAAGGCAGGAGCGGAGAAAGCTAAGATGCTAGAGCAGGCCAGGAAAGAAGACGAACGGAAACGAAAGGAAGAAGAGCAAGAGGCGCTAGAGGAGAATGCTGCTAGATTAGAGGACGAGGATGAAGAGATGGAGGATTTAGATGACGAAGAGGAAAGCGACTCTTCCGACGAGGACGAAGACTAAGAGCAATGGAACACCTTGTTCGATTGAACAGAATTGTTAATGGACAGGAAAGTCGCCTTCACATTGAGGGGCCGTTTTACCCCTAATACTCAGAATGTCTTCGCATTATCCTGAGATACCCGATAATCTCTGAATATACCTACCTGTAGTGGCAGTAGCTACTCCATGACGAATACTGCCTGGAGTTGCATCAAATACAACTTTTTTTTTCTTCCGGTCCATATATTTTGTTCATTTCTATCTAAAAATATCCAAGGTACCTACACTTTGTATATTTTGCTCTCTTATATTTTTCTATCATCTGATCATAACGGTGGTTTCTCAGGCTCAGGCACAATATCGTGATGGGTACTCAACTATATTTGGAAAGCATAGGTATGCTATTTGATTCGATATGGTGCATCAATGCTATGTATGCTATGTACTATGTACAAAGGTCCAAGACTCAATGTCTCAGTTGAAATGATGTATGTTACAAAAAATGGTATCAAAAACAAACCCTCTCTATAAAACACGCAGCATAAGGTTAACCGCTTATAGCGTAGCTAAACCAGCCTGGATAGCTTTGACGTATGTCCAATCTGCAGAATCCTCGCCCAAGCTCCAAGCCACTGCGCACGAGCAAGAGTCAGCTTCTTTCCACATGGAGAGGGGGCAAAAGGACAATCAGGAGAAATTAGAAACAGGGGTAGGAAAAACTTACTGACGCCACCCAGCCCCCTCGCCTTAACGATCTTCTCGAACTTCTGCGCGATGAACTCCGGGGTGTCCCATGTCCAGAACTTGCTCTCGGCCGGGTCCCAGTACCACTGGCCGCCCTCCTCCTCGTCCGCCTTCCCGCTCGACAGCACGGGCGGGCCCTCGAGAAACGTCACCGCGCCCGACTTGCCCGTGTCCCCGCCGTTCGCGTCCTCCAGCTCGACCGTCGGACACCCGATTGGCTGCGCGCATTCCCCTTGCGTCACGAAGTACTTCGCGTAGAAGGCGAAGCCTAGGTTGAGCTTCGATGCGTCCATGCCCAGAGAGATGTACTTGTCGATGGTGGCGAGGGACGCTTTGACTGAGGTGTGGTGCGTCGTCTGGGTGTCGCGCCTAAGAGGGGTGGTGGGTTAGTTGGACGCTTACTTGACGGTAATTAGACGTTGCGGTATTTACCTGTTCATCAAGTCGTATGACATGACCTGTTGGAGTTCTTGTCAGCCTCTGTTTGGAGCATGCTATCAATATACGTGCAACTTACATTGACGACGTCGACTGCGGCGTTGATCTTGGGCACTTGCTCGGGTGTGAAGGCAATCATGTCCCTCTCGAGCCCAGGAACAGCGATGGAGAGTTCCTTATCGCCGATTGCTGACTTGATCTCTTGGAGCAGTAAGGCGTAGTTGGCGATCTCGTCGACCTTGCCTGAATTGGGGTTCCGCTTATAATCCTCGCCGTTGCCACCGGGGTATTCCCAATCAACATCTACAGGAATCGGGCTTTAGTATGCTTATATTATTATGTACTGTTGTAATAGGGCGTGAGTTGAATGAAGCGGGCGCCCGACTCACCTACGCAGTCGTAGCCGTGACTTTCCAGCATCGCGGCGACGCCCTTCGCATACGTCTTCCTCGACGCGTCGTCCTTTTGGCCGACGGAGAACCCAGAACTATCGCCCCATCCGCCAATCGCCACGCATACCTTGGTTCCTTCGGGGAACTGGCTGCGGAGCGTCGCTGCGTCTACGAACGGCGTGAAAGGACTGGCCGGGTCGCTTGTAAACAGCGTGGTCCCGGCGAACGCGGTGATCACGTGCGTTATTCCGGCCATCTGCTCCTTGCTAGGAGACGCAGTGTGCCACTGGTCGTAATACATGGCGAACCGCGGAGTCGCCGCGGCGGCTGCGGTGGTTACGGCTCGGGATATATGCATGTTGCGGACGAGTTGAATGCGTTCCAGTGAGTGAATGACAATGCGAATTATGATTAAAGGACAACGCTCAACTCCGATGCGCTCTATCGGTCATATATACTTGACCCAATGTTTTAAGACATCCACATGCTGGAATGAGGTGTAACGTTCAGTAAGTCAATCTCCTCCCGCACCTCCTATTTTTTGACCCTTGTAGTTGCATTCCAGATTAAGTAGTAAGTTGCCAGCCTAGAGCCTCATGCCACCCTAGATATCTCTAGATGCTACCTTTCATCTCTTGTTCTCATCATCGAACTTGATTGATATCACACGATGAGAGACAAACTTAATCTATCTCGCCCGCATAAAACATGCTCATGTCGCTATCCACATATCTGGAACTGTCAAAAGACGTCAAACATCCCCACGTTATTGCATCATGTAAAGAGAGAAAGGCATTTGATTGGGGGGGGGGGGGGGGGGGGGGGGGGGGGGGGGGGGGGGGGGGGGGGGGGGG